GGGGCAGAGCAAAACAACCACGATCAATAGCAGCGCCACTGGCAGCAAGCCTAGGATTAACAACATAGGCAGCAGCAGTTTAAAGCAGGTATGGTCGGCGTCTTACGCTGGTGTCGAGGTTTTCCAGCTGCTGGTCAATGGCACAGCGGTCATGCGCAGGCGGGTGGACTCGTACATCAATGCTACCCAGATACTCAAGTGTGCGCAATACGACAAGCCACATAGGACAAAGTTCCTCGAGAAAGAAGTGCATACGGGGACGCACGAGAAGGTGCAAGGCGGCTATGGAAAATATCAAGGTAAGAACAAAAAAGAGGCGATGGGAATAAAAAGACAATAAATAAAAAGACCAAAACAGCTGCTGTGGGTATTTTGGCAGCTGAAATGGCGAGCGAAAATCAAAATACAAGAAGCGACGGATTAAACAAGGGCTTTCTGGTGTTTCCCTACTGCTAGGCACTTGGGTTCCCTTGGACCGGGCGCAGGATCTGGCGCAGGAGCTGGGCGTATACGAGGCGCTGCGGTGCCTGTTCGAGTTCAACCCGGCGCCGGGCGAGAAGCCGCCGACGGCGCCGCGCAGCCTCGAGTCAATGTACAACAAGCGCAAGGCCGCAGAGGCCGCCGACGCGGCGGTGCCGAAGAGGCGCACGGGCAGCGGCACGGCGGCGGCCGAGGCTCCGCGGCAGCGGCAGGGCTCGGGGTCGCTGTCGTCGATCCTCAACACCACAGACCAGCCGCTGTGGCAGCCGCACTCGCCGGCCACGCCGCAGCGGCGCGCAGCCACGCACTACCCGACGCCGACGGACAGGCGGCCGCGGGCGTACGGCCAGGCGGCGACGCCGACAGACGGGCGGCACGCGCTGCGCGACATCACCAACGCGCACCGCGGCATCAGCACGCACTGCGACAAGCCGTCGCCGTCCGCAATGGCGGCGACGATGCTGAGCCCGACGGCGACCATGACGCCGCCGGCCTCGGCGCAGCGGGGCGCAGTGCCGTTCGGCGCGCAGCAGCCGCCCAACAGCGCGCCGGCGCGGCTGGACCACCCGGGCGCGGCGCAGCAGCAGGCGTTCATGCAGCTGGTGGCGTTTGTGTCGCGGCCGCGCGCCCAGCACCAGGCGCCGCCGGTCGACGTCGACGTGGCTCTGCGGCAGCGCGGCGGCGCGCTGGCCAACGCGCCGATCGCCGGCGACGGCAGCACGCTGCTGCACGCGGCGACGCTGAACGCGCACTGGGACGTCGTGCAGGCGCTGCTGGACAATGGCGCCGACTGCACGCGGCCGACGCAGGACGGGCTGACGCCGCTGATGCTGGCGGCCGGGTCGCTCGGCGCGTGGCGCCAGCGCGACGCGCATATTTTTGCGTGGCTGCTGGACGCCATGCCGGCGGCGCTGTGCTGCCGCGACGCGAATGGCCGCAGCGCGCTGCACTGGGCCGTGGCGTCGGTCGGCACCGAGTGGCCGCTGGCGTCGGCGCACTACGCGCAGCTGCTGGCCGAGCGGCTGGAGCGCATGCGCCGCCCCGACGCCGCGGCCTGGCGCGACTCCCGCGGCCGCACTGCTGCGGAGCTGGGCGGCCGCATGGGCAATGCGCCGGCGGCCGAGGCCCTGGCGAGCGGAATTCTGGCCGAGCGGGCCGCCGGCCATCACGTGCCGGCCGCGGACCGCTACGAGCATGCGGCCCTGCGGGCCGGCGAGCTTGTGCGCGCGGCGGCCGACGAGATGCGCCGCGTGCACCGCGTGCGCGGCGACGTGCTGGACGCGGACATGCGGCGGGCGGCGGCGCTGCTGCTGGAGTTGCGCGCCGAGCACGCGGACGCGGTGGTGCGCGCGCGCGACTACGGCCGCGTGGCGGGCGAGTGCGTGGCGGCGGCGCGGCGCGAGGCGGCGCTCAAGCGGAGGATCGAGGCCGCGGTCAACCTGCAGCAGGCGGCGCGCGCACTGGCTGCGGTGGAGGGCGCTGGCGGCGGGGTGGCCGATGGGGCCGAGCCGCCCGCATCTCCTGCGGGGGCCGCATCGCCCGCATCTCCTGCGGGGGCCGCATCGCCCGCATCTCCTGCGGGGCCCTCGTCGCCTGCGCTCATGCAGCGCGCGCTGGAGCTGCGCCGGGCGAATGCTGCGTACGAGGCCGAGTCGCGCAGGCTCGCGCGCGAGTACGCCGAGCTGGCGGCCGTTGTGCGGCCGTGGCCAGCGGCGGATGAGGGCGCGGGCGCAGGCTCAGGCGCAGGCTCAGGCGCAGGCTCAGGCGCAGGCTCAGGCGCAGGCTCAGGCGCAGGCTCAGGCGCAGTCCCAGACGCGGAGGCCGCCGATCTGCTGGCGATGCGCGCAGCGCTGCAGGGCGAGGAGGAGCGGCTGCACAAGATGGAGCGCGTTGTGGCCGCGGCCTGCGGTGACCTGTCGATGGAGAAGGTGCGCAATGTCGTTGGGCCTGTGCTGTCGGTGCTGAACAACGGCAATACTCTGTCTGCCGATTGAAGTCGCTTGTTTTCTCGCTTAGGCCTTTTTATGACTTGACATTATAAAACCCCCCTCACCCCTCTGCTTGCATGCTTTTCCTCTGCTTGCATGCTCTTCCTCTGCTTGCATGCTCTTCCTCTGCTTGCATGCTTTTCCTCTGCTTCCATACTTTTCCTCTGCGCCTTGCCACTACACTTTTCACATATGTGAGGTGGTATTGTAGACATGTCTATTTGTCTATTTGTCTATATGAGCCTTTATCTTTTCTTTTTCTTTTGGCTTGATATAGCCCTGCAGAAGTTTTACTTTATTTTATTTTATTTTTGCACTTGTATCCTGATACTAAGAAAATCTTTTTTCCTCCTCCCTCCTCTCTGCTTTTTTTTTACACGTTTACGCACTATTCTTTTTTACCTGCATGTTTATTGAGATAGACAGACAAAAAGATGAGCTCCCTTTTTCCCTCATCCCTAAAATAAAAATATAAAAAATATATTATGTGAACATTGTCGGGCTTTCCAACTGAATATATTTCCACTCCCCTTTTTCTTTTCTCCTTGAATGTTCTATCTCGTGTAAATTATTTTTTCTTTTCATTATCCCTTTTGCTTTTTTTCTTTTTTTGTCTAGTAATTTATTTATTTATAATAATTATATCGTTTCGCTTTGATTCGTTTTGTTTCGTCTCGTTCCATTTCGTTTCCCTTTTTTTTGCTGTCACAAAGGGAATAACCGAAAGAGGGAAGAATAAAATCTGTTTTTTTCTACCTAAAAAGGAGAGAGCGGGCTGATAGACCGTTTGGTTTTCAATCATATCCAACATCTTTTTTTTGTTTACGTTTTTACAATTATCATCAATTTATATTTTTTTGTTAGCCTCTATAAATCGACAACGACGCAGCTCCATTCTGTTCCATTCCGTTTCTTTCTTTCTATCTTTTCTTTTCTTTTCTTTTCTTTTTTTGTTATTACTCTATCAGAGAGGGGGGGGGAAACATTCTTACCCTGCTTCTTTTTTTTCTGATTTATTTCACTTTCTATTGTAACTGCTCAATTTCTTTCTTTATTTTTTCGCTTTCACACACACACACAATTTTTTACTTTTATTTTATTTAAAATTAAGCAGTACCATTCATCTCTTCCTTTTTCTTTTTCTTCCTTTAATTATCAATTTCTTCAATGTACTGCAAGCGTTGTGGTAGTATAGTCCACGACCAAGTGTCCAATTGCCAAAAATGCGGTGGACTACCGGTCGAATCTCTCACAGGCAGTGGCGGCAGCGGGTCCTCCGCCGACCGTAAAGACCCCTGGTCCTCCACCTACCTCCAGCGTCGCCTCAAGCCCACGACAACTGCACGCCCAGTGTCCACGTACAATCCACCGATGGAGATCCGCCCACTGGGCTCGCCCAAATACACAGACGCTGCTGGAGCTTCGCGGCCAGTGCGGGATGCCACCGCGGGGACGCGTCCTTCGTCCATGTATGTTGGTTCATCCTCGGCTGCCAGCGTGCTGGACTCCCAGGTGCAGTCGGCGATTCAGCGGTCGGTCGCTACACAGCGGGCTGGACAGTCTCCGCCCCAGCAACAGCAGCAGTCACAGCTTCAGCAGTCTCAACCCCAGCTGCATCGGCAGGCTGAGGAGGTGAATCCCCAGACTAGGCAGCTGCGGTCCAAGTGGTCGCAGTATTTCACCAGCACGGCGTCGCCGCAAGTTCAGTTGGCGGCTGGACGCGGGCGTAGCGAGTCTTTGAGCACTACTTTGATGAATAAACCTGTGGCAGCGGCGAGTGCAACGTCGGTTGGGCTTCAGGGTGCGCGTATTCCGGCGAAACATTCTGACCTTGTGGCCCGGCCCTTTGCGGCTGTGCAGCGGCCGCTGACAAGTGACGGCAGCGGGTCTGCTGCTGCTGCTGCTGCTGCCATTGCTGCTGCTTCTTCTTCTTCTGCTGCTACTGCTGTCAGGTCGTCGTCGGCTACTGTGAGCCAGCCAGCGACGGCAACAGCAGCTGCCCAGAACCGCGCATCTCCGTTGTCCCTGGCAAAATCGCTGGCGGCTGATCCGCGCAATGTAATTTCGTCCTTTGATCAGCGCAAACCCTTGTCCAGTCCAATCAGCATGGCGATGCGGTCTCGGTCAGCTACTCTCCCCGACCTACACTCCGGGGATTCCCGGCCCTGCACCACCTGTGGCTTACTTCTGCGTGCCGAAGAGCAGCGCCAATTTGCGTCCAAGCAAGGGGTAGTTTATTGCACAGACTGCTATCACTCGAGTTATAGCCGAGGCCACTGTACCGGATGCAATAAGATAGTGCTGACCCATGGAAGGCCTTGGGTACAGCACGGGGAGAAAGTTTGGCATAAGCTTTGTATTAAATGCAGGACTTGTGCGAAGCTATTGGTTGCGCCGTTGGTGGATTTGGAGGGGATGCCGACGTGTGAACCGTGCTTTATGCGCTGTTACCCGAGGGAATTGCTCAGGCCGATGCCTAAGGAATCAACCCCGGCTGCACCGGTGCCGCAACCGGTTGTGGCGGCGGCGGCGGCGGCAAAGGGAGTGACGTCGGCTGCGAAGGCGATGACGTCGGCTGCGGTTTCTTCGCAGCGCACGATGCTGCCAGTCGTGGCACCGTTGGTTTGGGGGGGAGGAGCCACTGCTGCCACTTCTGCTGCTGGTGTTCCTTCTTCTTTTCCTGCGCGACAGACAGTAGATATCAAGGAGCTGGAGCGTGGGTCGAAACGGGCCGTGGCGGCAGCAGCGGCAGCGACCGTGGCGGCGTCTATCCCTACCCCGGTGATTTCCGAGTACGACGGTGGAGCAACCAGCGCCTCTAATTCGCCGGAGCTGCAGGATACGCGACAGAGCAAGTTTGTTCGGGCAATGGATGCCATGCGGATTATGTCGCCGGTGGAAGTGGCAGAAAAGGAAGGGTTGCCCCGCCCACGCGTAATTGTGGATCCCGAATTTGGCTTGCTTGCACGTGTGGAGTCTCAGCCTGTGCCGGCGCAGGATGTGCGCAGGCCCAGTGTTTCTGGCTCTGGACCTGGCTCGGGTAATGTGCTTGGTCATGTGCGGTCGTCGTCGGCGAAAGTCGATGCGATCAAGTCGATGCTGAATCAGTCGGTGTCTCCGATAGATACTTCGGTGGCGGCGCTTTATCGTCCGCCGCTGTCGCCGTCGCTGAAGAACCCGAATTCGCCGACGGCGCGGGCAGGATCGTCTAGGTCAGTGAGCTTTAGGTTTGACCAGACAATGGAGTCTGATGCTAGCGATGAGTACGATGAGGAGCCGGTGGCTCCGCCGCGTCCTAAGGTGCACGAACCTGCCCAGCACCAGCAGCAGCAGTCTGAACAGGATGATGAGGATGAGGATGAGCCAAAATCTCTAGCCGATTATGTGCTTAGCAAGGCGTCCAGTAACAAATCCAAGGCGAGGCTTCCGTCGGTTGCCGATGCGATTAAAAAGTTCAGCTCGCCTGCAATGACCCCTGCATCGGCGCAGCGTGGGGACCCATTGGATCGGTCGCAGATCCCGGAGCTCAAGGACCTTATCCGTACACATCAGCGGGAGCCGCCACAGGAGCCGACAATTCCGGCGCTGGATAAGCACAGTCGGATTCTTAAGTCGCGGCCGCGCAACAACAATCGCCGGCAACCGACGGGATCGCCTCAACAACAACAGCAGCAGCTGGTGCCGCAGATGGACACCCTGCCTTCCCCAACCTCCACTGTGGGACCTAATCAGTGTGCCCGGTGTGCGCGCGCAATCGAGGATACGTGGTTTAGACTTTCGGATGGCCGCCAGGTGCATGTTGAGTGCTTTACGTGCCAGGGGTGCGATAAGCTGATTGATGATGGTGTGTATGTGCTAGAGAATAACGTTGAGTTCCACCCACCTTGTGTACCACCGACGCCGCCGGTCGTTTCTGTGTCGCCAATACCATCATCGGTTCATCAACAGCAGCAGCAGCAGCAGCAGCAGGGTTCGTCTTTGGGTCGTCCGATGGGACCAAGAGAGCCGCGTCGCGAGGAAATGTGCGATAGGTGCCATGATCATCTCGTGGGCCCGCGGTTCCAGTTAACTAATGGCAAGCAGTATCATCCGGAGTGTTTCGCGTGTGCCGGATGTGGGCAGAGATTTGACGAAGGATCCTATGTCTGTTTCGAGGGTCAGGAGTATCACCATCAGTGTGTGGAGAAATTCGCAATGGCCCAAAAACAAGAGGAAGATGCTGCAAACAGAGGGGCAGGAGCAGCAGCAGGAGCAGCAAACGGTCTTAATGGTGGTGATCAGGATGCTGGAGGGTTTATTTGTGCGCAATGTGATGGGAACATTGAGGGTGTGTTTTTGAGGCATAATGAGGCTGTGTTCCATCCTGAGTGTTTCTGTTGCTGTGATTGTCAACAGGCTATTACCCCCGGGATGCCGTTTGGAGAAGTTGAAGGGTGTCCTTGTTGTGAGGGGTGTTTGGAGCAGAGAGCCGCTAGTGTTGCCCAGCAGCAGATGCAGAGGCAAAGGCAGCAGCAGATGCAGATGCAGAATAATTGGGCGAATAGCAGGCAACAGCAACAACCTACTAAATCCGGATACTAACTGAAATGTGTCATCTTTTTTTAATTTTTCTTCCTATCTATATTCAAATATATGTATCATTTTTATCAAATATAATTTTATCATTAATTCAATTGCTTTCACATATATTTTCATGTTGAATAATAATAGTAATTTATTATTTATGTAATGATTTTAAGCGGCTTACTATATTCTTATATAACGCCGTTCATCATTTCTACCTGTCAATTCTGCCGCGCGCGCTGCATCTTGATGCCGGTCGCTATGTCTACCAGGCACCCATGCCCGACAAAAACAGCAAAGAAAGTGCCACTATCTGCTATGTATAGTGCGGCCAGTCGGGTGATACGTATGAGACTGCAGTTCTAGACCTGCTTGACAAGCTTGTGTCGAAGCCATTCTTTGACCAGCTGCGGACTAAGGAGCAGCTGGGCTACCGGGTTCACGCAAATATAAAAACCTACGGCAAGAGCAGCGGGCTGCAGTTCTACATTCAGGGCGAAAGCAATCCCACTTATGCCACAATGCGCATAGATGCGTTTGTGCATGATTTCCGCCAGTACCTGCTTGATTTTGACGCTGCCAAGCTGGCCACACAAATCAAATCGATTGTCGATCAAGCCCGCGAAAGGGTCAAGAACATATCGCAAGAGACTGCCAGATATTGGTCACAGATTGATAGCGAAAAATACGACTTTGGAAGTGTCGAAAGAGGCGCTGAACAGATAAGCAGGCTGACTAGAGACGACTTGATCGCGTTCTGGGACAAGTATATCAATCCACAAACCGCGCCTCACTACACACGTGTCGACAATCAGGTGTGGTCGTCTGCAACTGCACAACCATCCGCTGAACAGTTTGGGGCGCACACTAGCGGTACCATTGCGTTGCACGGATGCCTCCACAAAGAAGGGCTGCCTGAGTTGTCACTTGCCAAGATTCAAAGCATGGTTTCAAATATTGCTGCTGCCAATTTCAGTGCTAACGACGAAGAGCCTTACTGAGCAGACTCGGAGACATGTTGGGATGCACACAGCACGTTGGCCGCATCTTTGCGCCAGGAACACAGGCAAGGAATGCTCTGCAAATGGCCATTGACAGCTCGAGAGTTTCTTTTAACCATGCAGTTGCCAGCGGCAAGGATTTCACCAAAATCGGCATGCACCAGTCGCCCGACGGCGTGTGGCTCATCACTGACATTGAAAAGTTCAAGGCCACTCAAATGCTCCACGGCTCGAGCATCCCCTATGCTGTGCTGTTCCCAAGTATAACTACTAAACGCATTGTCCCTAACGCTCTTTCTTTTACAAGTTGATGGATACACTTTTATACCTTTATTTGCGTGAACAAGACATGTTTAATTTTATTTTGTGGCTGATTGGAAAACAAGATAACCACCCGAGTTTTTTTAAATGGTGTTTTAATGTCCTAATAGTAAGTTGTAAATCGAACTAGAACTCAAAGCAACAAAATATAAATATAAATATAAAAAGCACACCCAAATTGCTAAACATTATTCCAAGGTCACCCATGTGGACTGCACTATTCCCCATTAATACACATATTCATTTTACATAGAAATCAAATTAACCAAAAAGTGGCATCACTGGAATTGACAAACACATTGCTTTATTAGGCATGACTGGTGCTCTTATTTCTCGACATTAGCGTGGGGGAAATTATCTGGTGTTTACTTTGGCCACAGCATTGAGAATCCTTTTATTTACTTTTTACTTTTTATAAAAGGACATCATGGGTAGTAGCTGCTTTGAATGTTTTTAAGCCCTAGAAATTTGCTATTTAAAATGAATCTTTGCTTGGCTGTAACCGCAGCTTTGCTGCTGGATAATAAAATAAACCTGCATGTCCTTTCAAGTGCATTTATTTTCTTGTTTTTTATTTATTTCGTTCATTACGATTTTTTTATTTTACACTTGAACACACAACTATATTATAGCCGAGCCAAATAATTGTTTGTTTTGAGGCATGGCCGTAAGCAGCTACAACGAGCACACACCCGGGTTTTACCACTTTTGTAAACACCATTTTGTTTCAGAAAGGCCCTACAAATACAGACATGTTCGCTTTTACGCGGGCGAAGACCGCTATCACAGTATCTTTTTTGATAGGTCCCACACCAATCTTTTTGTAAGCACTATATTCTGGGCTCATTTCGATACCAAAAAAACACATCGTCTGTGCTACAAAGACAACGAAAAATGGCATGTTTGCAACGAAAATGAGCAGTTTCACAGCCGCCTAGTTGAAAACTATAGCTTCTTAACTGAAAACCAGCTTGAACTTGCCAATAGTGGATTTGAGGATTGGGATCCACGCCAGCGAATGATCGACCACTCAGAAGCACTGCGCACAGCAAGAGCAGAAGCGTACCACAAAGTGAACACACACCCAATCAGAAAGCAAGGAGTGCCTCGTAATTTCAACTTGGACGACATTCAAGGATTAATTAAAGGCGATGTTGAGCTATAGTTTAGTAATTTTCAGATTACTATTTTACGTATAAATAAAAGCATGTATACTCAAGTTGTTAAAAATGACTATTGTTTCCCTCCCCCATCATTTATAACAAATGTTGCTTGTAGGCGTTTTTTTGGAATGGCGACTTCACTTTATTGTGTAATTTATCTCATCACCTTTGGCAAGTAGACCCAGATCTGGATTGTTCCTGTTAGCGCCTCCTCCTAAACAGCTTTTACAATTTACGTCAACTACGCTCAAATATCATCTGACATTTGTCTAAACAAAGTATTGTTCTTGTGTCTGCTCAGGCTTTGCAAAAGGAGGCGACGGGAAGCGCTTGGAGTACATTTAGCTATTTAATTTACATCCCAAAGAATCAAACCAAATTTTTAAGGCAAAAAATTGGTCTTTCCAAAAAATGCTGCGGCCAATAAAAAATAAACCGAGCGTTCATTATATATAAAATTTGTTTATTCCAGCACAGAGCTCTCTCATTTTTTTCTTCATCTGCAATTTTATTATATAGTATTATAAACGATGGAGCTTCAAAAGCGTTACATAACGGACATGTATGCGTGTGGTGATGTTGAGGATAGGCCTGGGTTTTACCACTTGTATTCTGATAAAAATTACTCAAACAACATCAACAATAAGATATTCAGTTCTGTTGGCGTTAATGCAGGTACTCGCCACGCATGCAGGTTTTATTATGTCAAGGACCGCAACTGCCTCAACTTAAACAAAGGATTTTGGGCGTATAAAAGGGGCAACAGAGACTATCGTTTGTGCTACAACGATGGGGACAAATGGCACATTTGCAACAATCAAGATAGGCTTCACGAACACCATTGAAAGCTATAGCTTTATGACCAAAAAGCAGGTCAATGATGCCAATAATGGTACGAGTAGATGGATGGTTAAACAGCGAATGACAGAGCGTTCAGAAGCGTTGCACATAACAAGAGCAGAGGAATACAGCAAGTCAACAAACACCCAATTAGAAAGCAGAAGGCGCCTTGCAAGTTTAGTTTAATTGATGTACAAGGATTGCTTGACGGCGATGTTGAGTATTAGTATTAGTATTAGTTCAAGATGTTTTAAAAATCATTTTAAATTAACTTTTAAAAAATAGCTATTTTAAAACATGTAAACCAATTCGTGTTGTTACACCTTGGGTTCTTTCATTTCCGCAGACCACCCAGTCAAATACATAACATTGCTATCAGAAAGGTGAACACGTTAGTTTGTTATTTCTGGCTGCACTCAGCTCCAGCATACAAACAGCAACAATTCAGGCCATTCAGTCGGCTGGTTGGGTGATATTAACATTCACACATTCATTGTAGCATTGACAAACAGTACTAGCATTGTCTTTTTGCGTGGTCTAAATATTTTTACACGCAAATATCAATGCCAATTACATTATTATTGATTTATTTTAATATTGAGGCTGGCAGATAATTACTTGTCTGGTTGATTGTATTGCACGCAGTGAGCTGGCAATCTCAAAAACTAAAAGCTGAAATTGGATTTCTGCAAAACAATTGTTGGCAACATTTTCTGTTTTATTCATATTGAAAAAGCAAGCAAACAGAAAAAGTGTACTACACATATGCCAGTGTTACATGGCCTGCATGCCAGCGCTAGCACCAGACTGGGGGCTGGTTGTGCTGGTCATTGAAAATCCGCCGAGATTAAATACCGGGTGGCTTGCAGCGCTTCTGATTGCGCGGAACAGGCTTTGCACCGCGCCGAGCTTTGTGCGCACAACATTGGCTGGAACAGAGGACATCTGGATGCCAAACTGGCAGCTGTCGGTCGACGCAACCTGGTCGGGGCCAGCAGCGGTAATCGAGTCCACAGCGCACACGGGCAGGTAGTAAGCGCCGTTGCTCGTCTGCATGACGTTGAGCGTCAGGTGCGTGAACTTGTTGATTGCCGGGTCAAACACAGTGGTGAGCATCACCGGGGACGTGGTCTCGACATTGGATATGCGGGACATGTCGAGGAACGAGACCATGCGCGCCAAGTGGCTGTTGACGTTGGCCAGCGGCGAGAAAGACGGGGGAGCCATGCTGCCAGTGTCAATACCGCCAGGAGCATAGTTAACCCGACGGGAGTGGTAGTCGAGGTGGTCGAGGTCAAGGTGTCTTGGGCGGCAACAGTAGTGGCAGCGGCGGCGACAATGCAAGCGGCAAAGGCAATGTTAATCTGCATGGTTGGAAATACGTAAAATGTTGCTAGGTAGAAAAAGGCAGGCGAGTGCTCGTGCTGAATACATTGCTTAATTTGGGCAGGGCGTTGTGCTTCTTTTATACCCTTTTGATTGTACAACGCAAGCACACATTTCTATTTTTGGGATGATTCGAATATTTTACGCATCATTTTTAGTAAAAATAAAAGATGTATCTAGCCCACCAACTGTGAAAGACGTCTTTTTTACTAGAGCACTTGCAGCGATATCTTTTATTATTCAAAGATTGTAATGACTGTATAAAACAAACGTTATAATTGTAATTTTATAAACACATGGCATCATGTAAATATAAAATTAAACAGTGACAATGAATGATTTTTATGAATGATTTTTATTCAATGCCTAATACTTTTAGAAGAGGTTGGGACATATATTTTATGCCTAATTCTATATAATTTTGTAAAGTCCCATTTTAAGAAAATGTTGGAAATATAAATTTGATTCTTTAATGTATATGCAAATCAGCTCGAATAATTTTCTGTTAGTTATCAATCCATCATACAGGTAATATAAAAAGTATTATAATTACCATGGCATTGTAGTGTGACGTTTTCCACAAGCGATATTTTACAAACTTTTTTCGAAATTTGAACGCTACACTGTTGCATCATAGGGCCAGCATTCGACAAAAACAGTATGGATGTCAACAACGACAAACACAATATTGTCGCATTTGTGATGTGTTATTTACAATTGATTGTGAATGATACTTATCACAAAGAACATCAGCTCGCGACAGCATTGGTGATATACGGTGCAGCGTTCGCTATTGAAATAATTGTAATTGTATCCCCGTTTGCAACCATTGTCACAATAGCGTGTATGTTTCAACCAAAGAAAATAGGAATACCAGGTTGGCGTTTTATTTACCACAATGGTCCCCAGCAAGCGCGGACAATGTAATAGTTTTAATAGGGTTTAGTTGTATTTAAAAAGGAGAAATGACGCGAAAAACAATCCACCATGCTCTTGTGAATAAATAGCCTTTAATTTTTTATAATATTATATACTTAATTATTACTCACACTCAACAACACAGAAAAATTGCTCTTCAATACCAATACCAAACTTTTAATAATAACATGCTGGTCATAAAGGGTGTCGGTAATACGCAATATAGAAGTGAAAGCTTTGAGTATTCGTTTGATTTTGTTCCAGACTTGCGGTACCTAGCCTATTTGGTTAAAACCTTAAAGAAAATATTATTAACTACTTTGTCTATTCGATCGAGTGCACAGACCAGTTTTACGCACAGTACGAGCGAGAAATCGATATGCTGACGACTTGGATACTGAATAAGCATGTTCGCATTTAGCCTGGTTGCTTACCACCGCTGTTCAAGTGCTTGCTGGCTAACAATATAATCTGAACAAAAAGTTAACAATCTAGCTTAGCGTGCAACAAATATACACTTTTTTTCTAAAATAAATAACATCACATATTTTTGTATTTGCATCATGTGCGATATGCCAAAGTAAAATATCGACTCGGCTCAATCAAAGTGAGTCGACGATAATCAGGCTGATCCGCTCGAATTTTGGGCTGCAATGTAAAAAAAAGTGAGATATCGAATTTGGCACCACAACCTTTCAAATTTGTCTATTTCTAAAAGACCGAAAAGACTGGGTTCACAATTGAAAGTGCTTTCTTTATCTGCGTTCAATTTGAATTTATCCATAGTATTTCGCTTTTTATTTGGATTTCACAGAAATCATACTTTGCCTCTAATTCTCCTGTTGTGAACTCTGGACCCAAGCATACGCAGGAGTAGCAGCAGCAACACACGCACACAGTCACATACACATAGACGTAGATAACAGAGCAGAAACATGGAGAGTGCGTTTGCGCGACTTTACCGCACATCAAAGCTGGCGAGCTACGATCGCGAGATCAAGCAGGTGTACGCAACATACGCTGAGGCGGCGGTCAAAGGTGACTGGGGTCTGAAGCGCAAGATGCCGCCCAAGATATCCACACGACTAATGACGATCGGTTCGCTGGATACGAAGGAGCAGATCACGCAGTTTGAGAGCGCAAACCAGCAGTTCATGATGGTCAACGCGTGGAAGGAGAACTTCCCCGAGTCGCAGTCGCCGGAACACAACAAGAACAGCATTATTGGTCGGTATACCACTGGGCAGGACCAGGCCGCCGAGGAGAATGTGAAGCCCACAGGGCCACAGGTGAACCTTGCGCTTATGACTCGCGCCGAGTGGCAGCAATTTTTGGCTGAGGCGCGGTCGCGGCGCGGTGAGTGGAAGGAGAGCCTTATGGAGGGCCGGTTTGCGCCCGAGGAGACTCTGGCCTTTATGAATGCCACCAATATGCGCGACTCGCAGGACGATGGGATCCGCAGATTGCCCACGTACCACGACTACGTGCCAGCCAGCGAGGAGCTTCAGGTGCAGGGCCGCGTTCTCAACCGTGCTGCCGCCGGATACGCTGTCGCGGTGCAGGGCATTATTGCGTACTTGCCTCTGCAGAACCATTCGTCCGATGGTGGATATCAGACCAGGGATGTCAAGACGTTCTATGTGCATAGCGCAAAGTTCGACACCCAGGGCAGGCCCGATGTTATTCTTGGTATCAGGCCGCGTGGCGCTCGCGAGTCCTCTATCGCGTTTGACTCTGGATCCAGGAGCTCGTTCGCCTTTAACAAGGGCCGCGGTGGGAGTAGCAAATACCAGAACGCGCACCTCGAGCGCATCAAGGATATCTTGAAGCTGAACACGGCCCTCAAGGGCAACGACAGCAGTGAGACCACCAGCAAGGATGAGTTTGCCAATGCCCTGGACCACATCACCAAGGGTGGCAACAACAAGGATGGAAAGTGGTAGATTGACGGAGATAATTTGTTTGTTTTATTCAAACAGTTCAGCGTTTATTTACTTTATGAAAAAAATTGACCCTACCAAAAAAAAAATATTTTTATATTTTTATTACAAGTTTGCTTCGTACTGTCGGACCCGAAACATTTGAAGAGTTAGAGCTCAACCCTAGTGTTGGGTGACGAGTCCCAGCCGATGCGTGCCTTTTGCATGGCGTCGACAACGGATGGCTGTGCGGCCAGCGACTTGGCGATAATGCCGAGGTCAGGGGTCATTGGAAGCGGGCTGAAAAGTTCTACATCGGTGTCTGTGTACTCTGGGCGGTACGTCGTCTCCATTGTCAGTGTGAATGGCGGTGGCGCTGCTTTTGACGGCTGCTGCCCTGGTTGGTGCTGTGGCTGTTGCGCGCCAGCAAAGGCAATGACAGAGATGACAAAGACGGCGATAGCGAGCTGGCTGACGGTGTGCATGGTTTTGAGATGTGGAAAGCTACAAGGTTAATAAACATCAGATGAAATACAGAACCTTCAACCGCCACTCTATATATATGTATACAATTTTTGTGTTTATGTCACATGTATATGAGCAAACACAGCATATATTGCACTACACTTTTTTCTTGTTTAAAACTGCCTGATTCGATCGCTTGGCGGTGATCGATGTCAGTGCTGTGCATTCAAAATTATAAAAAGGCAGGGCGAGGGGATTGCGGAATACCAAAACCGATGGGAGATTGAACGGCAGCAGCTCATTTTCAGCAACAGCAAACGTGTTCGCAGCCTTGTTTTTTTATATTCACGCTTTGTTTATTTTAATTCTCATTTATCAAATCAACCCTCCCTAACTTTTTATTTACATCATTTATATTTACTTTTTGTTATTTCCAATTCAAATGTCGGCCAAAAACAGCATCGAGCTCGATAATAAAAAGAAGGCGCGCGACGATGCGCTGCAATTTCTCGAAACTCTGGACATTGCTGATGACGCCGAGGAGGCCCAGGACACAAAGGCAGTCAATTCAAAGGACACTGAGGAAAACAGCAAGTCCCAAGCGACTGTGGAGCACCTGCAAAGAGTGGCTCGGGCGACGAGGACAAGAAGGACCCCAAGAGCATGCTCAAGTTCATCGACGACCTGACAGAGTCAGCCAAGCGCAGCTCCTCTACCAGCCCGGCGTCAGCCAACGAGCCAGCAAGCGAGCCCGTCAGCGCAACACAAAACACTGGCTCATGGTCATGGGGTGGAATTTGGGGCCAGGCAACGGCACTGGTTGAGCAGAACGCGCAGCTCAAGTCGGGTCTGGGCAAGCTGAAGGAGTCGATCGAGCAGGTGCGCAATACTGAGACCTCCAAGGCGCTTGAGACGCGGGTCAAGACGCTGGTTAACCAGGAGAATATCAGTAAGCTGGGGGGCGGGCTCAAGCGGTCACTCGACACTGTCATCGACACTATTGCGCCGCCAATCGAGGAGCACGAGATATTCAGAGTGCGCTTGATCAATAATATCCAGGACGATCAGCTGGAGAGCGTTGTTTACCGCACAATGGACGCTGTGTTTGACTTCCACGGGTTTGGCGAAATCACCGTCAAGTCGGCCGCCAAGGAGCTCGCTGAGGCCCCCGAGATGCAAACAAAGCGCGGCGATACATTTACGCTGCCCAAGGGATTTGACGGCGGATACGGCGCTGCGGTCACTTCCATCCAGTACGTGCAGCACACTGCCAAGACCCAAGCATTGACTAGGGAAGCGGCTGAGAAAGAGCATTCTAGGCAGGAGATGCGGCCGGAGAGCCCAATGTTTTTCCGTGCACAGAAGACCGAATTACTGCTAGCCATCCAGCCGTTCTCAGTCATGCCCATTGAGGATCAAGGCTTCCTCAGCCTGTGCGTTGTTCTGCGTGATCCGGCGCGCGACCTGACGCTGCGCACATTCTCACAGATGCTGCCCCTGAACTGCTGGGCCCAGCCGCGCGACCAGATTGTCGACATTGATATCGATGGCGCTCTCGGCAGCACCGTCAACATGAAGTCGGACAGCGTCGTCCAGCGCCGGCAGGAGATGAACGAAGGGTGCCTGTACGAGTCTGTGATGCTGGCAGTGAAGACTCTGTCCAACGAGTATCTGACCACTCGGCCGTCACTCCCAGCGTCGACGTCAGCGGCAGATTTGCCAGTGTCTGCCACGAGCATTTAAGCAATGCGTATCCGATTTTTTAGTTCTAACCGTATTTTCTCATTTGAAGCGCCACAATCAAGCATATCAGCTCATCTTCATTCATCCATCCGTTCATACATACACTTGTAAGGTATTACAGTGCACCGCCATTTACAAACAGTAAAAAAGAAAAGGTTGACAATGACGTGTGATATGGCAAGTATTTTTCGGAATATAAACAATGCCCATGTTTCTTACGTACTGTCGTAACCCCCGCTGCTCAATTTCCACTTGTGATCAGCACTAACATTCAACGCCACGTATCTCATTGTTACAAGATGGCTTCACAACCAGCGGAGAATAATAATGTCATTGGAGGCATCCATGTTGCAACTTGAATTGCTGTTGTGATTCATAGTCGGAAATTTTAGGACAACGAAAACAAAGCTCAGGTGTTTCTGGTGGAAAAAAGTTTTCTGCAGTTTCTAGCTTGCATTTCGGAACCGTGTAAATAGACAACTTGTTTTTTGTTTTTTGGGATCGCACATATTTTTAGGCCTTGTCCCGATATTTATTATTTATGTTTTTGATTTGATTTGCTTTGGTACGCGACCAAAATGGCAGAAAGGTGAATTCTTGGCACTTCCACGACTTCCGTTCTATCGATCGGCACACATATCCTTTTATTTCTCTGTGTCGCTGGGTGGCAAAACCGGATGTGCAAAATGTTTCATTGGGAAAAAAGTGGAGAGAGAAGGATGGGAACAAGAGGCGTCCGAGCGCACTGGGGGTGGGAACAAACGAATAAAAAACAAAGGTACATAAAATATACAACGAACAAGGGGGCTATTTTGCCACTGTAAGCACACCTGCATTCTTCTGGAATTCTCATGGCAAATGACCATGACCATACGCCTAAAGTGCAACCTCAAGCTTCCGAAAAAGTGAAAAATAAACAAATAAATAAAAATGGATTTGCACGCGACCCCGACAGGAAATGTTAGAGGGGCCAGAATGTTTCCGAATATGTCCCTTCATAAGTGCAAAAACACAAAGGATGTATGATGCAAATACATCATTGAGACAAGAGAAAAGAAAAAATTTATCGCTCGCCCCCCCCCCCAAAAAAAATGAAGAAATTCTAAATGCCAGTCGGCACACAGCCTGTATGCGCCCATGTCTCAAGGGATATAAAAGCAATTGTTGCTTCGAAGGCAATTTCTCCTCTCCTTCTTTTTCCCCTTTCTCATCTTTTTTATACATTTGCGTTTTCATACTTGCGCATACGCTAGCCAAAAAAGAAACCAACTGCCAGCCCTAACTTAACCAGGCCTGCAAATACGCACCAGCTAACTGCTGTAAGTTACATCACCGACCCAACGCAGCACATGCTGCCTTGAACACAACAAATCATACGCGTAAAATGATTTATCGCGACGCGTCTGCTAACTTTATATTTTGATCTGTTTTGCTTTATTATGTTCTGTTTTGCCTGTGTGTAGTAAAACAACATTTCTTCTGCGAGTTCTCATTGCTTGAAACTGATGGTAAACCCCGATCAACATGGAAGTCCCTATAGCGAACAAGATGTGAACTACCACTCACCCGGCTCATTGCCCACCACCACCACCGCGTCGGCCTCGGCCATCGCCTCCGCCCCGAGCGCCGCCTCCGCCGACGCAGCCGTTCCCGCCGATGCTGGCGCGCCCCTGGCCAGCACTGGCACCAACTCTAGTAGCGACAGCAGAAGTCTCAGCCACTTTGCTGACGAAAAGCCCGCTGCCAAGAGAACTGCTGTCATTGACGTCAATGACGAAATTGCTACTGGCGACTCTGCGCAGGCGCCAGTGCTGGGTCCCGGCGCAGCGCTTCCTTTCATTGACGGAAAGGAGTCCGTCGAGTTCCAGGTCGGCAATCAGGTCGTCGACCTGTTTGACATCCTGGCCTCACGCCAGGAAAACTCCCGCGGCCCGAAAAGCAGGCGCTACCACCTGATGCACAGCAACTCGCTTTTGCGTCATATGCGCGACGCGACCAATAACATTCTGCGCAGCTCCCCCTCGACGAGCACATTAGCTCTGGCCAATCGGATCAAACGCGCCAAGACATTTCCCCTGAGCAGCCCCGCGATTCGCCCACGGCGGCTGCGGCTGCGGAAAATCCTCCCGCCCAGCACGGGGGATCGGGCAGCGCGGATGTTAATCTGACCGAGGTGCTCGACAGCATGCAGTACGTGGTCAACTACCGCCTCAAGGGCCGCCAGCAACCCCACCTGGACGCGGACCTGATGCGCCGCCTGTGCGATGCCCTCTTGCTAGCCATGACCATCATGGACGGTTCGTTCATGAACAAGCGCTTGACTGAGGACGCACGCTCGGCCTACTTTTTATTTGGTCAGTTCATCGAGGAGATCAATGAGTTCCAGCAGTGCGTCGGTGAAAAGCCCGTTGCCGATCTGCGCCGCTCGCTGAAGCTGCACAATCGCATCACCGACGGCGGCCCCGAGGAGGAGAAGCTGGCTGCGGTCACTATCATGCGCCTGGTTCTCGCCTGCCTGCCGCCTGGCAATGACTGGCGCGATCTCGTCGACGAGCACGAGCAGCGTGCCATTGCGCCAATTGTCGAAAAGTACAGCCGGATTATCGAAGATGACACGGCGTCCTACCACATGCCTGTCACCGGCGGCGTAGTCTTCCCGCCGCCGTCGCTTTACTTTGACCGCACAGTCGAGAAGCTCACGGCCATGTTCAAAACCGACGTTGTCAACGGCCTTACCACCGAGCAGGTTGAAGAGCGCCGCGCGTTTTACGGGCGAAATGAGCTGCCGCGCCCCATTCACCGTGCCTGGTGGAAAATTGTCTGGGCCCAACTCACCGACGTGATGATCCTTATCCTCTGTGCGGCCATCATCGCAACCGCCGTCAACAAGGAGTGGAAGTCGTCCGTTGTTCTTGCTGTAGTCGTGGTTCTCAACACCATTGTCGGCGCATGGCAGGAGATCAAAGCCGGAAAGGCCCTGTCGGCTCTGGAGAACCTGGGAACGACCAGCGCGCAGGTCGTTAGAAACGGTGTGCTCGAGCCCATCAACGCCGCCGAACTGGTTCCAGGAGACTTGGTTGAGCTTGGCGAAGGAGAGTCCGTGCCTGCCGATCTGCGCCTTGTTTTCTGCGCTCAGCTTGAAATTGTCGAGAGCGTGCTCACTGGCGAGAGCGTCGGCGTGACCAAAGACCCCAAGGCAATCAAGGTGCGCACGCGTCAGCTGCCTCTGGGCGATTGCAAGGGTAATGCGTTCATGTCGACGCTTGTTTCTCACGGTCGCGGCCGAGGAATCGTTATCCGCACGGGTTCTAAGACCGAGATTGGAAAGATCAGCGTCGCCATCAATCGCTCATCGTTGACTGTGCGCAAGACGCCCATTCAGAAAAAGCTTCATCGTTTGGGTATCTGGCTGGTCGTCCTCGCCATCCTGCTATGTGCGATCATCGTCATCTGCGGTGTGTCGTGGGGACGCAAGTTTGTTCCCATCTTCATCACTGGTATCAGTTGGCGTCTCGTCATTCCGAGGGCCTGGTTGCTGTTACCACGGTCACCATGGCGTTGGGTGTGCGCCGCATGGCCAGTCGCAACGCGCTTGTGCGCACGCTGCCCGCCGTCGAGACCCTCGGCGGAGTCACTGTGATTTGCTCGGACAAGACGGGCACTCTGACCTTTGGCCTGATGGGCGCCAGCGAGATGGTCGACTCTAACGGCATGCTGTTCGAGTTCTCAAAGTCAACATCGCGCGACCCCAACGAGGGCGAAGTGTCTTGCCGCGGGCACATCAACGGAATCGAGTCCAATTCTCATCCGACTGTTCAGGACATTGAAAAGCACAGCACGGTCGCTGCCGACATGTCGCTGGTTGTGTGCTCTATGTGCAACAATGCCGAAGTTTTCTTTGACACCGAGGCTGGTCAGTGGAGCAGCTTGGGCGATGCCACCGAGGTTGCAATGACCATTGCTGCGCAAAAGGCCGGTCTGCGTAAGGCTGCTATCACTACCACTGGAAATGGCAATAACAGCACTGAATCCAGCGACGAGGAAAAGCTGGGGGGCTCCGGAAACGCCTTGTCGCTTACCGAAGCACCCCTTAAGCTGCTGGTCGAGAACGCATTCGACTCAGACCGTAAGCGCATGAGTGTGGTCTACGAGGCCTCTGCTGCCGCTTCCACTGCCGTTGGCTCAAACAAGAAGCATTCCGCCAAGCGCTGCGTGGTTACGCTGGTTAAGGGCGCGCCCGAGGAGATACTGTCTGTGTGCTCGCGTCAGCTTACCAGCGCCAGCGGGTTCCTGCGCCACGGCACCACTGCCGATGGTAAGCCAGCCAATCAGACGCCCCAGGTCATTGCCGCGGGTATTATATCTTGCCTTGACCGCGACGCCATCGCGCTGACCAGCGACATGACTTGCGCTGCTGGAGATGCCTGCGAGAAGATGGCTAGCCGCGGCCTGCGTGTTCTGGGCCTGGCCGCCAAGGTCACGTACTTGGACATGGACGCGCCCATCACTGACGAGTCGCTTGGCCTGGCATGGGCCGAGAGCGACCTTGTGTTTGCAGGACTTATCGGTCTGATCGACCCTCCTCGCACTGGAATTTTCGACTCGGTGCGCAGCTGCCACGACGCTGGAATCAAGGTCATTATGATCACGGGTGATCATATCGGCACTGCCACGGCCATTGCCGAGTCCATCGGCATTATTCGCCAGGACAAGCCCGACACTCAGCGCGCCATCTCGGGTGCCGAGTTAGATCTGTTGTCCGAGGAGGCAATGTCGCTGCTTGACCCGTTCCCCTGCGTGTTTGCCCGTGTGTCACCCGAGAACAAGATTCGCATTGTGCGCGCGCTGCAGCAGATGGCCATGTTGTGGCCATGACAGGCGACGGTGTCAACGATGCCGCGGCAGTCAAGGGCGCTGATGTTGGCGTAGCGATGGGCCTGAGCGGCACGGATATCACCAAGCAGGCTGCCGACATTGTGCTCACCGATGACAACTTTACGACCATCGTCTTGGCCATAGAAGAGGGCAGGCGTATTTTCGACAACATCCTCAAGTTTATCCTGTACCTGCTCAGCTGCAATTCGGCCGAGATCTTTTGTTCCTTATTGCTGCCATGCTCAACCTCGATTTCCCGTTCACTACGATCATGATTCTGTGGGCCAACATTATTGCCGACATTCCGCCGGCCCTGTCGCTTGGCCTGGACCCGCCAGAGCTCAACATCATGAAGCGTCCGCCGCGCAATCCCAAGACCGGCGTTCTAACCAAATCCACAACCCTTGTGATGTTCATGCAAGCCATTTCATGTCCGTCATCACCTTTGCCGTCTTTATTGTTGCCGCGCTGACGCCCTTTGGCATACTGTCTTGACCAACAAGGCGGGCACGTCGCCAGACACTTACGTGCCGTCGATCTTCCACAACGGCGACCCCGAGCTGAATGCGAACGAAAACCACAATCCGCACATCGCCGGCGCCCGCTCCATCGCGTTTGGCGTTCTTACCGTTCTTCAGCTTAACCAGGCGTTCCTCTCGAGGTCCGTCGACATCAGCATATTCAAGACCGGTCTTTTTGAGAATAGGTGGATGGTTGGATGCGTGCTCTTTTCGTTCGTATGTTATCTTCTCGGAACATACGTCCCGGGCCTAAACACCTGGCTTGAGCTTGTCCCCATTGGCTGGCAGGCCTGGCTGGTCATCCTGGGTGCTGTCATTCTTCAGGTCGTGTTCAGCGAACTGATGAAACTGGGGCTGCGCTCGTACTATAGAAAGAACGCTCTCAAGGAGGAGAATAAGCTCAATGAGCATTACGAACAGCAGCAGCTGCTATTGCAGCACCCGCAGCAGCATCCAGAGAAGGATATGGACATGGTGGCAAAGAAGGCCTGAGTGAAACATATTTTATAACTTTTTTTGAAAACAATATTTAGTACATATCTTTCAGTCCATCAATTTCGATCTTAACCAAAAAAACACGCACACACACATAAATGACATCGTAAATTGACACATATGAACACCGGCTTTTCAAATATGATATGTGATATCAACAGTCAATTCAAACTCTAAATGTTTAAAAATTAGAAATGGAAATAGTATACGAGTGTACAGACATTTTACTATATTTGTAAAGCTATCGAGCAGCACTTCTCTGCGCTCGAGGCTGCGACGCGCGCGACGGTGGCGGCGGCAATATCGAAGCAGCATTAGCCTGCTTGCCAATCGACCCAGTTCTGCTGCGTGTCACTCTCACCGGCGACTCCTGCTCCTGCACTTTCTGAAGCTGCCGGACCGGCGAGCGTTCCTTACTGGACTGCGGCAAAGGTGACGCACTCCTTCTCACAGACTGTGCCCGAGACAAGTTCTGCTCAGAGACTGTACCCAGCCGCTTCTTCTGCTGCTGCTGTTGCTGTGTTGTTTCTAGAAACTATTTGGCTTGGACTCGCCATTGTTGCTCTGAGCCGACGACGCGTAATCTACAGTGTCCTCGCCAGCTGAGAGTGCTACCTGGCTAGCATGCCGCATATGGACTCTGTGAGCGCCCTCATTATCATCGTCATCATCCATCATGATGTCTTCGTCCTCCTCATCCTCATCATCGTCATAGTCATCGCCCGGCGACATGCGCTTATCGCCCATAACGCTGCTGCTGCCGCCCGTGATTGGGGACTGGCTCTCGCTGGCATACCTGCCCGGAGACGACGCCCCAGTACCAGTGCAGGCGCTGAGCGACCCCCTCCGATGGTGCATGCTTCCTATAGGATCCCCCTGGCCTGCGCACGCGCGCGTGCCCTGTCCTTTTCCCTCTCGCGCTCCATCTCCATGGCCTTCTTTGTGCGGCGCGTGCGCTTATACACGCCATTAGAAAACTGGCCCTTATACGAATCCTCAATAGCCCAATATGACCCCTTCCCGGCTCATTGCTGGCGCGCTGTACGCGCACGAATGCCTTGTTCAGTGAAAGGTTGTGGCGTATCGAGTTCTGCCAGCCGTTCTGTGCGTGCTGGTAGTACGGGTAGTGATCCATTATGAACGTGTAGATGCCGTTGAGCGTCACTTTTTTGTCGTCTGTCGCGTTGATCGCCTGCGCTATGAGCGAAGCGTAGGAGTATGTGGGTTTTGCGTACGTGTTTGTCATGTCGTCTGGCTTTGGTCGTTCAGTCGCTGGCAGTATACGGACACCACTGGGGCTGGTAGGCACGCATGAAGGTTGTATGGTGATCGACTTGCCGCTGTGAGATGGTGTGTTCGGCTTTGGCGACCCTGACCGATTATGTTGATTCTGATTTTGCTGATTTTGTTGTTGTTGTGGTGGTGGCTGCTGATTCTGCAATTGCTGCTGCGAATGGCGATGTAGCATCGTTGGCTGTGGTTGCTGTGACTGGCCATTGTCGGACACCCGCTGAGCTTGGTTTGGGGGCAGAGGCAGGGGTAGCGGAGGACCTCGTGGCATCATCGGTTGCTGTATGTGATGCATTTGCGGCGGCGGCGGACGACGCGAAAGCAGGGCGCCCGGATGGCCTTGCGGATGCCCGGATCGTGCGCAGGGTATTGGCTGTTTCGGCGCATATCATCGGGGGCGTTCCTGCCATACATCCCAGCAGCAGGAGGATGTAAGGACTGCGGCAGCAACGGCGGGGACCGGCGGCGGTGATCGCGGCGTCCATCGTCGAGTGGCATCGGATTCAGCGGGTATCCCGGCTGATTGCGCTGCTGCTGTTGATGCGAATGGCCGCCTCCGGCTGCAAGTAGAGATTGAGCCGCTGAGGTGTAATCGCATTACTGGGTACCCACCATGCTGAGGCGGGTGCTGGTGCTGAGGCGAGGCATCATTCGTATGCAGGGGCGCCATCGGAGCATGCGGGCCGGGATGCATGCCAAGCGGTTCTGCGGGCGGGCCTGCTGGAGCCAAGCCGGGTGTGTTTGCCGAGTACCCAGCGCCGTTTGGTATCACTGGGTTCGCTGGCCCTGCTGCCGTCATTGCTGCCTTGGGCAGCAAGAACGAAAACTCCGTGTCCCCAATTTGTATAATCATTTTGTGTCGGAGTGTGACGCTCTGGCCCTTTGCAAAATACTCGTCATCCACCAAGCACCCGTTCTTGCCAAATATCTGCAGCTCAAACTCTGGCTCATAAAGTTGTAGTGTATTTTGGCATGCCTGCGCGACACTGCTTTGATATCACCCAGGTCAATGTCGACTGGGTCTGGATCGTCGCTTGACGAATGGCGTCCTAACGAGACCTCCAATGTGCGCACATAGTAGCAGAAATCGGGGCCCTCCAGCTTAGCGTACGCTTGCACGGGTGCCTGGGAGTCGCTCACTCCGGAGTCTGCGTTGCCTGACAATGGTGCCATTGTGGAGTTGCTGCTGTCCGGGTGCTGCTCTTGCATCTGAATGTCGCGGTGTGTGGATGTGCTGAGGTGGTGCTTTTCAAAGGTGTGCTGTGTAACTTTTGGCGTGGTAAAAATATCCGTCGATTTGCTCATTATTGATGACGAGCATAAAGACGTAAAGCGTCTGTGTATGTGACAGAGAGTAAAAGATGCGTGCCTGCAGTCGGCGTTTCTACCACCAGTGTTTCTAGCTAAAGCTCAATAATAGGGAATAGAGAATACACACAAGAAAAAATAACAAGAGCAAAGACAAGAACAAGGGTTGAAAAGGGGTTGTTAATTGTTGCTTTTTTAGAGATTACAGGTAGAAAAGAACAAAAATAAAAACACAATAAGCCACAAAGAAGCGCCGGGCGCTGTCAAGGAAAAAATTAGTTGTGTAGGTTTGGAAAAAAGGAATTTTTAAAAAGGGGCAGGTAAAAAATATATAAAGGAAAAATGGTGGGGTGCTCTGCTATCAGGGAATGTTAAAGAGAAAAGGAAAAAAAAACAAGAAATCTTTTTTTATATTTTTGTTGATGAGATGGTTATTAGGGCCAAGAGCAGAGGGGGAAAAGACAAAACAATAAAAAAAACGAAAAAGAAAAAGAAAAACAAACAGCCGCTTGGTCACAGCCCCCTCCCCCTTCTTAGCCTTGCGAATATACAACAGATAATTTTTTATTGGGAGCTGGGTTGCATTGAATGCGTGTTTTTTTTAATGCGAGAAATTTGGTTGGATGCAATCATTTTTTGTTTTTATTAGCGCCTCTTGCTGTTATCACTGCATTTGCAACTGTCACTTGCCACCGCAGCTGCTGTGCTGCCTTTGAAGTATGTGCGAATGGGTCGTAATTGAAAATAGAAAATAGCAGATATACATATTTTTTACCTGTTGTTGCTGCTAGCGACCCTGAAGATGGAAAAAAACAAGGTTGCTGAAAAATATAAATAGTAGTAATGAAATTAACTGCGGGTCCAGGCGTGGAGACGCAAGGAGGCCGTGCTGTAAGATGTTTCGAGCAATAAATGTGGGGGGAGAGAGAAAGAGAAAAGTGCGCAATAAAAAAGTAAATAAACAGAGCAGGGGTGTGGGCTGCATTTATTTATCGAAAAGTACGCACGCTCTGGTTTTTCTGTGGTCAGGGTAGTCACAAAATATGAAAATATGAGTGTGGGTTGCAAAAAATGGTAAAATAAAAATATATATGAATAAAAAAGGCCCTGTAACGACTTTATTATATTGCTGCCTAGACTCTGTCCGACCAAAAAAAACACGATATTGCAATCATCTTTTTTTGTTGTCAACATTTGCTTGGACAAGTAAACAGATTTATTTATTTATTTTTTGCAAAAAAAGACGTTTCGCTTCAGGATACGCAGGCGCAAGGGATTGCCTGTTTATTTATCACCTTTCAACTGCCGCCGCTGCCTTGCTGGCTTTTTGGACCCTTGCGTAAAGAGCACTAAAAGTAGAGTAGAGTGCTGGTCACGCAGCTTCCAGGTGTGCCATGTGCATCCAGTTTCAGGGACAAGGTTGATAAAATAATGTTTATTTTATCTTGACTGCGTGACAATATTGCAGAAAAGGATCAACTTTTTTTGAGCTCTTTTTTTTAATCAGGAGATTTGACTGGTGAGAACGAAAAAAAATAAAGTGAAAAACAGGGGGGCATTTAAAAATTACCGACGCGCAATTAAAAGCAGTAGTTATTTCACCTTGCGAAATAATGACAGCGTGGGTTTGGGTTTGCCTTGTTAATCAGAACTGGGCGAAAAAAGGTATGCAAAGAGCAAAATAAAATAACAATTGTTGTATAATCAACTTGAAAGCAAAAAATAGACTTTCTTTGCCGCGCTAAAGTCACTGGTTTGTGCTGTTGATATCAGTGTAGAAAACATAAGGCATCTTTTTGTTTACACCCAAAAAAAGCCCTTTTTAAAATCGTTGGGCGTTCTATATTCTTCACCAAAAGAAACAGGCGAAGAGCAAAAGTGGCTTTTTTCTTTGAGGTGTTGATGTTTTTCAATCGATTTGAGCACAAGAGACCCCAGCGACCAGAATGAATTTTTTCTTCACGCAAACAAAACAATATTTATGATTGCCGCGGCCTGCCAAAAGACGCAAAAAACAATCACATACAACTAAAAAAATGTTTAACATCAACAAAAAAATAGATTGAGCGCTTGGATGGTGGGGAAGGGCAAAACAAAAACAAAATAAAACAGCGATCAGCTTTTGTTGATTTTTTCTCCCCTACTCCGCCAATTTTATTTTTCTAAATAAAAATTTTGGATTGGTTTAATGTATCAATAGCAATCACGTGATAGTACAGTCATTTGGTCATTTGCAAATAGTATCTTTAAACAATTGGCAGAGCTGTCTTTGAGCTAAAGAGATATGTGCCCGCATAAATCTTGCATTTCTGGGTACAAATTACATCCATATTTTCTGAATAACGTTTACTTTGAGTCTTTTTATCCAGGCAGATTAACATAGTATTACTGTTGTTATAAATATATATATTGAATAAATGAACTAAAAGAAAGCTAATGGATGAACAGCCTCCACTGTTCATATTCATTGGTATTTATGCGTGCGTATGAATTCCGCATATCCAGTAGGTAATTAACTAGCGATTGATTCATTAATCAATCGCCGGAGACAAGCCGCAATTCTTGTATCACAATTACAATATGTGGGCATGAGGTGTATGTAGAATAAATTCTAGAATTTACATCTCAGATGGATCATCAAATAAGGAGCATAGCGTATTTTTTGCATACACCTCATGCCTACAGTTGTCATAAATACATATTTACATTGAGGCAAGTATATTAGAATTATTTTAAACTCTCGGCATCTATTGTTGTTACTATTATAAAAACAAGGCGCCAGTTAAAAGCAGCAGTAGTAAAGCGCCACTGCTGTAAGCCCCAACTTACTATTATATTGCAAGTGAACAATTTATAAGCTGTAGACAGCAAAAAACGGGGGGGGGAACTATACAAGCAAGGTATATCTCGATGTGCTTCAAGATTTTCGAGTTTTTTAGAACCAATTACAATTCACAAAACAGTATAATTACTCGTTGGCTTTTACTTTGAAATACCACCTGGACTTTTCACATAGAATATATTCAGACACGTCATATTAACAATCATACAATTAAAAAATAAAACAGGTAGAGCCTACATATACTATTAAAAGAAATATACAAGTATGAGATTATTGGATATATCGTCCTTGCTTTTGAGTTTAGTCGTGGTAACTAGTGGCTCTTTAATCCGAAACACAACAATAGTTATTTCACCAAGCAACAAGGCAACCAGCATTAGCACCAGCACCAACACCAGCACCATCATCAGCATCAGAATCAGCACCAGCACTAGCACTAGCACGTCTTTTACTCAGTTAAGCTCTCAGAGTGACGACTGCTTTTACTTTTGCCCGCCCTGTCCTCGGGGGTTTGTTTCTTTAGATGCATGAATATTTGCCCCGATTCTTCCCAAAAGTCCGAGCCAATGGGTTTCGTTCCCGAATCCCTGCTAAAAACATCAGATTTGCCAGTGCCCACATCAGCTGTAACGTTGCAAACATTGGTATCAAAAAACACATCTAGTGCCAGCAAGTCTGTTTCACACCAAAAATAATTATTCAGGTAATATACTTGTTTATTAGCCTGACAAAATAAAGACTATATATAGGTATGACAAATGAACAAAAAAAGTATATTATTACGGCTATTTATAAAATACAAAAATCAAAATTATTTATAGGATGGGGGAGCCGCTATAAACATGGGCGGGATTTGAACCCAGCACTCGTCTTTCTTGCAAAGGTCGGGGTTTGGGCACGGCTTACATTCTCTGTTTGTGACGACCAGAGCATGCGAGGAGATTGCGGCAAATAAAAGCAGTACAATCAATCTCATTATAACAGTGTTTTTTAAGACGATATATTGGTAGGAAAAAACAAAAAGATAAGATTGTAGATGAATGGGGTTCTCTTTTTTAAATGAATGATAAACTAAAAATTATAGTTTTCAAATCAATAGAGATTCGTATGGGAGTTTTTATAAATGAATTAATTTATTGTAGAAAGTAAAAAAAGAGAGAAAAATATTGTCTCCAGGATTTCATTAGCTTACTACAAGAAGAGTTCTTCGCATACATCGTTTGCCATCACAAGTTGTGAACAGGTATTAATATACACGCCTCCAATATTATTCTGAATAGTGATAACACACGTATTAAGTAGATGATTCAACATTCCGACTAAATACACATGTTGGTACCTTTTTTAGTTATGCAGGCTTTTGCGATTGTTCACATGAACATACCTTCAATAAATTGTTAAATACAGCCAATGTCATTTAACACTTTAATTTTGAAATTATTAATTAGTCGAATAATCGTTTACAACAAATGCCATTATATTACTCTGTGTTTGTGTGAGTGTTCGATGAAAAGAACTTTTTTAATAAAAGTACCAGTATAGCTTAAAGACAGACAATGTCCAAAACAATACATGTGACAAAGAAAGATGAAGCCAATATACCAGAAAATAGTATGTAGCCACTATAATCCTCAAATGCCAGTAAACAGTGCGCTAGAATCGCGCCCCTCTCCATAAACAAAAAATTGAATAGTATTCTAGATCTTTGACAATGTGACTTTGCCTGCGGAAAGCGCAGCAACAACAGCCTCTTCGAACTTGTTCTTCACTTCATCTTTGTCCAACTTGCTCTTCTTGTGCTTCGTAACCATCTTAATGCACTTCTTCTTCATGTCCTTAAAAGAAACATTGTCAGAAACATTGTTTTCGCCAAGGTGCGCAGCAATGGCACAAACCAGCGCCTCCACGGAATTTTTAGGCAAATCAGATTCATCCCAAGCCGACTCTTTCTTTTCCTCCTTATTCTCTTCTCCTTCTTGCTCTTCTTCTCCTCCTCCTCGGCGGTGTCCTCAGGTTTGCGCTTTTTATCTGCAACCGTAGATTCCTGGACAGAGTTTAGTTGCTGGGCCCTTTCCTTGAGCTGATCCACGGTAGACTTTGTCTGTGGCTGGGTTTGTGCGGGGATGTTCTGCTTCTGGTTAGCATTCTTTTTGTTGCCCTTGAACAGTTTCCCCTCGTACTTTTCGGCCTCGCTTATGCAGGAGGTGTGCTGGCGGTAGGTCGTACCCATAAAATCGACGCTACAGTCAATGCAGGAGAATGAGGCGTTGCGACAGCGCTGGGCATGCATGTCGAGCTTGGGCTTCTTCAGAGTTTCCTGGCAATAGTTGCAAACGAACGAGACCATGACTGCTAATGTATATATTAATAAAGTTTATAATAAATATAGATAAAAGCGAGAGGGGAAAATGAAAGAGGAAAAAAATAATATAGAACAGAAACCGTCGGGCTAACAACCTGTAAATGTCACAAATAAAGGTGTGCAGAGAAAGCAAGGAAAAAAATGTTTAATCTAAAAATCAATAAATCAACGATCAGTTAAAAAGGGTTAAGCCAATCGCAGTGGCAATTGTGGACGTGCACATACGAAACATTGCAATTAATAACACGTTATTAATTACAATAAGGTAAGATAAGAGAGTTGCCACTACTACACTTGATTTGTAAATGATGAAGATGAGTGAAATTCATACTTGTAAAGAATAATAGAAAAAAGATATAGCAATGGCAATAGCAATAATGGGTAAAAAAGATAAACAAAAAACATTGATATTATTCTCATTTCAAGCCCAGTCCTTCTTGATCTCCATAGTCCAGGTCCATCCAGATGAACATTGTTATCATCATCAACAAACTTGCTTCTAATAACATACGAACCGCGAGAGCCAAGTCCCGAGGGAGCAGTGTTCTGAGGGAAACGGCACTGCTGCTTATCAAGCTTGGGGCCAAAGCTTCCGCACATCTCCTCGCTCCTCTCTATAGTAAGTATACTGCGCTTCACTTGCTGCAGGTACTTTAGGCCTGAAATGACCTCGCGCTGGATATAGAACTCAATGATGAACGAGTAGTCAACGCCCCACTTGATCACAATTGGCGTAGCCTTGAGCTGGGCAATCTTCTCAGGCGTCGACACGTCCATTACAATTGTCTTTTCAGCGGATTCGAAGATCAAGGCATGGACGATGACCGAACGAGGATCCTCAGGGAACGGAACTAGTAAAAATAAAATTTGCAGAGAGGGGAGGGTAAAGTTATTAGCATAAAATCAGATAATATTTTGCTTTTTGATTTTTATACTTATTTGTTTATTTGTTTGGAAATTGCACTTCAATTTCGCCAGAGATGACAAAGTCAGCTTGGTGGTTTGTGCCAGCAATATAAAACAAACTTTACCTTGTGCGTTGTCAAGACCCAGCGACGCCTTCCATTTGTTCAGGGACTCGTCGTTGGCGTCGAGCTGCTTGAGCTCGGAAAGATCCTTCTTCTCTCCGGGGGTGTAGCCCTCAGTCTGGGTGGCGACCAGATCATCGATTTCTTGCTTCTGCTGCTGCAACATTATTTTTTAAAGTGAAAGATTGCAAGATGTAACGAATTAGTTTAAAAGAGAAATAAAAAGTAAACACTTGTGAAGTAAGAAAAGGGAAAAAGGGAGAAATATAAGTAAAAAGTATGTGTGTTTTGGTTGTTTTGGATGCTTGGTTTCTTGGCCTATTTTTGTCATTTTGTTGCTTTTGTTGTTCTATTTTTTGGCTCAGGGCACGCGAAAACCAAAACCAAAACAAGGTCGTTTTTTCATTGCTTTCTTCCCGCCCCTCGTCCTTTTCTCCCTTCTCTATTTGTGTAAAAGCAATGACAACAAATTCGTGAAATCGCCCACGATGATCGGAATCTGTATTATTTTTTATTTTTATAGCAACTGGTTTTCTTAGGGTCTGCATGAACAACCCATGTATCATCACGTGAATAGTATATTTTAACCAGAAAATAGCAGAAAAGCAAAAAACAGCCTCAGGCCCTTGAAATATTCCCCTCCACTCTTAGTGTTTGGCGTGAGCACGGGCCTTCATCTCCTTGCGCTTAACACGCATGCGCTTCCTAGCGGACATCTCAGCCTGGTACTTCTCCTGACGCTCCTTCTCCTCCTTCCTCTTTCTGCGCTCAACAATCCTGTCTCTGTGCGCGTCCTTTTCGGCTTTCTTCTCATCTTTCAAGCCCTGCTCAATAGCCTTGAGTGCCTTGAGGTCCTGGGTTTCCTGCATGCGCTGGTCGTATGTTTTGCGCAGAGATTTGTGGATCATTGTGCGGTTGGTCGGCTTTTTGGTGGCCTTCCATGTGCGTCCGCTTACCCGAGACAGGGGGGCTGCTGATATGACGCTGCCTTTGTTTGCGACTTTGGTGGATTCCGTTGATGACATGGTGAATGAGTGGTCTTTCTATTCTTTATAGTACAAAAAAGGAGAGAGATAGGGATAGAGATGGTATTAAAACGGCAGATGAGTTGAGTGGAAAGCAAAAGGCAAAAGACTCGCTAATCCCAATGATTTTTTTTCAGTGCTATGCGTGTAAAAAACGGAAAAAGAGGAAGAAAAAAGTAAGCGGTGATCGGTATAAGATTAATATTATAATCGAAATCATCATGTCTCCCCCCAATAGCACTTGAGTCACCTGAAAGCGCCAGCCAATTGGAGGATTTCTCAAAATACAGGCGACCCCCGCCACAAACTTCCGGTTCTGGACTCTCGAAATTGACAAGGCCAGACAGACAGTGAATGGAGCAGAGAGAAGGGAGGGGGAGCAGTGGGCGCATCACTCTTTTTTTATTGTTGTTCCATTTCGCCGGAGCACAAAAAAGACAAACAGAGCGGGTGTCAACACCACACATAATAGGAGAAATGGAGGAGAGGGTTGTTTTGTTTATATATTTTCATTTTAGAGTGGCGTGTCCCTTCTTTTTTCGCTTCTCCGTTTTTATATATATATTTTTCCAAGGCTAGACTTTGGTCTATTTTTCATCTCTTGCTCTCGCTTTCTTTTCTATTTTTTCTTTTTAACCAGTTTAACGCAAAATAACACCCTCTTTTGTCTTTCTCTTTTATATTTCATTTTTCACAATCAGCTACACCACCGAATTTCAAAAAGACACGTACTTTCCTCCTCTCTCCCCCTACTTTCTCTGGATTTATTGAAATCTCGCCTTTACCAACAAAAAAATGGAGCCGGAAAAGAGCACACTTAGCGACAGACACTCCGAGCATGAGGCAGAGTACGTTGATATTCTGTCAGACCTTCGCGAAGCAGTGTACCGGCGGAGGCCCACCGACATCTACCAGTTCTGCGCCACGTACTTTAACCAGAAGTTGGCCGAGCAGCGAGAGGGGCTTTGGCGCTTCTCAAGATGCACCCCAATATTCTCGATCCTGTCGGAGAAGGCCCAGAGGCTGCAGCAGGAGCAGCCACAGCCACAGCCACAGCTGCAACAGCGGTGACGGCGGTGGCAAGCCAAACACGCCCGGAGGTATTCCGGCCGTATCGGGGCTGCACAATGGCGGCAGCAGCAGCACCAGCAGCATGCACCAGGATGAGACGCCCAGGGAGTCCGGCCCGAGGCTAATGGAAACCAGGACGACTCGCATTCGTGCATGCGGCAGGCTTCAGAGCATGCGTGGACCAGTAGTGGCAGCGCTTGTGGAATGATCAACCCCAACTTTAGCTTTGGCAGCAGCAGCAACAGCAGCAGCAGCAGCTTCCAGCAGCAGGCGGCTGATGACAGCGGTATGACAGTGGACAACGACGCGGACGAGGAGGCGCGCGACAAATTCAGCAGCCTGGTGTCTGTTCCGCAGCCGGCAGCCTGTTGCCCTTTGCTGGGCGTCGGTTCAGTGTGTCTGCCGAAAGCATGAACCCGTCGACGGAGGCTGAGTACAAGAAGAAGTTTGTCCCCAAGACCGAGGGCCAGAAGCAGCGGATCCGGCAGGCACTGGACAACAACTTTTTGTTCAAAAACATGGACGAGGACTCGTACCGCGATGTCGTTGACGCCATGGAGGAAAGCACGTCGAGCGCGGCCAGAGTGTCATTGTTCAGGGCGGCGTCGGCGACTACTTTTATATTGTCGAGCGCGGCACCTTTGACATCTACAAGGCCAGTGGCGGAGATCCCGTGAAGGTCGCCCAGGTGGCGGACGGCGGCAGCTTTGGCGAGCTCGCACTTATGTATAATGCGCCCAGGGCGGCGACTGTGACGGCCACGTCGGATGCCACACTGTGGGCCCTGGACCGCATCACATTCCGTAGCTTGCTGATGGAGCGCACCTCGCGCAAACGCCGCCTCTACGAGCGGTTCCTCGAGACCGTCCCTTTACTCAAGTCGCTCGAGCCCTATGAGCGCCAGAAGATTGCTGATGCGCTCGAGTCTGTCACATTCAACGATGGCGACGTTATTATGCACCAGGGTGACCCCGGACACGACTTTTTCCTTATTGAGCAGGGCACTGTCAAGGTATACAAGACGGATGGGGATGGCGTGAGCCGCGAGTACCCAGCGCTTGGACAGGGCGGGTACTTTGGCGAGCTGGCGCTGATCGATAATCAGCCCAGGCAGGCGACGCTGATCTCATGTGGCCGTACTAAGTGTGCGAGAATGAGCCGCGACGCCTTTAACCGCTTGCTGGGCCCTGTCATCAACATTATCAGGCGCGAGGCTGGTAACTACATGCATATCCAGTCGCTGACTGCTAAGCACTAAAGACGGGGACGTTGTATGTGCATGGTTACTCCCCCTTCGTATTTGGCCCCTTTTACATTATTCTAACATGTTTATTTTATTCTTTTTCTTTATTGGCCAATTCCAAAACAAACGTTATCAAAACAATTGTATCAACTTTGTCGTATTAAATAATGCAAAATAAGTTTACTGGAGTTTTTCAGCTATCTTGGCCTCCAAGCGCGCCTTTGCCTCCTGCATACCGATCGACCGCGTAACCTTCATCCGAGCGCCCGTAACCGGCTCCTCGCCCCTATTCATCACAGCTCCATCCTCTCTCACCACAACACACCACTCCGGCACAAACGCACTCATCTCGACCAAATGCACAGCAGCCTCCGCCTTATCCAGCCCCTTTGTCTCCGCAATCCGGTCAGCGACGAAGAAGAACGGCAGCACGGATTTGCGCTCCGAGTAAAACATAAAAGACAAAGCTTCAAGGATACCCGGAAGGCGAGAATGCATTGTACGCGTGGATGCGGGCACTACAGGCGCTTCGTTTTGTTTCTGGAGTTCTTTGGCACGCTGCTTGGCGCGGATGCGTTCGAGCAGCTCTTGCGCCTTTGTAATAGGCTTTTCCTTGGGAATCGCTGCCGCTGCTGCCTTTGTTGCTGCCAATGCCGCTGCCGCTGCAGTGGTTGGTTCCGGAACTAGGTCGGCTTGCTCCTGGGCGGGGGCCTGGGAAGTGCCGCAGTGGTCTGGCCTAGTAGATGCTTGAGGCGGTTGCGGTCGAACGTGGCCACCAACGGGCTAGCCGACTGGTTGCCCAAGGGCAATGTCGCCGGCGGCATCGCAATGGGGGTGACCATCGGGGTAGTCTCGATATCAAACTCCGGATGCCATCCTCGCACCGCGCTAATATCCGTCTCCGTGTACCCACGCCTGGCCAAAAACCCCCATGCTCGGCCTCCACAATCCTTACCAATCTCTTCCGGAACTCCACCCTCCTCCTCTCCATCTCCACAGCCATCTGCAGCCCATGAGCTCTAGGCTTAAGCTCGACCGAAACCACCCTGCGGCCCTCATGCATAGTGGGCAGGGCCCCAAACGTGTATGATTCCGGGTATACTGCGAGAATCTGCCCAAGCTCGTGCCATCCAAAAGTGCGTTTAGCCATGACCTCGACGCTCTTGCGGATGCGGTGGTAGATGACCCCCATGGATGCATCCTTAGAGTCAAAAAGAATGGTGTGCTCAAGTGCTTGGAAGAGCTCCTCGAGTTTGCGCATCGACCGCGGCAGCGGCTGTGCGCTGCCGGGTTGTGGGCTGATTGAAACAAACTGACGCCGCAGATCACGCAGGTATAGGTCTTCGGTGGTCGGAATTATGGTGGACGCAAAGGTCGAGGGCGAGGGCTTCGCCATGTTATTGGTGGTGGTCTCGGTGATGGTTTCGCGAAGGGCGCGGATGCTCGCTTGGATCTCGCGCGTTTGCTCTATCGCGCTTGGCACCAAAAAAACGGCAGCGCTGGTTTCGGCAGCGCTGGCTTCGTTGGAGGTGCTGGTGCTGGCCTTGCGGCTGCGCAGTCTGCCCAACAGCACGTGCGCCCGCCTATCAAGATCCTCTTTGCTCCCCTCAACCGCCTCAACCTCCAACGCCTCAACCGCTTCTTCCACCACTGCTCCATGAGCTACCGCGCTGTTGCAACTGGGAAATACGCGCCAATAGTCGTGGCCTTTCCGCCTCTCACTGCTACTCTCGCTGGCCTTTTCGCCACCTCCTTGGGCTCTGTCGGAGCCAAATTCGCTAGCTTGCGCTTGCGCTCCATTGGTGTTGGGGTTTCTACAACTAATTCTTGCTTTTCAATTGTCGCGGATTCCAGTGCTGCTGCCTTGCTGCGTGTCATTCGCGTGGCTGGTTTGGCCAAATTGTCCTTGGGCATTGGCGCGTCTGTGGCTTTACCCACGCGCACAAAGGACTTTAGTGAGCCCGTTCGCGTTTGCTGTTTTTGAACCCCCATTTCTTGCAAATAAAAAATATTAATTTTATAAATATAAAAATTTATGTATACAAAATCAGTTAGCAAACAGAAAAGGAAGACAAAAAAGGCATCAATTTGAAATCGACTTTTTTTTGCTATTTTCTTTTTGTTGAAAACAAATTGTAGCCAATCACTTCGCTCGTGTAAATATAAAAAATCAACACGCTTGCCAAAAATAATGAGCAATCCATTGTATTTTCAAGTATACCAAGCATACGGACAGCCTGCCAAAGTTGTCGCGAACGACAACAATGAGGACGGCAGATCGAGTGCTCGGGTTTAAATTTGCTGACACCCTGTGGCGGACACTTCCACCGCCGGGAAATTGGACCCAAGTCTGGAGAAATCCCAACCGCGCTGCCCCTAGAATAATTTTCGTTATAGGGGGCATATAGCTAGGTCTGCAATAGAGCCCATGATGGACAAGGCGACATAGTGGACGATCAGTCTTAATCATTAACTCTAGCTTTTGTCTTTTTACTTGTTTGCTATCTCACTAGGAATATATATTTACTCTCCGGCGACATTGAAATACAATAAATAACTTGCTGAAACGTACACTCCACATCCTCCCTCTCTCTCTAAAATAAAAAAGTAAAAAATAATTGATTCATGTTGTTGGCATTCACTAATTTTGATTGCTTTCCCAATAGTGTTAATAAGTAAGCCCAAAAATGTCTGCGACTAGGAATATATACATACTCGTGTCTCCAGTCTGCATTATATTTATTGCGTTGCTGCTTTGTAATGCTTCATCGCAAAAGAAATCTTGGTCCTACTGAGCATCACCTAAAAAAAATTAACTAAATCTTTGATTCACGCTGAATTAAAATATATCATGTTTAGTATTGTTGAAATTGCAAAATTTGTGCCCATATACAAAACATGATTTTTTTGTAACACATTTCATATGCATTTAGTCATCTCAGTGAAATATAAAAATAATACAAAAGAGTCTGCTTAATAAAATTGACAATGCCTCTCTCCACCTAATGACTGTGTCATCAACAATGTCTTTTTAAAATAATCAAAATATTATTTTTTAAATTATATAATTAATAAAAAAGAATGCCTACAACTAAAATTTTATTTTGTATAATTAATTTTGCCTTTCAATATCCCAATATTCTTTTGCATTTTACCTACTATATAAACATTTTTTACACTTTTTAGCCTTATACTAATTAAAACCATGGGATGCGACGCAAATAATCGGAAGAATGATAAAGGGTTTGGTGATTTATTAGCACAATCAACTAATTCAAAGGTGAATAAGGCACAAGCAACTAAGAATCTAGAGAGTTATGTGAAAAGGGGGTGGTGTAGAGATTATTACAGTGGTAGTGTTAAAAAAGCGGAGTTAAATGTATAAAGGGTTTTATTACTAATGCTTTTAAAGTGCTACTAGCGCTGGCCTAATCTTATATATGTCTCGTTGCCTTTGTTGTGCATATTTCCAATTGTGCCCTTTGTTGGCAAAACTAGTTTTTCTGCAAGCAGACTGGTACCTTGGAAAGTCAATATTGTGGTTTTCACATTTGTATGCTCGTGCTCGTGAATTGCAAAATAGTGAGCATATCTGGGCATCATTGTTATGCCTCTCTAATTTACTTCTGCATAATTCAATTAATGCCCTATTAATCGGCATGCAAATGGAAACTTTTTTCATGATTCTCAACCTTGACATCCACTTCCATATCTTCAGTCTGTGCAACAAAAACTAGGATAAAATAAAAAAATGTGGATACTTGCTGTACTAACTCAATTGGACTGTCAAAAGATGCATGTAAAATTCTTGAACAAAATAAAGACTATCATGTAATATTTTTCAATGATGCAATTAATATTAATAATTATTAAAAAATGCAGTATTTTTAAAAAAAAATATATCTGATGTTCTTGAATAATTTTATAAAAATTTGATAATATAACTATTGCATTTATAATACAAAAATTTATTAAAAATGTATATTGTTTTAATTTAAAAATATAATCTTAATAACATTAAATTTGTTAATATATTTAAGCCAGAAAACATTGATAATACACACCATATATTTGTTACAAAAGTATAATTAAAGAAATAATATTTTTTTTTCAAGAAAAACAATTCCTGGCTGCCCGACAGCCACACCTTTTATACGTTTTCCTTGGCACATAAATAAACTATAATAAAAACATTATTTCTTAATTGCCACGCGCGTAATCAATTAATCTCAGTAAGGCAACATGCAACGCTATGTGCCTAAACTATGACATTTTTGGAACTTGTCAAGTATTGAAAAAGAAAAATAGACATATAAACAGAAAACCAAAGGCTTATTTGATTTATTGCAAATATTTGTTTGAAATTATTGTTAATATTAATAAATTTAAAATTGTTGCTGTAAAGAGTAGCAGACAAATAAAAATGAATTTGTTTTATAGAACTTTTTATATAGTGTTATTCATATCAATGTAGCTGCGTTTTACCACTTCAATTTATTAAATATAATATTGTTTTACTTTTACACTGTTAGAAACCTTACTGGAGACTTGCAACATGGGCCAGTAGCCCAGGCTAAAGCCCGTTGGTGCGCACAGATGCATTGAACAAATGTAAAACGGCAGCCAACGCTCTGTTCAATTAAATCAATTGCAAAGTCGCGTGGTGTCTATAATTGAGTCTGTTTTTTGCTAGAAAATAATAACAAATATTGATGCAATTTTAAGGTGCAGCATAATATAATTTGTTTTGGTAGTTGTCTACATGTGAGCGGCGCTGGAGATGTTGCGCACTAGTGATAGTTTTTTTGATATATACTGAGGCGTTTCCGTCACAATGACAGGAACACCTTAGTTTTTAAGTATAATTTTTTATCAATTAACAGCATTTACTTGTGGCTGTTTGCTTGTATATTTTCATTGGCTCCTATTGGTGCCGGTTTCTAACACAACATTCATTGCATCAATTTGTAACATACTAAATATATCTTTACAATAAACACTACTGCCGATTAATTTTATATTTACATGATGCCATATGTGTTTATAGAATTGCTATTATAACGTTTGTTTTATACAGCCATTACAATCTTTGAATAATAAAAGATATCGCTGCAAGTGCTCTAGTAAAAAAGACGTCTCTTCACAGTTGGTGGCACTAGATACATCTTTTATTTTTACCAAAAATGATGCGTAAAATATTCGAATCATCCCAAAAATAGAAATGTGTGCTTGCGTTGTACAATCAAAAGGGTATAAAAGAAGCACAACGCCCTGCCCAAATTAAGCAATGTATTCAGCACGAGCACTCGCCTGCCTTTTTCTACCTAGCAACATTTTACCTATTTCCAACCATGCAGATTAACATTGCCTTTGCCGCTTGCATTGTCGCCGCCGCTGCCACTACTGTTGCCGCCCAAGACACCTTGACCTCGACCACCTCGACCACCACTCCCGCCGGAGTTAACTATGCTCCTGGCAGTATTGACACTGGCAGCATGGCTCCCCCGTCTTTCTCGCCGCTGGCCAACGTCAACAGCCACTTGGCGCGCATGGTCTCGTTCCTCGACATGTCCCGCATATCCAATGTCGAGACCACGTCCCCGGTGATGCTCACCACTGTGTTTGACCCGGCAATCAACAAGTTCACGCACCTGACGCTCAACGTCATGCAGACGAGCAACGGCGCTTACTACCTGCCCGTGTGCGCTGTGGACTCGATTACCGCCGCTGGCCCCGACCAGGTTGCGTCGACCGACAGCTGCCAGTTTGGCATCCAGATGTCCTCTGTTCCAGCCAATGTTGTGCGCACAAAGCTCGGCGCGGTGCAAAGCCTGTTCCGCGCAATCAGAAGCGCTGCAAGCCACCCGGTATTTAATCTCGGCGGATTTTCAATGACCAGCACGACTAGCCCCCAGTCTGGTGCTAGCGCTGGCATGCAGGCCATGTAACACTGGCATATGTGCAGTATAATTTTTCTGTTTGCTTGCTTTTTCAATATGAACAAAACAGAAAATGTTGCCAACACTTGTTTTGCAGAAATCCAATTTCAGCTTTTAGTTTTTGAGATTGCCAGCTCACTGCGTGCAATACAATCAACCAGACAAGTAATTATCTGCCAGCTTCAATATTAAAATAAGTCAATAAGAAATAATGTAATTGGCATTGATATTTGCGTGTAAAAATATTTAGACACGCAAAAAGGCAATGCTAGTACTGTTTGTCAATGCTACAATGAAACGTGTGAATGTTAATATCACCCAACCAGCCGACTAAATGGCCTGAATTGTTGCTGTTTGTATGCTGGAGCTGAGTGCAGCCAGAAACAACTAAACTAACGTGTTTACCTTTCTGATAGAAATGTTATGTATTTGACTGGGTGGTCTGCGGAAATGAAAGAACCCAAGGTGTAACAACACGAATTGGTTTACATGCTATTAATAAATCATTTTAAACTACACTTTTACAAAAAAAGCTACTTTTAAAACATTGAACTAATACTAATGCTAATACTAATACTCAACATCGCCGTCAAGCAATCCTTGTACATCAATTACACTAAACTTGCAAGGCGCCTTCTGCTTTCTAATTGGGTGTTTGTTGACCTTGCTGTATTCCTCTGCTCTTGTTATGTGCAACGCTTCTGAACGCTCTGTCATTCGCTGTTTAACCATCCATCTACTTGTACCATCATTGGCATCATTGACCTGCTTTTTGGTCATAAAGCTATAGCTTTCAAGTGGGTGTTCGTGAAGCCTATCTTGATTGTTGCAAATGTGCCATTTGTCCCCATCGCTGTAGCACAAACGATAGTCTCTGTTGCCCCTTTTATACGCCCAAAATCCTTTGTTTAAGTTGAGGCAGTTGCGGTCCTTGACATAATAAAACCTGCATGCGTGGCGAGTACCTGCATTAACGCCAACAGAACTGAATATCTTATTGTTGATGCTGTTTGAGTAATTTTTATCAGAATACAAGTGGTAAAACCCAGGCCTATCCTCAACATCACCACACGCATACATGTCCTTTATGTAACGCTTTTGAAGCTCCATCGTTTATAATACTATATAATAAAATTGCAGATGAAGAAAAGAAATGAGAGAGCTCTGTGCTGGAATAAACAAATTTTATATATAATGAACGCTCGGTTTATTTTTTATTGGCCGCAGCATTTTTTGGAAAGACAATTTTTTGCCTTAAAAATTTGGTTTGATTCTTTGGCATGTAAACTTAAATAGCTAAATGTACTCCAAGCAGCTTCCCGTCGCCTCCTTTTGCAAAGCCTAAGCAGACACAAGAACAAAACTTTGTTTAGACAAATGTCAGATGATATTTGAGCGTAGTTGATGTAAATTGTAAAAGCTGTTTAGGAGGCGCTAACAGGAACAATCCAGATCTGGGTCTACTTGCCAGAAGGTGATAAGGAGATAAATTACACAATAAAGCGAAGTCGCCATTCCAAAAAAAACGCGTACAAGCAACATTTGTTATAAATGGTGGGGGAGGGAAACAATAGTCATTTTTAACAACTTGAGTATACATGCTTTTATTTATACGTAAAATAGTAATCTGAAAATTACTAAACTATAGCTCAACATCGCCTTCAATTAATCCTTGAATGTCGTCCAAGTTGAAATTACGAGGCACTCCTTGCTTTCTGATTGGGTGTGTGTTCACTTTGTGGTACGCTTCTGCTCTTGCTGTGCGCAGTGCTTCTGAGTGGTCGATCATTCGCTGGCGTGGATCCCAATCCTCAAATCCACTATTGGCAAGTTCAAGCTGGTTTTCAGTTAAGAAGCTATAGTTTTCAACTAGGCGGCTGTGAAACTGCTCATTTTCGTTGCAAACATGCCATTTTTCGTTGTCTTTGTAGCACAGACGATGTGTTTTTTTGGTATCGAAATGAGCCCAGAATATAGTGCTTACAAAAAGATTGGTGTGGGACCTATCAAAAAAGATACTGTGATAGCGGTCTTCGCCCGCGTAAAAGCGAACATGTCTGTATTTGTAGGGCCTTTCTGAAACAAAATGGTGTTTACAAAAGTGGTAAAACCCGGGTGTGTGCTCGTTGTAGCTGCTTACGGCCATGCCTCAAAACAAACAATTATTTGGCTCGGCTATAATATAGTTGTGTGTTCAAGTGTAAAATAAAAAAATCGTAATGAACGAAATAAATAAAAAAACAAGAAAATAAATGCACTTGAAAGGACATGCAGGTTTATTATTTTATTATCCAGCAGCAAAGCTGCGGTCACAGCCAAGCAAAGATTCATTTTATAATAGCAAATTTCTAGGGCTTAAAAACATTCAAAGCAGCTACTACCCATGATGTCCTTTTATAAAAAGTAAAAAGTAAATAAAAGGATTCTCATATGCTGTGGCCAAAGTAAACACCAGATAATTTCCCCCACGCTAATGCTCGAGAAATAAGAGCACCAGTCATGCCTAATAAAGCAATGTGTTTGTCAATTCCAGTGATGCCACTTTTTGGTTAATTTGATTTCTATGTAAAATGAATATGTGTATTAATGGGGAATAGTGCAGTCCACATGGGTGACCTTGGAATAATGTTTAGCAATTTGGGTGTGCTTTTTATATTTATATTTATATTTTGTTGCTTTGAGTTCTAGTTCGATTTACAACTTACTATTAGGACATTAAAACTCCATTTAAAAAAACTCGGGTGGTTATCTTGTTTTCCAATCAGCCACACAAATAAAATTAAACATGTCTTGTTCACGCAATATAAAAGTATAAAAGTGTATCCATCCAACTTGTAAAAGAAAGAGCGTTAGAGACAATGCGTTTTAGTAGTTATACTTGGGAACAGACACAGCATAGGGGATGCTCGAGCCGTGGAGCATTTGAGTGGCCTTGAACTTTTCAATGTCAGTGATGAGCCACACGCCGTCGGGCGACTGGTGCATGCCGATTTTGGTGAAATCCTTGCCGCTGGCAACTGCATGGTTGAAAGAAACTCTCGAGCTGTCAATGGCCATTTGCAGAGCATTTCTTGCTTGTGTTCCTGGCGCAAAGATGCGGCCAACGTGCTGTGTGCATCCCACCATGTCTCCGAGTCTGCTCAGTAAGGCGTCTTCGTCGTTAGCACTGAAATTGGCAGCAGCAATACTTGAAACCATGCTTTGAATCTTGGCAAGTGACAACTCAGACAGCCCTTCTTTGTGGAGGCATCCGTGCAGCGCAATGGTACCGCTAGTGTGCGCCCCAAACTGTTCAGCGGATGGTTGTGCAGCTGCAGACGACCACACCTGATTGTCGACACGTGTGTAATGAGGCGCGGTTTGTGGATTGATATACTTGTCCCAGAACGCGATCAAGTTGTCTCTAGTCAGCCTGCTTATCTGCTCAGCGCCTCTTTCGACACTTCCAAAGTCGTAGTTTTCGCTATCAATCTGTGACCAATATCTGGCAGTCTCTTGCGATATGTTCTTGACCCTTTCGCGGGCTTGATCGACAATCGATTTGATTTGTGTGGCCAGCTTGGCAGCGTCAAAATCAAGCAGGTACTGGCGGAAATCATGCACAAACGCATCTATGCGCATTGTGGCATAAGTGGGATTGCTTTCGCCCTGAATGTAGAACTGCAGCGCGCTGCTCTTGCCATAGGTTTTTATATTTGCGTGAACCCGGTAGCCCAGCTGCTCCTTAGTCCGCAGCTGGTCAAAGAATGGCTCCGACACAAGCTTGTCAAGCAGGTCTAGAACTGCAGTCTCATACGTATCACCTGACTGGCCGCACTATACATAGCAGATAGTGGCACTTTCTTTGCTGTTTTTGTCGGGCATGGGTGCCTGGTAGACATAGCGACCGGCATCGAGATGCAGCGCGCGCGGCTGAATTGACAGGTAGAAATGCTGAACGGCGTTATATAAGAATATAGTAAGCCGCTTAAAATCATTACATAAATAATAAATTACTATTATTATTCAACATGAAAATATATGTGAAAGCAATTGAATTAATGATAAAATTATATTTGATAAAAATGATACATATATTTGAATATAGATAGGAAGAAAAATTAAAAAAAAAGATGACACATTTCAGTTAGTATCCGGTTTTAGTAGGTTGTTGCTGCTGCCTGCTATTCGCCCAATTATTCTGCATCTGCATCTGCTGCTGCCTTTGCCTCTGCATCTGCTGCTGGGCAACACTAGCGGCTCTCTGCTCCAAACACCCCTCACAACAAGGACACCCTTCAACTTCTCCAAACGGCATCCCGGGGGTAATAGCCTGTTGACAATCACAGCAACAGAAACACTCAGGGTGGAACACAGCCTCATTATGCCTCAAAAACACACCCTCAATGTTCCCATCACATTGCGCACAAATAAATCCTCCAGCATCCTGACCACCACCATTAAGACCGTCTGCTGCTCCTGCTCCTGCTCCTGCTGCTGTTCCTGCCCCTCTGTTTGCAGCATCTTCCTCTTGTTTTTGCGCCATTGCGAATTTCTCCACACACTGATGGTGATACTCCTGACCCTCGAAACAGACATAGGATCCTTCGTCAAATCTCTGCCCACATCCGGCACACGCGAAACACTCCGGATGATACTGCTTGCCATTAGTCAGCTGGAACCGCGGGCCCACGAGATGATCATGGCACCTATCGCACATTTCCTCGCGACGCGGCTCCCTTGGTCCCATCGGACGACCCAAAGACGAACCCTGCTGCTGCTGCTGCTGTTGATGAACCGATGATGGTATTGGCGACACAGAAACGACCGGCGGCGTCGGTGGTACACAAGGTGGATGGAACTCAACGTTATTCTCTAGCACATACACACCATCATCAATCAGCTTATCGCACCCCTGGCACGTAAAGCACTCGACATGCACCTGGCGGCCATCCGAAAGTCTAAACCACGTATCCTCGATTGCGCGCGCACACCGGGCACACTGATTAGGTCCCACAGTGGAGGTTGGGGAAGGCAGGGTGTCCATCTGCGGCACCAGCTGCTGCTGTTGTTGTTGAGGCGATCCCGTCGGTTGCCGGCGATTGTTGTTGCGCGGCCGCGACTTAAGAATCCGACTGTGCTTATCCAGCGCCGGAATTGTCGGCTCCTGTGGCGGCTCCCGCTGATGTGTACGGATAAGGTCCTTGAGCTCCGGGATCTGCGACCGATCCAATGGGTCTCCACGCTGCGCCGATGCAGGGGTCATTGCAGGCGAGCTAAACTTTTTAATCGCATCGGCAACCGACGGAAGCCTCGCCTTGGATTTGTTACTGGACGCCTTGCTGAGCACATAATCGGCTAGAGATTTTGGTTCATCCTCATCCTCGTCCTCCTGCTCAGACTGCTGCTGCTGCTCCTGGACAGGTTCGTGCACCTTAGGACGCGGCGGAGCCACCGGCTCCTCATCGTACTCATCGCTAGCATCAGACTCCATCGTCTGGTCAAACCTAAAGCTCACTGACCTAGACGATCCTGCCCGCGCCGTCGGCGAATTCGGGTTCTTCAGCGACGGCGACAGCGGCGGACGATAAAGCGCCGCCACCGAAGTATCTATCGGAGACACCGACTGATTCAGCATCGACTTGATCGCATCGACTTTCGCCGACGACGACCGCACATGACCAAGCACATTACCCGAGCCAGGTCCAGAGCCAGAAACACTGGGCCTGCGCACATCCTGCGCCGGCACAGGCTGAGACTCCACACGTGCAAGCAAGCCAAATTCGGGATCCACAATTACGCGTGGGCGGGGCAACCCTTCCTTTTCTGCCACTTCCACCGGCGACATAATCCGCATGGCATCCATTGCCCGAACAAACTTGCTCTGTCGCGTATCCTGCAGCTCTGGCGAATTAGAGGCGCTGGTTGCTCCACCGTCGTACTCGGAAATCACCGGGGTAGGGATAGACGCCGCCACGGTCGCTGCCGCTGCTGCCGCCACGGCCCGTTTCGACCCACGCTCCAGCTCCTTGATATCCACTGTCTGTCGCGCAGGAAAAGAAGAAGGAACACCAGCAGCAGTGGCTCCTCCTCCCCAAACCAAGGGTGCCACGACTGGCAGCATCGTGCGCTGCGAAGAAACCGCAGCCGACGTCATCGCCTTCGCAGCCGACGTCACTCCCTTCGCCGCCGCCGCCGCCGTCGCCACAACCGGTTGCGGCACCGGTGCAGCCGGGGCTGATTCCTTAGGCATCGGCCTGAGCAATTCCCTCGGGTAACAGCGCATAAAGCACGGTTCACAGGTCGGCATCCCCTCCAAATCTACCAACGGCGCAACCAATAGCTTCGCACAAGTCCTGCATTTAATACAAAGTTTATGCCAAACTTTCTCCCCGTGCTGTACCCAAGGCCTTCCATGGGTCAGCACTATCTTATTGCATCCGGTACAGTGGCCTCGGCTATAACTCGAGTGATAGCAGTCTGTGCAATAAACTACCCCTTGCTTGGACGCAAATTGGCGCTGCTCTTCGGCACGCAGAAGTAAGCCACAGGTGGTGCAGGGCCGGGAATCCCCGGAGTGTAGGTCGGGGAGGGTAGCTGACCGAGACCGCATCGCCATGCTGATTGGGCTGGACAAGGGTTTGCGCTGATCAAAGGACGAAATTACATTGCGCGGATCAGCCGCCAGCGATTTTGCCAGGGACAACGGAGATGCGCGGTTCTGGGCAGCTGCTGTTGCCGTCGCTGGCTGGCTCACAGTAGCCGACGACGACCTGGCAGCAGTAGCAGCAGAAGAAGAAGCAGCAGCAGCAATGGCAGCAGCAGCAGCAGCAGCAGACCCGCTGCCGTCACTTGTCAGCGGCCGCTGCACAGCCGCAAAGGGCCGGGCCACAAGGTCAGAATGTTTCGCCGGAATACGCGCACCCTGAAGCCCAACCGACGTTGCACTCGCCGCTGCCACAGGCTTATTCATCAAAGTAGTGCTCAAAGACTCGCTACGCCCGCGTCCAGCCGCCAACTGAACTTGCGGCGACGCCGTGCTGGTGAAATACTGCGACCACTTGGACCGCAGCTGCCTAGTCTGGGGATTCACCTCCTCAGGCTGCCGATGCAGCTGGGGTTGAGACTGCTGAAGCTGTGACTGCTGCTGCTGCTGCTGCTGTTGCTGGGGCGGAGACTGTCCAGCCCGCTGTGTAGCGACCGACCGCTGAATCGCCGACTGCACCTGGGAGTCCAGCACGCTGGCAGCCGAGGATGAACCAACATACATGGACGAAGGACGCGTCCCCGCGGTGGCATCCCGCACTGGCCGCGAAGCTCCAGCAGCGTCTGTGTATTTGGGCGAGCCCAGTGGGCGGATCTCCATCGGTGGATTGTACGTGGACACTGGGCGTGCGGTTGTCGTGGGCTTGAGGCGACGCTGGAGGTAGGTGGAGGACCAGGGGTCTTTACGGTCGGCGGAGGACCCGCTGCCGCCACTGCCTGTGAGAGATTCGACCGGTAGTCCGCCGCATTTTTGGCAATTGGACACTTGGTCGTGGACTATACTACCACAACGCTTGCAGTACATTGAAGAAATTGATAATTAAAGGAAGAAAAAGAAAAAGAAAGAGATGAATGGTACTGCTTAATTTTAAATAAAATAAAAGTAAAAAAATTGTGTGTGTGAAAGCGAAAAAATAAAGAAAGAAATTGAGCAGTTACAATAGAAAGTGAAATAAATCAGAAAAAAATCAGAAAAAAGCAGGGTAAGAATGTTTCCCCCCCCTCTCTGATAGAGTAATAACAAAAAAGAAAAGAAAAGAAAAGATAGAAAGAAAGAAACGGAATGGAACAGAATGGAGCTGCGTCGTTGTCGATTTATAGAGGCTAACAAAAAAATATAAATTGATGATAATTGTGAAAACGTAAACAAAAAAAGATGTTGGATATGATTGAAAACCAAACGGTCTATCAGCCCGCTCTCTCCTTTTTAGGTAGAAAAAAACCGATTTTATTCTTCCCTCTTTCGGTTATTCCCTTTGTGACAGCAAAAAAAAGGGAAACGAAACGGAACGAGACGAAACAAAACGAATCAAAGCGAAACGATATAATTATTATAAATAAATAAATTACTAGACAAAAAAAGAAAAAAGCAAAAGGGATAATGAAAAGAAAAAATAATTTACACGAGATAGAACATTCAAGGAGAAAAGAAAAAGGGGAGTGGAAATATATTCAGTTGGAAAGCCCGACAATGTTCACATAATTTTTTTTTATATTTTTATTTTAGGGATGAGGGAAAAAGGGAGCTCATCTTTTTGTCTGTCTATCTCAATAAACATGCAGGTAAAAAAGAATAGTGCGTAAACATGTAAAAAAAAAGCAGAGAGGAGGGAGGAGGAAAAAAGATTTTCTTAGTATCAGGATACAAGTGCAAAAATAAAATAAAATAAAGTAAAACTTCTGCAGGGCTATATCAAGCCAAAAGAAAAAGAAAAGATAAAGGCTCATATAGACAAATAGACAAATAGACATGTCTACAATACCACCTCACATATGTGAAAAGTGTAGTGGCAAGGCGCAGAGGAAAAGTATGGAAGCAGAGGAAAAGTATGGAAGCAGAGGAAAAGTATGCAAGCAGAGGAAAAGCATGCAAGCAGAGGAAGAGCATGCAAGCAGAGGAAGAGCATGCAAGCAGAGGGGTGAGGGGGGTTTTATAATGTCAAGTCATAAAAAGGCCTAAGCGAGCAAACAAGCGACTTCAATCGGCAGACAGAGTATTGCCGTTGTTCAGCACCGACAGCACAGGCCCAACGACATTGCGCACCTTCTCCATCGACAGGTCACCGCAGGCCGCGGCCACAACGCGCTCCATCTTGTGCAGCCGCTCCTCCTCGCCCCGCAGCACCGCGCGCATCGCCAGCAGATCGGCGGCCTCCGCGTCTGGGCCTAGGCCTGGCCTGCGTCCGCGCCTGGGCCTGGCCTGGGCCTGGGCCTGAGCCTGCGCCCGCGCCTGGCCTGGCCTGAGCCTGCGCCCGCGCCCTCATCCGCCGCTGGCCACGGCCGCACAACGGCCGCCAGCTCGGCGTACTCGCGCGCGAGCCTGCGCGACTCGGCCTCGTACGCGGCATTCGCCCGGCGCAGCTCCAGCGCGCGCTGCATGAGCGCAGGCGACGAGGGCCCCGCAGGAGATGCGGGCGATGCGCGCCCCGCAGGAGATGCGGGCGGCTCGGCCCCATCGGCCACCCCGCCGCCAGCGCCCTCGACCGCAGCCAGTGCGCGCGCCGCCTGCTGCAGGTTGACCGCGGCCTCGATTCTCCGCTTGAGCGCCGCCTCGCGCCGCGCCGCCGCCACGCACTCGCCCGCCACGCGGCCGTAGTCGCGCGCGCGCACCACCGCGTCCGCGTGCTCGGCGCGCAGCTCCAGCAGCAGCGCCGCCGCCCGCCGCATGTCCGCGTCCAGCACGTCGCCGCGCACGCGATGCACGCGGCGCATCTCGTCGGCCGCCGCGCGCACAAGCTCGCCGGCCCGCAGGGCCGCATGCTCGTAGCGGTCCGCGGCCGGCACGTGATGGCCGGCGGCCCGCTCGGCCAGAATTCCGCTCGCCAGGGCCTCGGCCGCCGGCGCATTGCCCATGCGGCCGCCCAGCTCCGCAGCAGTGCGGCCGCGGGAGTCGCGCCAGGCCGCGGCGTCGGGGCGGCGCATGCGCTCCAGCCGCTCGGCCAGCAGCTGCGCGTAGTGCGCCGACGCCAGCGGCCACTCGGTGCCGACCGACGCCACGGCCCAGTGCAGCGCGCTGCGGCCATTCGCGTCGCGGCAGCACAGCGCCGCCGGCATGGCGTCCAGCAGCCACGCGAAGATATGCGCGTCGCGCTGGCGCCACGCGCCGAGCGACCCGGCCGCCAGCATCAGCGGCGTCAGCCCGTCCTGCGTCGGCCGCGTGCAGTCGGCGCCATTGTCCAGCAGCGCCTGCACGACGTCCCAGTGCGCGTTCAGCGTCGCCGCGTGCAGCAGCGTGCTGCCGTCGCCGGCGATCGGCGCGTTGGCCAGCGCGCCGCCGCGCTGCCGCAGAGTCACGTCGACGTCGACCGGCGGCGCCTGGTGCTGGGCGCGCGGCCGCGACGCAAACGCCACCAGCTGCATGAACGCCTGCTGCTGCGCCGCGCCCGGGTGGTCCAGCCGCGCCGGCGCGCTGTTGGGCGGCTGCTGCGCGCCGAACGGCACTGCGCCCCGCTGCGCCGAGGCCGGCGGCGTCATGGTCGCCGGCGGGCTCAGCATCTTCGCCGCCATTGCGGACGGCGACGGCTTGTCGCAGTGCGTGCCGATGCCGCGGTGCGCGTTGGTGATGTCGCGCAGCGCGTGCCGCGCGTCTGTCGGCGTCGCCGCCTGGCCGTACGCCCGCGGCCGCCGTCCGTCGGCGTCGGGTAGTGCGTGGCTGCGCGCCGCTGCGGCGTGGCCGGCGAGTGCGGCTGCCACAGCGGCTGGTCTGTGGTGTTGAGGATCGACGACAGCGACCCCGAGCCCTGCCGCTGCCGCGGAGTCTCGGCCGCCGCCGTGCCGCTGCCCGTGCGCCTCTTCGGCACCGCCGCGTCGGCGGCCTCTGCGGCCTTGCGCTTGTTGTACATTGACTCGAGGCTGCGCGGCGCCGTCGGCGGCTTCTCGCCCGGCGCCGGGTTGAACTCGAACAGGCACCGCAGCGCCTCGTATACGCCCAGCTCCTGCGCCAGATCCTGCGCCCGGTCCAAGGGAACCCAAGTGCCTAGCAGTGGGGAAACACCAGAAAGCCCTTGTTTAATCCGTCGCTTGTATTTTGATTTTCGCTCGCCATTTCAGCTGCCAAAATACGCACAGCAGCTGTTTTGGTCTTTTTATTTAGTCTTTTTATTCCCATCGCCTCTTTTTTGTTCTTACCTTGATATTTTCCATAGCCGCCTTGCACCTTCTCGTGCGTCCCCGTATGCACTTCTTTCTCGAGGAACTTTGTCCTATGTGGCTTGTCGTATTGCGCACACTTGAGTATCTGGGTAGCATTGATGTACGAGTCCACCCGCCTGCGCATGACTGCTGTGCCATTGACCAGCAGCTGGAAAACCTCGACACCAGCGTAAGACGCCGACCATACCTGCTTTAAACTGCTGCTGCCTATGTTGTTAATCCTAGGTTTGCTGCCAGTGGCGCTGCTATTGATCGTGGTTGTTTTGCCCTGCCCCGTCATTTGGAAAGTATGTGAATGTATGAATGTGAAAGTATGTGTGCGTGGGTTGTTTGTGCGAATGTATGAGGAGAGGAAGAAGAAGAAAAAGCGATAGAAATATATTTGTGCCTTGCGTGTCGCTAGCACCCAATGGTCATATCAATAAAATCTGATATTCTTCAAGGAGAGTTTGTGGCTTATTTTTTAAACCAATTTTTTGGGTGATTTTGTGGATTGCTGGAATTGGAGAGAACAAAGTTGAGTAAAGTAAAGTGACGCTTGATATAAAAAAGAGCGAGAAGGGTTGTAATGTAAAATGCAACCGTCTCAATTACCTCTCTTTTTTTCCCGCCTCTGGCTCTCTCTCTTTTTTTCAATACGAGACATATTCTTCCCCCTCTCTCCCCCACGCTGCCGCTGCTGCTTCTAAATCGCCGTTGATCGATTTGCCCACGCTTGAACAAATAATTCTCCCACAAAAAAATGGACTCAAAAAATGTAAGCGACTCAAGGATCTACCCCCTCCCCCTCCTTTTTATGAGCCTGTGTTACGCAAACCCGCACCACACACGCATGTTTTTCCTATTCTTTTTTTAAGCTCAAGGCAAGCCAAAAAAAAAAAAAAAAAAAAAAAAGGGCTGTGCTTGAAATATCTGACAGTGTGGTCAGCCTAGTCAGCTTCTCCCTAACTTTTTCCCTCCCTCTTTCAGCGGTCAACTGTGTGGTAACCGGCTTGACGCATAAAGCGAAAAACAGCCGCCGACTGAAATCACAAAAATAACAAAAAAACAAATCAACGTTCACTCAAAATCCTGTGATTCCCAAGGAAATAATGCCACGCGTTGTTCATCAAATATGATTGGCCCATTTGTGCGTTGAAAAGACGCGTTCCGTTTCCATTTTTTCTTCTAATTTTTTCTTTGCTGAGATGAATGGACGCATATAAGCACAAAGTGATAAAAAAAACAAGCATTCAATTATTTTTTCCCTCTCATTTTTAACAATCTGCATATATTTATTTTTTTCGCGTCTTTTTCTCATTTCAATAAAACCCACATCTCTTCTTCTCAATGCCTCGTTTCTTTATTTCTACTACTGAGTACTTTTTATATATATAATATATTTCTCATTATCTTTTAAACAGATTGCAAGTTATTATTTCTCTTTTCCTTTATTATTTTCTCTCTCTGCCCCCCCTCCATCATCCATGCAGTCTAGCGAGCCTGCTCATCAACCGCAGCAGCAGCAGCAGCAGCATCAACCGCTCAGCTCCATCACTCGCCCTCATCCGCATACACCTCAGCCGAAAAAACAAGCGCCATGACTACCGACGCACCTGCACCTTCTACTGTTGCTGTCAAAACCGACACCGTTGCGGCCACTGCCAATACAGTTGCTTCCCCCGCCACGGAGGCCCCCAGCCACGATGACGCGTCCAGGCTGTCCCGGCCAGGTGGTTTAGAGCACACTACTACGGTGCCCATCGACACAATGAGCGAGACGGGCGAGGAAATGGTGACAAAGGAGAAGCTACTTCCAAAAGTCAAGCAGGTGAGCAAATGCTCGTACTGCGAAATCAACTCGGCCGAGTCTCTAAAGACTGTCCCCTGCCTGGGCTGCGGGTCGCGCTGCCACATCGACTGCATATCGTGCACGGCCGGATTCAAGGACAAAATTCTTTTGGGTGATGATTTCTTCCACTTCAAGTGCTTCAAGTGTACGGACGGGCAGGAGCGGTTCAAGCGGTATCATCTCTCGTGGGTAGACGTCGTGCATATCACGCTGTTTAACCTGACACATAATGCGCCGGTGCGGCCCAATAGCGCGGCGAACCGCGGCAAGGCGGATGACCCGACGGGGCAGTTCAGTAGCAGCGAGCATGGGCCGCAGGAGTACGGGGATTCGCGGGTGTACTTCCACTACAAGGCGGACGTAGCCAAGTTCATCGACCAGCACTGGTCGTATTTCTGGACCAAGTCGCGCGGCGAAACGTGGATCAACAGCGCGTCGTCGGCGCTGTCGACAAACAGCACGGAGAACGTGCCGGATGACGGGCGGTTCGAGTCCGGAAAGGCCAAGTATAACAAGAACGGCATGTGGGCGCTCACCGATGACCTACGGTTCCCATCATCCTATGATTCGCTGCAACAGCAGAAGACGCGCACGATCATGTATAGCTTTGCGGATGATGGCGCGCTGATCGAGCTGCGCTCGCAGTCGGGGAATGGCCGGAGGAAGCGCCGCGCGGAGCCACCGATGCCGAAAGCCGCGGCAAAGGGCAAAAAGCCCCGATCGGCGGCTGCTCCTGGTACTTCTGGCGCGCTGGATGCTGGCTTTGGTGATCTGTCGGCGGGCGCGCTGGCAGTGTCTAAGCGCGGCGGGCTGGCGGCGGCGGCGGCCAGTGGTGGCGCGGAGGGAAGCGCGAGGCGAAGAGCTCGTGGTCGATCAGCATGTGGCCGGATATCGATAACCCGCAGGGCCCGCGCATATGTCGCGTGAAGAGACGCACGCGGCGGCGCAGTTTGTCATTGAGAGCGACCGGCTGACGGTTTGGAATGACAAGGGGTACCGGATGGCCAAGGCATCGCATGGGGTGGAGACCGGGGCGTGGTACTTTGAGGTTACGGTGCTTGCGCCTGTGCGGCCCGAGTATAACCTGCGGATCGGGTGGTCGCAGATTTCAGGCGAGTTGCATGCGCCCTGTGGCTACGACGTGTTCTCGTACTCTGTGCGCGCAAAGCCCAGTACTAGGTTCCACGCGGCCATTGGGTCTCCCTATGGCGAAGAGTATGGCCCTGGCGATACCCTGGGTGTGCTGATGTATTTGCCCGTGCTGGATGATGACGAGAAGCAGGACTTGGCCGACCGCAAGTGGCAGCCTGGAGAGCGGTACCGCCATTCACGTATGCGAGGCCTGAGTCCCAGAGACCATATAATGCGGATAACGAGCTGCCACCGTTGCCGGTTTTGGCTGGAAGCGAGCTGGTGTATTTTAAGAACGGGAAGTGTCTGGGCCCGGCTTTCCAAAAGCTATACCTGGGCAAGTATTACCCGGCTGTTTCGTCGTATATGGGCGGGAAGGTTAGGGTTAATTTGGGCCCCGACTTTAAGTATCCGCCGCCGCCCGTGTGGAACGACAATGCGCCTGTGCGCCCTATTTCAGAGCTTGAGTACACATTGCCGTTGCCCCAATCAGCAGCTAATGTAATGCCGGCAGCAGAACTTGTTGCCGATCATGTTACCAAGCCTGTTGGTGATACGCCGGCTAAGCAGGAGTCCGGTGGCGATATGGAAGTCGATGCTTCTTCGGCAGCTCCCGTAGCCGCCACTGCAGCCGATGATACCGAGGAGCCGACTTTTTCTGTTCCTCCTCCTGTTCCTGCTCCTGCTGCTGCTGCTGCTCCTGCTCCTGCTTCTGCTCTTATTTCTGCTCCTGTTTCTGTTCCTGTTCCTGTCCCTGTCCCTGTCCTGTTTCTGTTTCTGTTTCTGCTCCTGATATATCCGCTGCACAGTCTGAACACCATATTGAGCCAACACAGCCCACCGATGTATCCAAATCTAGAGTCACAACTGTAGCTGATTCTGTTCCTGACACTCAACCTGCCATGAATGATTCGTCATCTGAGCCAGTCGAAGAAACAGCTGCACCAACATCAACAGCGGCGGAAACACACTCGGAAGTCAATAATCAGGTGTAGCTTTTTGTTTATTTTTTGTTTTACTGTTGAACTGACTCGATCACAATTTTTTATTTTTTTTATTTTTTGGAGCCGAGTCGGAGAGGGGGATATTTTTTTCTTCCTTTTTTCTTCTTCCACACTCACACACACATACATACCCAACCAAAAAAATCGATCTTTAATTTTTTCTTTCAAGTTTTTCTTATTTCACTTTCTCATTTTCATTTCCATTTTCAATTTCACTTGAACACTTATTTTCTATTATTTTTTTCTGCATTGGAATGGGTCTTTCAGAGCAAAAGAACAAAGTTGTGTTCGGTATTGATCCGCGCAACCAGGCATGGAGCAATGGTATGAGATAACTTTTAAAAAATGATACACTCTGTTTTAATGTAAAATTTTTTAAAGACCAAAATACACACTTCTACACCTTTATTAAAAAAAATTAAGTTTTTTTCTATTTTGTAGATAAGAGTCGATTTGGGTTTAAAATGCTTGAGAAAATGGGCTGGTCTGAAGGCAAAGGTTTGGGTGCCAACGAGGATGGACTGAAGGAGCATGTCAAAATCAAACTAAAGACCAATAATTTCGGTATTGGAGCGGACAAGAAGAATATTCGTAATTGGTTGGCCAACGCAGACGGTTTTTCTCAACTTCTCGATAGACTAAACTCGGAATCCGGCACACCAGCACAGGAGACCTCCACTGCTTCTGCCGAGGAGGGGGAGGATAAGGAGGAGGGTGGATCGAGCGCTGATGAGAAGTCAAAAAAGAAAAAGGACAAAAAGGAGAAGAAGAACAAGGAGAAGAGGGAAAAGAAGGAAAAGAAGCACAAGAGCAAGAATGATGCGTTGGTTGTGAAGACTACGAATGCAGAGGTCGAGGATACCACGCAGGTTCTTTCCGCGGCCACCGTGCAGTTGACTAGGCTCAGTCACCGGGCCAAGTTCCGCAACATGAAGCAAATGGCCATGCAGGACGCAAAGGGACTTCAGGAGATCTTTGGCATTCGCAGTTCGCCCAGCATTACCGCAAATTCTGACAAGGCAAAGGCAGCGACACTTAGCTCTGCCACTATGGCTGGTGCGGAGAAGGAAAGGGATGGGCGTCTACGCAGAGCTTGAACACTATTAAGACAGAAGTCAGTGTTGCGGATTATTTTGCTAGCAAGATGTTGGTAACCCAGCTTTGGAGGCTATTTACGGTGGGGCTGGTTTGGCTAAGAGCAAGAAGAGGAGCGTGGACGAGATCGTGAAGGAGGATGAAGAGAAGGATGAGGTGGATGTATCGAGTAAAAAGATCAAGAAGGACAAAAAGTCGACAAGTCCGACAAAAAGTCCGACAAGGAGAGCAAGAAGGACAAAAAGGACAAAAAGGACAAGAAAGCTGACAAGAAAGCTGACAAGAAGGACAAGAAGGACAAGAAGGAAAAGAGCAAAAAGTCCAAGTAGCCACCAAATTTTATATATCGTCGTTTTCCATTTACTTCCGAATAAACATTCACACATACACATATAACATATATAACATATTATATAGCATGTACAAATGATGCATTGTTTTGCTTACTATCGAGTTGTCAGAGTAAAACACTTGGTTGAAATACAAAAAAAGACACATAAATGCTCAAAGCCGAAAAAACAAAAAATGACAAATGCCCATGTCTTTTCTTCTTGCCTTGGAGCAAATACACTTCATCCCCTCTTTAGTTAACTAGCATGTGCAGCTATCAGCATTCGCCCGCGCGCTGCCCTCGGAGCCATCGGTACCAAACGCAGCGTCGCCCATCAAATTGACATTGACGCTCCCTGAGTTAAGCTGGCCAGACCTCGCAGCACGGTTATTGTTGGCAATCTGGTTAAGATCGAGCTTCTTTGCAATCTCCGTAAAGGTCTCGACCACGCCCTCACCCGTCTTCGCACTGGCCTCCAAAAACAACAGCCCTGTCTCCTCCGCATACGCACGAGCAGTAGCCGTGGCCACCTGGCGGCTGCGTCCCTCAGTATCTGCCTGCTCATCGGCATCGGCCTCTGAAGCCTCTGCCTCATCTGCTGTTGTAGCCTTTGTTGCGGAAGCACCACCTGCGTCCCCAGCCAAATCAAGCTTGTTTCCGACAAGCGCAATAACAATGTTGGGTTAGCCTGCCGCTGGAGCTCCTTAATCCACGACTTTGCCCTGTCTAGCGATGATGCGCGCGTAATATCGTAGACCACCACAGCCGCCTGTGCGTTGCGGTAGTACATAGGCGCAAGCGAGTGGAATCTCTCCTGTCCGGCCGTGTCCCAGATATCGAGCTTTAGCACCGAGTCGTCGAGTCTGACCTTCTGAGTGAGGAACGCCGCTACAATGATAAAAATGAATAACCCCCATGGGTTGTTGTTAGCGATGCATGTTTGTGGTGTCTGTCATATTTGTGTCGCTCAATGCTGAACAGGGGGGAACTCATGTGCATATGGCTCACCTCCAATGGTAGGTTCCTTGTTCTCCTGGAACTCGTCGTTGACAAAGCGCAGAACAAGGCTCGACTTTCCAACAGCTGCTTCGCCTACATTATATAAGCAAACAAGACAATAAAGCAAAAATGGTGTTAGTTGGTTAGTTACGCTACTACGAATAAAGACACAGTTCTTTTTTCACACTACAATTGGATTGCACAAATTTAAACATACCGAGAAGCACCACTTTAATCTGAATGGGCTTGGCCGGTGTCGAGCTCTGAGGCGCAGAATTTGCGCTCGCTGAAATGCCGGCAGGTGTGTTGTTGTTGCGAGGACTGTTTTCGTGTGACATTTAATATAATAAAAATGTAGAGTTAAAAATTTAGTTAAAGTATAAAAAAAGGTAAATTGAACAAAAAAAGCTAAACAAAGCCACCCCTCTCACTCACATCAAGGCAAAGCACAACAGCATACGCCATCAGCTTTCAAGCATGAGCATGAATGTAATAAAAAAATGAAAAAGACCTCCATCTCCGCTAAATAAAAAGGGTGTTCTTTATAGGCCAAAAGTACATTCTTGGCATTGTGATGCTCACGTGCCGAATGACGTGATCAAATTTGATTTGATTTGAAGCTATGCCCAGAGTTTCTCGCATTCGACTTTATCGTCGCCGATTGCGCGAAATTTCTATGCTTACCAAAATCTGCAGACACAAATGAAAACTGATTCAGCACAGCCCAATCTTTGTTTTCTTGGCATTTTTTTCACTGTACTGAATCAGTTTTCCTCAATTTCATAAGCTAAAGAAGTGTCAGGTTGTTTCTCATTCCTTGTCTTTTTTTCCACTTTACAGTTTTATATCTTTTTTATTTATATTCTTTCTTTATTCCTTTTTTCTTATTGCAGATTGGTTTAAAGTCGGAATTCACTTTATCACGCTTATAATTGTGCCCATTTCAGCCACTTTGTTTCACAACGACGATACACAGAAAGGCACATTCACTCATACCAGCTACTCACTCGCCTCTCAGCTTTTAAAATTGATTCATGTTGCCTCTGGTATCTCTGCACACGCTGCTGCCGCGCAGCCGATCCGCCGCGCTCGTCAGCAGCCGCGCGATGCGGCGACTTGGCCAGTCTGGAGGCTCAAGTCTCAGAGCACAGCAGACAATCTCAGAGGCATATACCCGAGGAATCAAGAGCACCAAGCCGTGGGATACGTCCATGCGCTCAATTCACACTTCGGTAAGGCTTTCCAACAGTGAAAGGGACAAGAGGGACGATGATGTTCCGGCCGGGTTTGAAAACTTTATTGACAAGTCGCCAAAGAAGTGGCGATCCTATGTTGATGCCGAGAAGCAGCAGCAGCAGAAGCAATTGGACAATCAGCCACGAAGGATGAGAAGGATGTGAAAGATGCGAAGGAGTCTCCAAAGGAGCAGAAGACCATCGAGGACGAGCCCGACAAGAAGCAGCAGGAGCAAAAGTCCGAGAAGGAGGGCAGCAGTGGTAGTAGCGGCGGCAGACGCCCGCCCAAGAAGGACCAGAAGGACGAGGACTTCTTTGGAATGCCCAACTCGGACAACTGGGTTTCATGGGTTGTCGGTGGCCTTATCACATACCAGCTCTACTCAATGACCAAGGGCAGCGACAACCGGCAAATCACCTGGCAGGAGTTCCGGCAGGTGTACCTCGACCGCGGCCTGGTCGAGCGGCTGGTCGTGGTCAACCGCAACGCCGTGCGTGCGATTCTGCGCAGCGGCGCTCCGGGCCAGGGCGGCCAGTTTGGCCCGACAGTGGCCAGAGCGTAATGTTCTCCATCGGCTCTGTGGAGTCGTTCGAGAGGCAGCTTGTCGATGCTCAGGACGAGCTGCGCATTCCGTCGTCGCAGCGCATCCCCGTTGAGTACCGCGACGAGGTCAGCGTGGGATCCACGCTGATCCACTTTGCGCCGACGCTACTCCTCATTGGCGCATTCATCTGGATGTCGCGCAAGGCCCCTGGTGCCGGCGGCGGCGCAGGTGGCTCCGGCGGAATCTTTGGCATGGGCAAGAGCCGCGCGCGCATGTACAACAAGGAGACCGACGTCAAGATTGCGTTCAAGGACGTTGCTGGGTGCGACGAGGCCAAGGAAGAGATCATGGAATTTGTCAAGTTCCTGAAGGAGCCCGAGATTTACGAGCGCCTGGGCGCCAAGATCCCCAAGGGTGCCATCCTCTCGGGCCCACCGGGAACCGGTAAGACGCTGCTTGCCAAGGCTACGGCCGGCGAGGCTGGCGTGCCCTTCCTCTCGGTGTCCGGATCAGAGTTTGTCGAGATGTTTGTTGGTGTCGGATCATCAAGAATCCGCGATCTGTTCCAGACCGCCAAGAAGAACGCGCCCTGCATTATCTTCATCGACGAAATTGATGCCATCGGTAAGGCACGCGGCCGCGGCGGCGCCATGGGCGGCAACGACGAGCGTGAGGCCACGCTAAACCAGCTGCTTGTCGAGATGGACGGTTTCGGGACCACCGAGCACGTCGTCATCCTGGCCGGTACCAACCGTCCCGACGTCCTCGACCCCGCGCTGATGCGCCCGGGTCGCTTCGACAGACACATTTCGATCGACCGCCCCGACATCAAGGGTCGCGCCGACATCTTCCGCGTGCACCTGGGCCCCATCCTGACAAACGAAGACAAGTCGCGCCTGGCCAACAAGATGGCAGCAATGACCCCGGGCTTCTCTGGCGCCGACATTGCCAACGTTTGTAACGAGGCTGCGCTGATTGCCGCACGCGGCGGCGCAGCCCAAGTGCAGCACAAGCACTTTGAGATGGCCATTGAGCGTGTCATCGCTGGCCTAGAAAAGAAGTCGCGCGTGCTGTCGCCTGAGGAGAAGAAGACCGTGGCGTACCACGAGGCCGGCCACGCCGTTGTCGGCTGGTTCATGCGTCACGCCGACCCATTGCTCAAGGTGTCGATTATCCCGCGCGGCCAGGGCGCCCTCGGGTACGCGCAGTATCTGCCCAAGGACCAGTATCTTTTCTCGACTGATCAGCTGCACGACCGCATGTGCATGACTCTTGGAGGCCGCGCGTCCGAGGAGCTGTTCTTTAGCGTTATCACCACCGGCGCGTCGGACGATCTGCAAAAGGTCACCCGCATGGCGTACGCCCAGGTCGTCCAGTACGGCATGAACAAGCGCGTCGGCCAGCTGAACTTCACAGACTCGCAGCAGGGCGAGCAGCAGTTCCACAAGCCCTACTCGGAGGCCACCGCTGAGATTATTGACCAGGAGGTGCGCAAGATGGTTACGGACGCGTACAACACACTCTGGCACTGCTCAAGGAGAAGCGCGCTGAGGTCGAGAAGGTCGCCCAGCTGCTGCTTGAGAAGGAGGTCCTTGGTCGCGAGGATATGCTGAAATTGCTGGGGCAGCGCCCCTTCAAGGACAAGGTGCAGTATGAGGAGTTTGTTCTTGACGAGCCGTCGTCGTCGAGTGATTCGCCGGCCAAGGATGCTGATGTTAAGAAGAATGGCAGCGATGACAGCGCTGCTAGCAATTAGACTGCGAATTGTGTTTTAATAAAATAATTCTGATTTTATTTGGGTGGCCTTGATTTCCGCAGTCCCAACAATATGCCAATTAAATTATAATTGGCTTTATATTCAACAAAAGATGCGAAACGTGAAGTGGGGGGACACGCTCGCTGTGCCTTTGTCCTTTGTCCTTTGTCCTGACCTGCGCACAATCAACAAGATTTTTTTTTTCGCACCCCACGCCAAGCCCAGCATGGCAGAACAATCCGTGCTTTGCATCGGGAAGCGTTGCTACTGCCAGTTGCATTTCGTTTTTACTTTTTTACTCTTATTTTGCTCTTTGCTCCGTATACTTGGCATGTCAATTCATATGGAAATTCAACGACACCGCCAATAAATAAACCCTATACCACACCCCCACTATGTTTACAGCTTCTAACAACACCCTGACAGCAACCACAACAACCACCACCACGACAACTGCATCATCATCAGCAACAACAGCATTGACATTGGCATCGACTAACAGCAACAGCAGCAGCAACAACGGCGCCATACCACCCAAACATTGCACACCCTATACCACATTCCGCCAACGCTCAGCGCGTTCACCGTAGACTATTTGTCCAAGCTTTTCTCCGCCGTCGAAAAGCCAAACTCCAAGCTCAAGCGGCCAGACCGGCCCCTTGATCAGCGAAGGTTTCCTGAATTTCGCTACTTTATCCGCACACTGTTAATAAACGGGCGCATTTCCGCTGACACCCTGGTCCATGCACTCATATATCTCAGCCGTTTCCACCAGCGCGTCTCCAGCAAACAATCCGTAGTGGAGGAGGGCGCCAAGCACAAGCTGTTCTTGGCCGCACTCCTCGTGGCCAGCAAGTTCTGCGACGACCGGTACCCCTGGCAACAATAACGGTGTGCGAGTTTCTGCCGCGCAACCTGCTGTCGCTGGCGGAAATCAACCGGATGGAGCGCGCGTTTTTGAAGATTATCAGGTACAAACTTATCGTGGACCGCGACGAACTGGCATTACTTTTGAGCAAGCATGGTATTGACATTAGGCAAATTGCCAAGACGATTGCACAGAGACTCGGCATTGATATGAGCAAGCATGGGGTGGTGGTAGCACAGAGTGCGCCCGTACCTTTGGGGTTTTCGACCAACGGTATTCCCCAAAGAGCCGTGGCCGGACATTCGATAAGTGCGAGAATCGGGAGATCGGGAGTCTCAGCATGGTTGGTTCCGCGGTGGTGATGGTCCCGCCGCTATCGATGCCGCCCGCTTCGGTGGTTATGACGGGGTCTGCTCGGCTGACTGGCGCTATGCCCGGTGGACCCGTGGTTCTTCACAATGCATATTTGGAGTCCTCGACTGCCAAAAGATCGCAGCGCATCTCGAAGCCATTACCAGTACCATTTGTCGACATCACGAGGAGACAGCGAGAAGCGATGGATTCAGAAAAGAGGGTCTAAGCACTCGGTGCTGCTGCACTTTAAACGACGAAAAGAAACCATAGTTGAATGGCGGGTCCCTTATCACAATCATTTTGATTGTTTTTTCTTGGCCAGGGAGTAGTTTTGACTTTTTTTTAAAAATATTTTTGCATACACCATATTAATACACATCCTGTACACTTCTTTCAGCCTCTACATTTCTTGTTTTTCCTTCTGCGCAACATGTCGGCTGGTGTAAAAGTAACAAAACGGGTGTTTTCGGGGATCCAGCCCACTGGTGTGCCGCAACTGGGCAACTACTTAGGCACGATTAAAAACTGGGTGTCTCTGCAGCAAGAGAATAACACTGAGCTATTCTACAGCATCGTCGATCTGCACGCGCTGACTGTCCCGCGAGACCCCAAGCAGCTCCGCCGAGAGACAACCGAAATGGCCGCCGCCCTGATAGCCTGCGGGATCGACCCCAAGCGCAGCGTGCTGTTCAGACAATCAGCGGTGGCCGCGCACTCGCAGCTGCACTGGGTCCTGGGAAGTATTACGCCCGTCGGGTGGCTCAACCGCATGACGCAATGGAAGAGCAAGTTGCACCAGCAGAATGCCGAGTCTGAGGATGCTGGTTCGGATGAAGAGTTGCAGCTGAATGTGCACTCGAGCGCCGCCCAGGGCTTGCTCACTGGTTTGTTTACGTACCCGGTGCTCATGGCGGCTGATATCTTGCTCTACAGGGCCACACATGTGCCTGTGGGCGAGGATCAGGTGCAGCACCTCGAGCTTGCGCGTGACCTGGCAGTTCACTTTAACAAAACGTTCAAGACAAAAATGTTTCCACCGCCGACTGGCATGCTCACAGCGACCAAGCGCGTCATGTCATTGAAGGACCCGCTGCGTAAAATGTCCAAATCCGATCCCAATGAACAATCGCGCATTACGCTTTCAGATACTGACGACCAGATTGTGAAAAAAATCAAAAAGGCACCGACGGATGCAATTACCGGAATCTCATTTGACCCGAAGACTCGCCCTGGTGTGAGTAATCTGCTGTCGATTTATGCCGCTATGAAGGATGTGGATGCGCAGGTTGCGGCGGTCGAGATGCGCGAGATGAGCAATGCGCAGGTGAAGGAGATGGTTGCCCAGGCCGTGATTGAAGGCGTGGCACCGATTCGTCAGCGCATGCGTGAACTGATGGATGATCCTGCATATTTGGATAGTGTTCTGCGCGACAATGAAATAGGGCGCGCGAGACTGCAGAGAATAGTTGGCAGGAGATTGCACAGCGCGTTGGCCTGGTTTGTCGGTGATAGAATTAGACGTATATTCGTAATAATATATTTAATGTCACACTATTTAAATCAATTGTTAAACAAAACAAACTAGGTAAAACTATTCATATACGCTGCAATTATAAACGAACTTTCGTGCTATTTGATATGCGCTAGGATTTAATAACAACTCATTGGGCAGAAATAAATATCAAAATTAAGTTTAAATTCCCAACGAGATCTATTAGTTGGTCGCAACCAACTGTTTAACCAGTCTTTGCGTGACTATTGAATGATTGGTGTCTGGCTAAAAAGCAGTGACACATACCACATAGTTATTCTCTCTTACCTCTCCAATACATAGTACTCATAGAATACACTTTATCAAATACATAATATTATATTCTTTATATCACATTTATGGAACGTACATATTTAAACAACATTATTAAAAAACAAATAGCTATCTTGTTCTCCAAGCTACACAAATAAAATTGGTCAAACATGTCTTGTTCACACAAAATAAAGGTATAAAAGTGTATCCATGCAACTTGTAAAAGAAAGAGCGTTAGGGACAATGCGCTTTAGTAGTTATACTTGGGAACAGGCACAGCATAGGGGATGCTCGAGCCGTGGAGCATTTGAGTGGCCTTGAACTTTTCAATGTCAGTGATGAGCCACACGCCGTCGGGCGACTGGTGCATGCCGATTTTGGTGAAATCCTTGCCGCTGGCAACTGCATGGTTAAAAGAAACTCTCGAGCTGTCAATGGCCATTTGCAGAGCATTCTTGCCTGTGTTCCTGGCGCAAAGATGCGGCCAACGTGCTGTGTGCATCCAACATGTCTCCGAGTCTGCTCAGTAAGGCATCTTCGTCGTTAGCACTGAAATTGGCAGCAGCAATATTTGAAACCATGCTTTCAACCTTGGCAAGTGACAACTCAGGCAGCCCTTCTTTGTGGAGGCATCCGTGCAACGCAATGGTACCGCTAGTGTGCGCCCCAAACTGTTCAGCGGATGGTTGCGCAGTTGCAGACGACCACACCTGATTGTCGACACGTGTGTAGTGAGGCGCGGTTTGTGGATTGATATACTTGTCCCAGAACGCGATCAAGTCGTCTCTAGTCAGCCTGCTTATCTGTTCAGCGCCTCTTTCGACACTTCCAAAGTCGTATTTTTCGCTATCAATCTGTGACCAATATCTGGCAGTCTCTTGCGATATGTTCTTGACCCTTTCGCGGGCTTGATCGACAATCGATTTGATTTGTGTGGCCAGCTTGGCAGCGTCAAAATCAAGCAGGTACTGGCGGAAATCATGCACAAACGCATCTATGCGCATTGTGGCATAAGTGGGATTGCTTTCGCCCTGAATGTAGAACTGCAGCCCACTGCTCTTGCCGTAGGTTTTTATATTTGCGTGAACCCGGTAGCCCAGCTGCTCCTTAGTCCGCAGCTGGTCAAAGAATGGCTCCGACATAAGCTTGTCAAGCAGGTCTAGAACTGCAGTCTCATACGTATCACCCGACTGGTCGCAGTATACATAGCAGATAGTAGCACTTTCTTTGCTGTTTTTGTCGGGCATGGGTGCCTGGTAGACATAGCGACCGGCATCGAGATGCAGCGCGCGCGGCCGAATTGACAGTAGTCAGCAAGTGGTCTGGAATCTAAAGTGTCGTCAATCATCTGGGCAATATCGAGGGCATCCTTCTCGTCAAAATTGCCTGAAACTATGAGCTTGAAGAATGTTTGGCCAAACATGTGGTCAGCAAGCAATTGCAGCTGTTGAATCGTTATATTGTCAGCTCGCTGCGGATCTGGGTGTAGTGCCTGCTGGTGTCTATGTTGATGTAAGCATTATTCATTCTTGCATGCTCAAGTGGTATTTTGGTATCCATGTTTTTGTAGGTGTAATGTATTTGGCGAGCAAATTTCGTACAGCTGCTCGTCGATGACCAATGACTGAATTTGCACAGAATAGCTTGCAGCAAAACAGACTGTTTGTCGCTGAATCCAGATATGGAAATATCAATGGTACCGACATCTACGGCAAAGTGGTAGTGTAGTCCCGCCATTTGAGCCTGCTCGAGCTCCGTGTGCAATATTTCACTGGCATACATGTTGTACAGGTCAACAAGCGCGTGCCTCATTGGTGTGTTGGTTGCAGGCATACGGATACTCAACATAATTTTTCCCTTGGGAACAAAAAACCGGTCGTCCTGCTTAAACCACACTTTCATCCTGTCGTTGCTACGCAGCAGAGTTGGCTCATTAACAACGCCCAATGGAATTTCTGTCGAGGTCTTAATGTCCAGGTTGCTTGTCAGATATGCATTGGCACCGGCATTGAAAATACATCTTCATACTCGGCAAAGCTGCTCTGCTCTGGCTTGAGGGTGGCTGGCATATTGACGACATTGTATTTAATGCCGTAGTACTGTTCCTTAATATCACATTCGACATCGCGGTGTTTCTTTGCCCCAACCATGAGCATGTAGTTGTTCGGGTTCAAGTAGTTTATGATATCAGCGACCAAGGATGAGTTGAACTCGCCAGTTATCTGGCCGGCTGAAAGATATGCTCAAGATTGATTTGCTCATTGTGCATTTTTCTGGGCATATGAGTTACCCAGTGGCCAATATTAGATCTTTCGTAAAAATGGTAGCTAATAGCATTGACACTGTGCAGCTCGTCATGGTACCACTTCTGTAGTCCCTGTTTAGTCAACATGTCCATGTATGCAAATATGGCGTGCACAATATCAGCGTAGTTATCCATTCCGTCAGGGGTTGCATCAATGCCAATATAAAACATGCTTGATCCGTCGTCGTACAAGCCAAAAGAGTTGGCATCTATATCGTAATCCAGCCTCGCTTTTGCAGATATGATAGAGGGAGCCCTTGCCCTGTCTGCCCAAAAGTGTTCTTATATACAAAATGGGGTTTGATCTATACGTGTCTTCAGCTCTGGCAAGGCAAACATAAGACAATATCATAAATATCATTCACTGTCTCAAAACTCACAACTTTGCCGAGCTCAGACTTGCTGAGTGTATGCTCGGATAGCACGGGCTTTGTGTTTCCCTTGCTCTCGACTTCTGAGAACATAGAGACAGCCCACTCGGTCAGTTGGTCCAAGGTGTGATTACCAGCCACTACAAGCTTCATAATGTCGGACGAGTAGTATTTGTTGTGGAACTTGAGCAGTTCTTCACGTAGCTCAACACCCAGTATGTTTGCCGAGCCCTTCAGTGTATCGACGGTTCCTGTTGAAAACTGCGAAAATGGATGGTTTGGGTTTGAGACATTTGCCAGCAAACCGAAAAAGCGCCATGTATCGCTCTGGATGTTTCCTTTGTGCTCCGAGTCGACCGCCAATAGCTCTTTGTCAACGCAACTGGCATCCATAAGAGGGTCAATGAAGAATCTTGAGAAGCGGTCTAGTGCGCCCTTCAAGGCATCATTGGCCAGTGAGAAGTGATAGCAGGTTTCACAGTTGTTGGTAAAAGCATTGGCATACCCTGAGTGAGCAGACAGGTATGAACTGTACTCGTTTTTTCCAGGATATTTTTCCGAGCCCTATGTTAAACAAATATTTGTAGATAATGTATATATTACATGAAAAATTAGCACATACAAAAATGAGGTTTTTTGTTCACATAAAACGACAATGTATTTTGTTATTTGCATGGTTACTTACCTGGAATAGCATGTGCTCGAGGAAATGCGCAATTCCAAGGAACTCTGGGGGATTGCCATTGTGGCCCACATTGACGCTTAATGAAACTGCGGATTGCGTCGTGTCAGGGTCATGGGCGCACAAAACGGTCATATTGTTGGGAAGCTGAATAAGTCTAAACTTGCGCGGGTCATTGGGCGACTGTTCGATTGTACCAGAATATTCGTGGTAGGGGAGCTGAAGCTCATTTGTCTTGCGCAAGATAAACCCTGCCTTTAGGTTAGAAGCAGTGGAGCTTGAATTTTCGGGGTTGGCTGTGTCAGTGGTAGTCGCATCAGTGGCCACATGAGCGGTGAAACATGGGCATAATTGGGAGCGCTGGAAAAGCTGGTGGAGCTGGTGGAGCTGGTGGGCTGGTGGAGTTGGTGGTGGGCTCGAGAGACCACTGCTTGGGTGCAGCCCGGATAACCGGTAGGTAACTAGTATTGCCAGTAGGCAAATAAACAGAGGGTAATATATTTCAGCATACTTTAAAGTGAAAATAATAGAAAAATAAAACAAGTATAAATAAAAGAATAGGTGGCACCTATTTCTTTTTCAATTTTATCCAAGTTGATTTAGAGTATATGGAAAATGGCTGCTCCATTTTTTCTATTGCTTGGACTCAAGTATTAGAAAAAAGTGAAGTCCTGAAAGCCTTTGTCAGTTTGTGGTTTTGTAGTTTTGCTTTAATACAACACAACCGCAGCAAAATGTAGGTGAAAAGGAAATGATACAAAGGTCTTTTATGATATAATTTCAAAAAATAATTGTGCAGTGATAAATGAACTGAATTAATTAACATGTACATACATGATGCATACACACAAATATGTGACGTGTTACCAGGATGCTGTTAGTAATTTAAAAGATCTTGTCAAAATGTGTTGCCAAAGAAAGTCGAAATTATAATAAAATTGTTAAAATTGTTATTCGCAAAAATGATCTCAAGTACCCGAGCTCTGGCGGTTAGGAGGCTGAAGTCGAAGGATAGTGATATCGGCATCCGGCTTGGTGCTCATGTCCAGAGGGGTAATAAGAATGAACTGCGTTTCGTTCTTCGAGCGCGCACTGTCGATCATCATGCTCATGGCAATGGCACGGTTGGCGGCATCCATAAAAACGTCAAACTCGTCCAGCGCCCGTACGGACAATTCATAGTCTCCCACAATGACAGTAGCAGGCAAATCGTCGTAAAGGACTTTTCTCCTCCAGAAAGCGACTTTGTGTCCTTGCGCTGGTACGCCGCGGATGACTTGCCATTGCCAGCACCGCCATTAGCCGCGCGCTCGCCGATAAGATCCTGGTCAGTCTGGACTTTGGGCACCAGCGTGTGCAGCGAGTGGTCGAACTCCAGTTTGCCCGTGTATCCACGCTGGTACAAATGGTTGGTGAAGTGCATCTTGGTGCGCAGCGTCATCGAGTCGCGGAATTGCGTCCACATGTGCAGTCGCGCTGGTGTGCGGTCTTGAGCATTGAGACCATGCGTGTGGTCGTCCGCAACTCGTCCTTGGCCTTGTTGTACGTATTGATGTAGTTCTGCGCCTTTTCAGAGACCTCAGCCAGGGACATGCTACTGGAACGCTCGATCTCCAGGAGGCGCGCGTTGCACTCGGTGATCATCCGGTCGAGCTTGGTGGCCGGGTGCTGCACCTCGACGCGCTCCTCGCTCAGCTTGCATGCGTCAGCCATAACGCTCTGCACTTCTTCCCTTGCCATAACCTGGTTTTTCTCGAGCTCCTTTAGCCTTCCTCCCATACCGGAGTACTTTGTTTTCCAATATACTATGTTGTCAGTGTGTTTGCGGCTTTCACCGGTCTTCGCGTCAGCCGCATTCTTCAGTTTCGTTGCCTGCGCACGGATAGCCTCGATCTTCTTGTCAACCAGAGCAATTTCGCTCCCCAGCTGCCTGAGCTCCTCCTGTTAGCTTTCTTCTGCTCGTTGTGGTCGAGGAACTGCGTCTGTATGGACTCCATCTGAGCAGTAAGGCGCTCTAGCTCGGACTCGAGCTCAGCAATCTTAGTCGACTCGCTGCTGTGCAGCAAGTCACGGGTCTTTCGATCTCGTACGAAAACTTGTTGATGACCCCTTGCACTTGCGCACTTCACTCTTCGAAAGCTCGTGTTTGCGCATAAGGTCCCTGAGCTCATGCTCGGTCTTTTCCAGCGTGCGTTTTGCGTCATCGAGCGCGCGCTTCTGCTCGCTGAGCTGGTGCTCTTCGCGTGCAATGACTGGCCAATGTCGTCACCCAGACGGTTAGTGTTTTTGATCAAATTGACTGACTGCGTTGACAGGCCGCCCGAGCGCGATCCGACGCTGAAGCCGTCGACGGTCAAGCAGGCGGTGACGTTCCGCGGGAAGCCGCCGTTGTTGGACACCATGATCTTGTCACCCAAAGCGCGCTGCTCGACAAGGATGATCTGCTCAATGCGGTTGAGGTTGATCAGCTGGCGCTTGACTAACTCATTGCTAATTTCCAGGGCGCGCAGGATGGTCAAGTACTCGGCGCTCGGCTCACCATTCGAGTAGTCAAACAGCTCGGGCTTGCAGATAACGATGCGCGACTGGCACCCGACCTGGCGGAATATTTTGTCCAGGGTCGCTTGGTCAGCATACGAGTCAACGAGGAAGGCGTTGAGCGACTTGTCCAGCGTGGTCTCAATGATGGGGGACCATTTTTGGTCGCGCACCTTGACAAACTCGCCAAGCGGGCCGATAGGCTGCATGCCCTTCCACCGCGTGTTCTTGATCTGCGCGATTGCCTCAGGGACGCCGCGGCCAAAGGCGTTCAGACGGTTGGACGTCTGGCGCCTGAGGTCGTCGAGGTTCTGCTGGGTCTTTTCCACATAGATGCGGTTCTTGTCGACCTCACGGATGCAGTTGCCCTTCATCTCATTCAGCTCCTTAGAGCGCTCCTCGTACGAAAGCTGGTCGCTCTGCAGACTGGCGATCTTGGACTCCTCATCTTAATTGACTCCTCGAGTGAAGCGATAGTCTGCTTGAGTTGCTCCTTGCCCCCCTGGTCCTTTTCATGCAGCCGTGCGCGCTCAGACGCAATCTCCTTTTTCAGGGACTCGGTTCGCTGGCGAGTGCTGCGCGCCTCGTTATTGATCTCATTCTCAGTCTCCTTGAACGAGATCAGAGCAGCCCTGATCTGCGCCATGACAGTCATCGGCCCGCTCTTCTCCGCCTCCAGGGGCACAAGCTGTGCCAAATGTCTCTCGGCCTGCTCACGAATCTCCTCTGCCTCGGCATCGATCTCAATAATGGCCGTGTTTTCGGCCTCAATCTTTTCTTCAATCTTGGATATTTTCTTGTTGTGGTTGTCGACCACCATATTGCTCTCTTGCAGCTTGGCCTCAGCATCTTCGACGTAGGCCCAGGCCAGCTGCTGGCTGAGCTCGGTCATATTGGCTGAAATATCGCGAGCCTGGCGCATGTCCTGGTAATGCTGCTCCCAGCGCTTCTTCTCGGCACGCATCTCGGGAAGGACCTCCTTTTTGCGCTCAATGCTGGACTCAGCGCGGGCAATGGCCTGACGCACGGCCTCCAAGTCCTCGCTGAGCTGAAAGAGCTGCGTGCCCTTGAGGAAGAACAGGTACATTTTGTCGGGGCTGGTGCTGGCCAGGAACTCGCGCGCAGCATCCTGTGACAAAATGTTGATCGGGTTGTCCACCTGGATAGCCATGTAGTCGGTGATGTTGACAACATCCTCCTTCTTCCTCGACACGACCGCATTGGTATCGCCGTTCATGATTTTGAACTGCGAGGTCATGGCTGACGAGTTCCTCAATTGGCGCTCAATGATGATCGAGTTGCCGTAGATGTCCGGGCGGTAAGCGTCGGCGCCGCGGTTGCGCAGTTCCACTCTGACGATGGCACGCTGGCAGCCCTCGCGGATGAAGCCCTTTAGGCTACCGGCACGGTTGGTTGTGGTCGCCTTGCCGCCTAGGGCAATGATCAGGGCGGTCAGGATGGCGCTCTTGCCGCTGCCGTTCTGGCCGGTGATAAAGTTGACCTTGGGGCAGAGCTTGACGGAGGCCTTTTCGTGGCACATAAAGTCCACCAGCTCCACACACTCGACAATTCCGATTTCGGGTCCCCCGGCCTGGCTGCCCTGCGCTTGTTTCCCACGCAGTCTGGTCACTCCGGTTTTGTTGCGTGAGACATCGGGTTCGGGGGTGATCTCCTGCGATGGCGCGTCGGTTTGATCCTGCTCTATGCGAGCACGTTTGGCCTAAACGAAAAATCATAAATTTGGAGAAAAATAAGAAGGGGATTTGAATTAGTTGGTGTGAGCATTTTGAATAAATGCAGAACAGGCAAGCAAAAAATAAAACCCTTTCCGTGTGGCTTAACACTTACAGGGGTGGATTCAATGTCTGCGTTGTCGATTTCGTGCTTCAAGCGGGACTTTGCCATTGCTCTTGGTCCAGTCCGTTTTATATGTGTATGTGTATGCGTAAATGTACGTGAAGAGCTTTTGATAAAAAAAACTGCATTGAAACGAAGCGAAATGAAGAAAGATATTTTTAAGAAAATATAAAAAACAAAAGCAACGTGTTATGACACGCGCACGCGTTCAAAAAATTGGGTGAGAATGAATTGATTTGGTTTTGGTTTTTTTTTTGCTTAATTTTCTTGTTTTTTTTGGCTTTGCGCACAAAACAAATTTTTAACAGGATCAAGGCTGCGGAAGTGGGGTGCCCAAAGCAAACACCGCTTGTATTCTGAGCGCAATCTCCAAACTGGTGTTTCCTTTTGCGTTGCTGCAAATATTTTTCAAACAAAAATTTCACATTTTTATTTTACTATTGACATGAAATCAAGCCCAAAATTTAAATTCACCAAGAAAATCTTTTTTTAATTTTTCTTCCAACCCCAAATAATCTGCCTCGACGCCCTCTTGCTCTGCTTTTTACACATGGGAGATAGCCGCGGCTTTGTCATACAAAACACCATGGATGAAATCACACCGGGGCTCTTTGTCGGCAGCTCAATGGCTGAGACCGACAAGATCAAGCTGAAGGAAAACGGCATAACGCATATTCTCTCCATAGCGACCCACTACCAACCATCATACCCGGCGATTTCATTTACAAATCCATATCGATCGACGACCTGCCGGAAGAAAACATCATCCAGTACTTCCCCGCCTGCAACGAGTTTATCTCTGGGGCGCTGGCCGTGGGCGGGCGTGTCCTGGTGCACTGCATGGCGGGGCAGTCGCGAAGCGCAACAGCGGCGGCGGCGTACCTGATGCACGAGCAAAAACTGACGGCAGAGCAGGCCGTGCAGGCGGTGAAGCAGCGGAGGCCTCAGATCTACCCGAACCAGGGCTTCCTAGACCAGCTGGACCTGTACTACGACCTCGGGTACGAGGTGACTGAGGCCAAGCCGCTGTACCGGCGGTTCCTTATCAACCACAGTGCTGAGTATTTCCGCGAGTACGGAAGCGTGCAGCATGTGGCGTCCGGAGCCGACCCAAGTGCGCTGGCCGCCAAGGCTGGCGGCGCCGAGCGCTCGGCACGGTGCAAGAAGTGCCGCCGCGTGCTGGTGACCGAGGTTAATATCCTGGAGCACCAGGCTGGCGCCGGCCAAATGGCCTTTTCGTACAACAAGCGTAATGCTAGCGGTGCCGAGACGCCGCACGCGTTTTCGCAGAACCACGCGTGCTCATCGCTGTTTGTCGAGCCGATGGAGTGGATGGAGGGCATTAGCGAGGGCCTGGTGGAGTCCAAGATCGCCTGTCCCAAGTGCCATGCCAAGCTGGGCGCATACAACTGGGCCGGCGCCCAGTGCTCGTGCGGCAAGTGGATCACGCCGTCGTTTCAGATCCACCGCAACCGCATCGACGAGCTGCGCAAACGATAGACTCGCATGATATTTACACTGTTTGAAGATAGAAAGAAAAAATAAAACTAATTTTGACTATGTAAAGATAATCAGCATGATCAGTACCAGAATCACCACAAACAGAATTAGAATGACATGCAGTGAGCGGTTGCCGCGGTCGCGCAGGAACTTGTCGACTTTTTGCGTGCCACTGCAGCTTGCTCTGCGTGCGGTCAACCAGGTCGCTGACTCGTCGAGCAAAATGGCATGGCTATCGAGCTCCGTGTTCATCGTGCTCGCAATTCCATGCAGGTTGCGCACAGTGCCGAGCATCGAGTCAAACTGCTCGTCCTGCTGCTCCATGAGCATCTGTTGCTGCCCCTGGTGGTTGCTAACTTCCAGCGCCAAATGCTCGCTCTGCGCGCGCCCACCGCCCTGAGCCCTCATCGGCGTCATCTGCGGTGGCGGTTGGTTCAGCGTTCTCCGCATGCCTCGATGGCTCTCTGCTTAGTTGTGACAAACTTTTGGCGTTCGGCCAGCTTTGCTGGTGACAGCCCGTAGTCCTCTGGAAGTCGCTGGCTACGGCTATGGTCTCCTGCAGGTCGTCAAGGTCGGTGTCTATAGATTTGAGCGAGCTGTGTAGCTCATCGGTCATAAACTGGAACTCATTCTCCTCTTGCGGAGAGCGCCGCTTGGTGTTGAGTCGCTGCCAGGACGCCAGTAGAGTCTTGGCCTGCTCGAACGACGAAACGACATCGTCCTGAACAATAACAAAGGGGTCTGACATTGTAATTGCGCGCGAAATGCTGGGTAATCAAGGAAAAATAATTAGTGTGTAAAAAAAGCGCAAAGCGGAGTAGAGGTCGTTCAGTTATTCTCTTTGCTGCCTAAAAAAGGCACCGATGCTGCATTGGACCCCACATCACGTGAAATAATTGAACTTGGCCAATTGTATTTTTCTGTGCTTTTATGCGCAACAGGTGACAAAAAAACGTCAACACAAGCAAAAGCTTCCTTCTGCTTTCGAACCCAGATCGAGCACGGGATTATGTCGCTGGCGGTTCGCTCTTTTTGCACCTTTTGAGCTTGTTTGTCAACCCCGAAATTCGACTATCTTTTATTTCTGTCTTTCACATCGCTCTTCATCTCGTTACATTCTATACACCTATTTAATTTACACAAGCAATCTCGACAAAGCCGCTAAATGGAGTTTGAGGACGTTTTAACAAACCAGCCGGTGGTCATTGACAATGTAAGGACGACAAACAACGGCAAACTTTGTTTTTTATGTCAGGGTGGGTAGGAAGTGACGATATTTTACAGCACACGCAGTAGAAACTAAAATCACATGTTTTGCTTTGTAGGGATCTGGCGTCATAAAGGCGGGGTTTGCAGGCGATGACCAGCCAAAGTCATTTTTCTCGTCGTCGATGGGCGGCCCAAGCACCTGCGAATGATGGCTGGCGCAGTGGAGGGCGACCACTTTATCGGGCGACAGGCTGAGGAGCTGCGGGGGCTACTCAAGGTCAGCTACCCACTGGAGCACGGCGTCGTGACAGACTGGGAGGACATGGAGAAAATCTGGTCGTACATCTACAACGATGAGCTAAAGACACTCTCGGAAGAGCACCCGGTGCTTCTTACTGAGGCACCGCTCAACCCGTCGGCCAACCGGGAGCAGGCCGCGCAGATATTCTTCGAGACCTTCAACGTGCCAGCCTTCTACACGTCGATCCAGGCTGTGCTCAGCCTGTACGCATCGGGCCGCACTACCGGCGTGGTACTGGACTCGGGCGACGGCGTGTCGCATGCTGTGCCGGTGTTTGAAGGCTTTGCGCTACCGCATGCTATTCGCCGCATGGACGTGGCCGGGAGGGACGTCACTGAGTATCTGCAAGTGCTGCTGCAGAAGGCTGGGTACAACCTTTATACATCGGCGGAGAAGGAGATTGTGCGCCAGGTCAAGGAGAAGATCTGCTATGTGGCGCTGGACGCAGCCAAGGAGGAGAAGGACATGGGGTCGGTGAGCGGCGGCGGTGATGGAAGAGCCCGCAGTGATGTGTTTAAGCTGCCGACGGCCATCTGATCAACCTGGGCAATGAGCGGTTCCGGGCGACCGAGATTCTGTTCCAGCCTGATATCATCGGCTGGAGTACCCCGGCGTGCACCAAATTGTCGCCGACTCTATCAGCCGGGCTGACATTGATTTGCGCCGCTCGCTCTATGCCAACATTGTTTTGTCTGGCGGCACGACGCTGACCAGGGGCTTTGGCGACCGGCTTTTGGCCGAGCTGCGGAAGCAGGCTGTCAAGGATTGCAAGATCAAGATCTCCGCGCCGCCTGAGCGCAAGTACTCGACGTGGATTGGTGGTTCGATTTTGGCGTCGCTGAGCACGTTCAAGAAGATGTGGATCTCGGCTGAAGAGTACCAGGAAGACCCAGACATTATCCACAGAAAGTTCTTTTAATTTTTAAAAAAAATGTTAAAGGTGTGTTTTGCTTTCTTTTGTTTAACAAATGCTACGATGATACTGTGAGCTTGGCTTGGATCCAGACCATCTCCTTGGGCTTTGAAGATGGTGCCGGCGCCTCCTGGTTTCGGAAGCAGGAGCAGGAGCAGGGCAGGGGCGGATGTGAGTTTGGCGTGGACGCGTATAATCCAGCCTTGGGTCGCTCACTTTCTTCCACCGGCTTTGCCGACAAGTGGTGCGTGGAGTGCGGATCGTATCCCCGATACTCAGCTCTGAGTGAACCTGCAACCCTTCACATAACGCGTGGCTCCTCTTGACAATCTCAATAACGGATATCAGCTTTGGCACTGCGGCGCCTCGCATAAAGATAAATTACGGTCTGCGGAGACTACAAAAAAAGGGTATATCGAATTTATGCATATAAATTAATAAATATATATCACCAATGGCACTCTGTTTGAGTATAGCAATATCTTATAAATTGTTACCTCATTAAAAGTCTTGTTGATATGGCCAGCATAGTTTGAAATCTTGCCTGCCTGGTTATCCGCATGTCAAGGGTCAGTTCTGACTTGTCAGCCGTATGGATGACATTCTCATCGAGTCAAGTTTGGAAAAGTCGACGACGTACTTGCGTTTTCTCTGCTTCATGTTTATTAAATATATAATATAGTGTAAAATTGATAAGTAAACATGGTTTCTAAAAAAAATTGCAAAACAGATAATGTACTAGTTGAATATTAATATTAGTTACAAGTATTCTATGCATATGGGTTTGTCCTGCGCTTGTCTCGTGTGGTCTGCCAAAAAAACCTTTAGGCTTTGTCACACATGCGGCCGCCCTGGTTTTCCCCACTTTCCAAAATTGGTGTAGTAAAAATCAACTGTGCTTATAAGATTTTTATACGCGTCTTCATATGCGCCATCTCGCTGCACATCAGAGTCGGACTTTATGGAGAAGATGTGTTCGTATAAATACTGACTGGCGGGCACATACTTATTTTTTGCCATTTCATCCGTAATATCTGTAAGCTCGACTAGCTTTGTGTACTCGACAAGCACAGGTATCACAGATGAAATTGGTTTGTATTTGCTTTTAAAATGCGTATTGATGTAGTCCAAGGCCCTTATTTGTTTATTAGATAGCGCCGCAATAACGGAGATAGTGACTACAACAAAAACAGAATGATTAAGCAGCTTCATTACAGATGGATATAAAATAGAAATAAAAATAAAAATAAAGAGATAATTGGAAAGGAAACACTAACTTTGTTTTGCTTTATAATTGCAAGTTATAGTTTGAAAATAAAAATAAAATGAGTTGCAATATGCAAATACTCGCAAAACATTTCTTCAAATAATAAATATTATTAATTTCTGACATTGCAAATAACAAAGGGAAACTTGAAGGAGGCGTAGTTCTGTGCAAATCAAGTGACTATTATAATATACTTTCATTGGAAAAAATATTTTAAAATTCCAAATAGGACGACATAATTTTTTTTCCCTATTCATCACCAGCTTTATGAATATATTTAGTTAATAATTCCAAATTTTAATAAATTTCCAATAGTGGCGTTACATTTATCATTAAATAACATGTCACACGGATTGCTTTGCCATCTGTTACCAATGCGACTGAAGCCTTTTCAACTTGAGCACAACTTGTTTAATGTCATTTTCTGTATCCTGATGGTCTACGGGATTATAAAAGTTTTCCATTTGGAAAAAAAAATTGAGAAGCACACGGCTGCTTGTTACAAATAATTAGACAATTTCTATGTTTTGTTGTTTGGATGTTACAATAAACACAAGAAAGCATATTTGACCTTGTGTTCATTGTTCATAGAATTACCGATTATTATAGTATATTGGCACAAAATTATTAATGCCATAAATTTAATGACTGCGAATTAGCATGTGCAGCTAACGCCCCCCATCCCCAAGGCACATACATTTACCATTAAGGTTGCAGTTGCCCTCACCAGGAAGTCAAAGCTTGATTGGCCATTGTGATCCTTAACGCACTGTTCAAACAGGGTTAATGAGCCTTCAGATAAATATGTCGGCTTGTACATGGGTATTGGGCTTTACTAGGTGATTGCGGCTTCGCTGGCGTGTTGGTGAAGCGTGTGTGTTGGCAATGAGAATGGGCATAATATAACAAGGCCGGTGGTGAATTTTATGACTGAATTGTGTAGATTATTTTGTGATTTGAAAATAGACAAAGTAAATAATACAGGAGTATAAATTATAAAAATTATAAATATTAATGAAAAACGTACCTGAGATGGTTAATAAAAATCCCATGTGCCAAAGGATGAAACTATTTGCTGCGCTATTTATAGTCAAAATAAAATAACCTTGCGCTCGTCCCTATATTTAGAGATTTTGGCAGGATAAGATTTTATTCAACATTTCAACTTAATCGTATGACAACATGTCTTTTACATTGATGATTGTGTAGGAATGCGCATGCAAACACAAGAGATTCCAGAAACAAAAAAATAAACGAGCCTTATAGACGATTGGCTTGTTGGACATGTGGTGTAATTAATGAATTATGCATGTGTGCAGCAAGCATGAGCTGCTGAAAGGTTATATTGAATACATTAAATAGTTGATGTTATGCTAATAATTTTTTAAATTTATGAATTACTGGGCATAATTGCAATAAATTGATAAAGTGCAAGACATGCAAGAATGAATATAACAATTTTTATTTTTATAATAATTCCCCAAGGCCTATCTTCAATTCTCTTTTCATCATCTTATTGTGCACCCCGAGGACATGGAAGTAGATACAGAAAACAAAAATCACAAAACAAGTTCCCGTTTGTGTGCCAACTGACCAGATACGAACTAATTACAGGGAATCAGATCAGGAGCTAATATTGACATCATAATATGCCACCCACTTTGGGATGTGTGAGCATGAGCGTGCGCATATGAAAATCACAATATTGAGTTGTCACAGAACTTAGGCTGCTCACAGAAATACCAGTTCTTGCAATGGGGGTGCACGACTGGAAATGTGAAAGACAGTGGAGGTCAAGCCAAGTATATAGATCAAGGACAGTCATAGGTTGCACTTTTAAAATCTTGGTATTATATAAACCAACAAAATTTCATTTTTTACACTACTACAGAGTACTCATATATATCATAACAAATATTTAATACTTTTTATATTTTATATTTTATTTAACTAAATGTTGGCCAAGTTGGACGTGACTATGGAGTCTGTAACCCACCAAAGACTCCACAAGCCCCTGACCTCTATATGCAGAGTGGCCCCCATGTTAACGAGTGGTTCAATCACTAGACTAAATTTATATTCGTCAAAAACTAAGAAAAAGGGCCAACATCCTACACCCCCTTCAACTCCAGCTATGACTATAACCTCATCCACTCAGTCACCCACCAAGGCTGTCAAAGAGGAGGCAGCAGTTAGTGCAGCATCTGGAGGGATGTAGTCGGCGCTATGCCTGAAGGGGGGCAGGGGCTTGTGGAGTCTTTGGTGGATTGCAGACTCCATAGTCACGTCAGATTTGACAGACATCTAGTTAAATAAAATAAAAATATAAAATTATTGAATATTTGTTATGATATATATGAGCACTACTCTAGTAGTGTTAAAAGAGGGGTGTTTTTATAAATAGGAATTAATACTAATGTTCCTAAAGTGCTACCAGAACTGGCCTCATCTTATATGTGTCTCATTGGCTCTGTTGTGCACTGTTGGTGAGAACTGGGTTTTCTGTGAGCAACCCGATACCTTTGTATGCCATTGTTGTATTATTTGTGTACTCACACTTTGGTTGTGTATTGCAAAATGGGGAGCATGTTTAGGCATCAATGTAATGCCTCCCTAATTTACGCCTGCATGATCCAATTGGTACTTATCAATCGGCATGCAGATGAAAACTTGTTTCACGATTCTCAACCTCAACATCCATTTCCATATCTTGGGCTGCGCAACACTACACGATTTTGCAAATTTTCAAACACATACACAAAATAAGAAAAACAAAAGCAAGTGGTATTAAACATTTTAACTTTGCATATATATTTTTTTATAAAAAAATAATAGATGAAAAGAAAATTTAGTTTTGATATTGCAGCAACATAAATAAAGACCATTGTGGTTGCCAAGCATTATCACACCAACTAAATAATAGACCAAGGAGCTCGGCTTTTTTTTTTGCTGGCAAATCTATTGCAATTTATAATGGCCTGGGTGTGTAAACTGTAGGCTGTATCACAACGCGTTGGTGGCAAAAAAAATTATATAGTGCATTTCCAATACTTATTCCTCTTAACTCTTTTATTTCTCTTCATTTTTATTTTACTATTTCGTTTTTGTATTGCACATTTTAGGTAAAATATTTTCAATATCTATCAACATACTCACCTTTGACATCCCTGTGCATGTATTGGCCACAGTTGCACACCCCAGACCTGAGACCCTTAAAGCATGGAGAGAGCAGCTATAAAGTACCTGCAAGTGTGTCGTCAGTGGAGGCAGGCAGCGATGGCTCTGGTGCATTGGCATGACTTCATTATTATAGGTGACAGCAGCAACATTTCTGTTAATGACCCTTCTGCGTCCAACAGTGTATTCAAAGTGTGTGTGCTTTACCCCACCAATCTTGGAACAGCAATTCCTTTGCAATACTGTAGCATGGTCAAAAATGTGACTGTAGCGATACCCACCAACTTTGGCGGTATTGCGTTTTCATTGATGTTTTCAGAGGTACTGTGCGCACAGAACCTGCAGTGGTGTAACGTTCATTATCTCGAATTCAAATATATGGTTAGAATATTATTGCAAGCCATGTTGCGGCAACTGCTAAAGGCTTTACTTTTTTTAATGGATTTTGCGCTGTTGCTGGGTCCCAGCACGCCAGGAATCACCAGCAGTGTCGCCCTGTTTTCGTGGTTTGGATCATGGTTGAAGGATACTCTTGGTTTATTTGTAAAACAGCTTGCTCGGCAGCTGCGCGTGGTTGACTGCGGCTTTAAATTACCTTGTGTTGAGAAAAAACATGTTTTATTGGAATATCTTTCTTTACACGCAGATGATACCCACTCGTTGCCTTTGGCAAATCCACAAACGCTGCGGAAATTGTGCGTTAGCTTTTATAAAAAAAAATGACAAACGCAAAAAACAGCTGTCGAACCGTCAAGATTACAGGGGCTTGGCGCACCTGCCTAGGATTCGCGACTTGTCTATTTTCCATACACCTCCATCATGTGAAATATTCAGCGACAATTTTATAACAGCACTTAATAAGTTTTCATTGGCGGTATACCGTTGTAACACTGCGATCACTAGTTAGCCTCAAGCTGCGTCATGTGGGAGAAGTTGAAATGATAATCAATGCTTCAAACGAAGCAAGCAATCCCGAATTCTACAGCATTCTTAACTTTATGTTTGGAAAAGTGCGCGTAGAAAGACAAGCAGATTTGCTTATAAATGGAAATATTGATGGGGCTTTAATCCAATGCGCGTTATCTGCCCTCATATCACGGATCTTCAAATATCCCATGGTGTTGGATACCGAACAGTTCATCAGTTAATTTGGTACCTGCCAAATTCGAGCTCTCTTGTGGCTTGCACAGTTAAATAAAGCATTACTTCCGGTAGAAGACGTAGATGCCAATGTACCTCTCTGGTATTGGATCCTGCCATTAAACAGCTGGTAATCAGGTTTGAAGCATCAGCTAATACTGAACAGGCCAACAAATTGCTGGCGAATTCAATTGTCAAGCTTGCACTGCTGTACGTGGGCCTGTGTTTTGTCACTGTCACTGTCAATGTTGGTTTGGCAGATGCTATAACATAGTATGAGGGTTTATATGCCGACAAGTACCCACTTGCGCGGTATCTTTAGGGCTACTGAACCCAAGATTTTTACTCGTTAATTTAGTATTTTTAATTATCGTAACCAGGTAGGTTGCATTAGTAACTGCCGCCATGAGTGCATTGGTCCTCGGCACTTTACACGCTATCAATATGTGTGCTATAGGTGGGCTGCATTGCAAGCTAAATGCTGAAGGTGCGCTAAATCAATTTTTTTGCTCTGATCCGGATAAATGCAGGTGCATGGTCCAAAATCAAATGGATCATCACTGACAGCAATTCAATGAGGGGGGGGGGGTGCATAAATCAAACTTGTAAAATACACTTTTTTATTACTATTTTTTTTATTCTTTGCTATTGATTATTTCTTGCATTTTAATATTCATTTATTTAACAAATCGAATTCAGCGTGGTTCTAATTATGAATGGAGACAGAGAGTTAGAGATGGGTGACAATTCTCGGCCTCAGGAATGTGCTGCGGACGGCGGTGTTGGTTCAGAAGGGGAGGAGGAGCACAAGCACGACAGAAACGGCGAAAATTAATCAAGAGCGCAGACGCAGACGCAGACGCAGACGCAGACGAATGGCAAATTGACACAAGCGGCGGGGCAGACGAGACGCTACAAATGCAGCGGTTCGGAGGGTCACAAACACCCAGCACGTTTGACGGCGGCAGAGACACGCTGCTGGACTCGTACCGGCTCGAGACGCTGGCCACGGGGCGGCGCGCAGCACCAGAAGAGGGCGAGGACCTGAGCGACTCGGAGGATGAGAGCGAAACCGGCGACACAGTCTGCGAAGTGTCGGTGGCGGGCGACCAGCACGTGGCGCTGACGGTCGGGCGGACGATCCACGTGCTGTCGTCGGGCAGCGAGAAGCAGGCGGCGGCAGCGGCGTGGCGGTGATCAGGCACGAGAAGGAGGTTGTCTGCACGGCGCTCAGCGAAGAGGCGCTTTTTGTGGCGTTCGGCGACAGCGGCGGGACGCTGTTCATCGTGCACGTGGGCAGCCGGCGCGCAGTGTACTCGCAGGCGCTCGGCGCGCCGCTCAGCGCGCTGCGGTTTGCGGGCAGCGGCCAGGAGCTCGTGCTGGTGGCCGGCGCGAGGCTCGTGCGCTTTGCGGGCATCTGCATGCGCGCGCTCAGCGAGGCCATTGCGCAGGGCGACATGGCGCGGGCCGCGCAGGTCGGCGCGGCCATCAGCGTCGACAGCGTCGAGCTGGCGCGCGCAGACGGCAGCGCGCTGCACGCAGGCGACGTGGGCGACGTCGCCGTGGTTGCCGGCAGCGGCGTTGCTGTTGCGGGCAGCGGCGCCAGCGCCCTCAGCAGCTGGCACGCGGCCGCGCCGGGCGGGCTCCGGCTGAGCGACGCGGTCGGCGCCGCCTGCACCGGCGGCGAGGGCTACGCGCGCGTGCAGGCGTCGGCCGACGGGCGGCACGTGGCGGCGCTCAGCCACGGCGGCGCGCTGGACGTCTACGAGCGCACGACGCTGACGCGCGTGTTCCGGTACGGCGCCAGCGTCCTCGGCTTCACCACGGTGGCGGCGCCGGGCGCGCAGCTGCGCGTCGCCGTGCTTGAGCGCAGCGCCGGCGGCGGCGGCGGCGGCGGCACGCGGCTGAGCATCGTCGAGCTGCCGTCGCGGCGCGTGGTGCACGCCATGCGCGTTGCGCGCCGCTCGTGGCTGGCGCGCGGCGGCGGCGGCGGCGGCGTGGTGTTCGTCGAGGCGCGCGCGGGCGCGTTCCACGTGCGGCGGCTCAGCGAGGCGCTGCCGCTCGAGCGGCTGGCGCACCTCCTGCGCGGCGCGCGGTTCGCCGAGGCCGAGCGGTTCGCGCAGGCGCACGGCATTCCGGCGGCGGCGGTCGGGCGCCAGCGCGTGGCGGCGGCGGTGGCGGCGCGCGCCGGCGTGGACGGCGCCGAGATGCTGCGGCTGCTGGCCGGCGTCGGCGACGCGGGCTTTGTGCGCGACGCGTGCCTGCAGCTGCGCGCGCGCACGCTGGACGAGACGCGCGGGCTGCTGCGCCATGCGCGCGCGCGCGACGCGCTGCTGCGGCTGGGCACGTGGTGCGGCGTGGGGCCGGCCGGCTTCGACGCGGCCGCGTGGCAGAGCTTCCGCTCGGCCGATCTGGCGGCCGTGCTGCGCGCGTTTGTTGCGCGCGGCGACGTGGCGCGCGCGGCCGTGGTGTGGCGGCGGCACGCGAGCAGCGACGCGCGGCTGCGCGGCGACGTGGCCAGCGCGCTGCACGCGTTCCCCGCCGACGCGTGCGCCGGCGCGCTGGCGCAGTGGCTGCGGCGCGAGGTGCTGCCGCGCATCGGCGGCGCGGCGGCCGGCGTCGGCGCGTGGCTCGGGCAGCGTGCGCGCGCGCTCGAGGCCGCGGGGCGCCTGCGCGACGCCGTGCGCCTGGCGCTGCTGGCGCACGAGGCCGGCGGCGCGGCGGGGCTCCACGCGCAGCTGGCCGAGCTGGCGCACCTGCAGCGGCGGCACGCGCTGGCGCTGCGCCTCGACGCGTACGCGCAGCTGTCGTTCGCGGGCGTCGCGCGGCTGCTGCTGGACCGCGCGGCCGCCGCCGAGCTCCTGCCGGCCGCGTACGCCGCGCACTTTGCGCCGTACGCGCGGCGCCACGCGCTGGCCCGGCGGCGCTGGTGCGCGCGTACTGCGCCGACGCCATGGCCGCGCAGCGCCACTGGGAGCCGCGCGTGCTGGCGCTGCTCGCGTGCGTCACGGACGCCGAGCTCGCCGGGCCCTCGGCGCGGCCGCTCACTGCCGCGCGGCTCGGCGCGCTGCACGCGGTCGGCGGCGTGCTGGTCGACGCCATGCGGCGCTCGGACGTGCCGTGGTCGGCGGCGCTGGACGCGGCCATCGGCCGCACAATGCGCGTGCTCGCGGCGCACGCGCCGCTGGACAGCGGCGTCGAGCTGAGCCGCGCGGCCGCCGGCGAGCAGCTGCGGCTGATGCGGCTGCGGCGCATGCTGCTGCGCCACGGGCTGGCCGGCTTCCACGTGAGCAACACGCGCATGGCCGGCCCGCTGCTGCACGCGCTGGTGCGGGCGCCGGCGGCCGGCGCGATGCGCGACGTGCTGCAGCTCGTCGACGCGTACCACCACCTGGCGCGGCCGGCCGCGTACGTGCTGCGGCTGCAGGCGCTGTGCGAGCCGCAGGGCGCCGGGCTGCAGGGCGCCGGGCCGGCCGAGCGCGTCGCCGGCCTTGTGCGCTTCATCCACGGCGAGGAGCACGGCGCGCGCGCCGGCGCGCAGCCGATCAGCCGCTACGTGCCGCTGGAGGTCGTGCGCCGCGCGCTGTGCTGGCTGCGCGAGGTTCTCGACGCCGCGGTGGCTGCGTCCGACGCCGCGCGCTTTCGGCTGCACGCGGCCGTCGGCGTGGCCGCGCTGGCCGCGCTGGCCGCGCTGGCACGGCGGGCGGGCGGCCGCCTGCACGCGGCCGAGCGCGCGCGCCTGCTTGGCCTGGTCGCGCGCGAGTCCGCCGCCATGGCCGCCGTGTGGCAGCTGCTGGCCGACGCCGGCGTCATGGTCGCGCCCGCCGAGCTCGACCACGCGCACACGCGCGAGCAGACGCTGGCCTACGTCATCGACTCGCAATGGCTGCGGCGCCCGCCCGCCGACCCGAGCTCCGCGGCGCCGCCCGAGCTTGCTGCGCTGCCGCCGGCGCCGGCGGCCGTGCGTGCGCTGGCCACCATGCTGCGCTTTGGGCCGGCGGCGCTGGGCCGCCTCGTGGTTGTGCGCTGCCTGGCGCGGTGCATGTTTGGCGCTGCGCTGGACGCGTGCCAGCGCCTGGTCGCCCTGGAGGGCGCGGGGTTGCCGGCGAGGCGCGCCAAGCGCTGGCCGCCTGCGAGCGCGGCCTGTGGGCGTTTCTCGCCACGCAGCCGCCGCACCAGGGCGCGCTGCTGCGCCGCCTGGCTGCGCTGTGCCGGGCCGCCGCCGCAAGGAGCGTCGCCCACGCCGCGCTGCTGCCGCGCCTCCTCGATGCCTACGCGTGCTGGGACCTGGCGCTGAGCGTCTTTGCGCAGACCGCAGGCGGCGACTTTGCCGTGCTTACCAGGCGGCCGTCCTCCCACCAGCGCCAGCCGCGCGTGCCTGGCCCGAGCAGCACCGCCATGATGCGGGGCCAGTCGAGCGGCAGCGCGGCAGCGCGCAATTCGTCTGCCCGCGACGATGTGGATATGGCTGACGGCGGCAGCGCTGCTGCTGCCTGGTCCGCAAGACAGCGCTGTGCTGGTCCGCAGACAGCGCGGCTGCTGATAGCACCACCACCACCATTACCACGCTGTCGGCTTGGCTCAACCCACTGTTTGCAAACAGTTATGTGGAGCGTGGCCTGGTTCTTGACACTGCGTGTGCGATGCGTCTGGTCTACCGCCTGATTGCTGTTGTGCGCCGTCTGCCTGCCGACAACGATGATGGTGACGCCAACGATGCTTGTGATGATGATCAATTTGCAGGTTCTGGCGATGGCTTTGCTGCCCCGGCGTATTCGGAACAACAGAGCGGCAAGTCATCCAAAATGGCTGCTGCCAATGGCAACAGCAACAGCGACATCGACAATGACAATGGCAATGGCAATGACAATGACAATGACAATGATGGCACGACAACAGCGATGACGGCGAGAGCCTGCGCTCGGCTGTCATCCACAGGTGCGGCGAGCTGGTCGCCCACCTGGTCCACAACCGCCACTGGGTACTCGCTGTGCACGTGCTGGAGCTGGTCATTTCGCAGCTCTCACGCGCCTCCTTCACCGCCAAGGCCTCCTCCGACTCAAGCTCCTCTGGCGAAATGGATTCTGACGACGCCCTAGCCCAGCTGCGCGTGCGCCTGTCTGCCGGCGGCGTGGCCGACTCTGAGCTCCCACAGCTCTTTGGCACAGCCGACCTGGCCACGACGCACGCGCTCATTGCAAAGAGCCTGGTGCGCGCGCTGCAGCAGAGCCGCGGCCTGGACACAGTGTTTATTGTCGCCAGCATGCTGATGCTCAAGCCGCCACAGGCCAACCAGCATCTTTCTGTGGCCATTGGAAGCACGGGCCTGCACTCGTCGCGGGTCATTGCCATGGCCAACATTGGGCCATATGCAATCGTATCTGGTACGAGCCAGCCGTTCTCGACCGCTGCCTCGTTGTGGCTGCCGCTGCGCGGTGGAGCGAGCAACTGCGTCTGCTGAATATTTGCTTCGACCCTTCGCATCTCGCTGACCCTAAGCCCGGGCTGCTCGACCCCTTGGTGCGCCCTCTGCTGATGAACACAGCCATGGACATCAGTGCTGCGCTTGAATTTGCCGACGCCTTCCATCTCGACCGCATCTCCGTCATTCTCGAGTACATTGCCCTGTGTTGCTCTGCCCCGCACATCGATGGCTACCAGGCGCGCATCCTGGGCATCGTCGATGACTCAATTAATGCGAAGCTTCTTGAACGCACGTACATCGACTGCCTCGAGAATGCCATTTCTGCGTACGACTACGATAGATTGCACTTTGTCGTTCACCGAATCCAGGAGCTGAGGCCTCAGGATGCCAATATTGCAAAGTACTCTGACGTGCTTGATGTGCTGTGCTCGTACGATCGCCAGGAGAACCGTCGCATGATGACTTATGCTTGAGTGGTCCAGGACTCGCTCGGCGCCGATGCTTTTAGACAGGCCGGCTGCGATGCGCAGGACAAGAAGGCTGAGAAGAAGAGGGAGGAAGAGGAAGAGGAAGAGGAAGAGGAAGAGGAGAGGAAGAGGAAGAGGAAGAGGAAGAGGAAGAGGAAGAGGAAGAGGAAGAGGAAGAGGAGAAGAAGGAGAAGGACGGCTTTCTGGTTAGAGACTTGCCCAAGGATGCTGACCTTGTTGCTTACGAGAAGCTTGTGGCAGAGTACCCACTGGCGCTCAAGCGGCTGCCGTTCCATTCTCTTGTTGGCCCTGCGCCCTGGTCCATGCTGCTGCCAGAACTGACCACCGAGTCTGTCGACAGCCTCCTGCCTCTGGCCGCGCCGCTGAACTTGAACAAGGATGACTTTTACATCAACCTCATCCACACCATTCTCAAAAGCCACAAGTCACTATCATCCGCCGCAGGCAATGCCAGCGATAATACTGTTGATCCGCAGATGGCCTACGAGCTGGCAATCAGCAAGACGCCGACGCAATTCAACGCCGTCCAGCAGCTGATCTACAATCTCAAGGACCCCGAGTCTATGATCATGGCCACCAAGCATATTGCTGACCAAGTTCCATGCGGACCAGACCGCATTGCCGCACTCAAAATGGCTGGATCACTTATGAGCAAGTGGCGCCAGTATATTAAGCGCATGTCGGAGCCCGAGCGGTCTCGTGTGGCCACTAGGGCGAAGGCCATGGCTGGCCTGATCAGTGAGTGTTTGACGGACACTAATATTGAGATTGCCCTGCGGCAGCGCCGGCTGGAGCGGTACTTGGCTTTGTTTTTGAACGTCCAAGACTCCGAGTCTGTTATTCGCGCGTTGGCTGCAGTGTTTGAAGACGAGTGCGACAGGCGTTCGACCGGTGGAGCTGCATCTACATCCGTCAGTTCTGCTGCTGGTTCTAGTACCAGCGCCGCTACTGATAATTTATATGGCGCCTTGCCACAGCAGCAGGACGTGGATCCGACAACTCACCATATTCATGAGACCTTGCGTAATCTTGCCGCAATCTTTGAAATTACTTTGGATACTCTCATGAGGGAACTGCTGAACAAGTATCTGATGGCGCCGGTTACCCTCTCCGACACTCTGTTGACCTGCAACTTCCGTCTGCCCGCTACCGCGCCGACCTGCGACACCCTGACTCGCAGAGTCCGTGTTGCGCCGCCGCATTACTTGATTCTGAGCAACCAGCCGCCATCTGAGGCTGTGCGTGCCCTGCTGTTTTTGCCTACAATCCTAATATCCAAATCAGCTGCCTCGGACGCGCCCGCGCGCTCAACATTCTTTTCTCGGTGGCCACGGATGAAGAAATCGCGACCTTGCAAGTACCCCAGGACGTGCACTCTCTTTTTCAAGTCATGCTCTATCTGGATGACTTTAACCATGTGGGGATTCCCAAACGAGGGTGGAATTTGCTGCTTGTCAGAAGGATGCCCTTGCCAGGTCTATTTGGGTCGAGCATCACGAGGACCCCAAGGTTGTTCAGCTTATTTGCAATATGTGTTTAGACTTCCATGTGGATGATTGCGACTTGATCGTGCAGGTTATACGCAGGCTGTTGGTCGCTGGAATGTACCGGTATGTGGTTGGCGTGCTGGATGTGGTTGGTGGGATGGAGGAGGAGTATTCGGGCGATATCGAGGAGCTGCCAGAGTTTTGGAACCAGGCTGTGGCTGGATTCATGCTGCAAATTACGACCAAGCTTGGCAGTGGCAATGATGATGGTGATTCAAGTCAAGTCAGCGCAAACAGAGTTTGGATTGAAAGCGCGTTAGGTGTCCTGGATTCCTGCTTGCGGTCCATATATTTGCCTGATATCGACGCAACGCAAACCATCTCTGCATTGCTCAAGCCCCGCCGTACAAAGAAAAGGCTCAGCTCAGCTTCGTCACTGGCACCAGAATCACCATCAGCATCAGCATCGGCGGAGCAATTGGCTTGCGCAGTCTTTGACATACTCCTGTATAGCCACGCAGCTGAAGACGTGCTGCTCGATCATCTTGACTCGCTAGAGCCTCAAGATATACACCAACTGATCATCCGGTATCTAGACTTCATTGACTGTGCATCGACTCTCCCTAATTCTCCACTCTTTGTCGACTGGGCAGCCTCGCGCGCTTGACTTTGGTGTTTGACATGATCGACGATATGGCGTTGCACGAGCAAGTTCTGATGAACCACCACAAGCCGTTGGGAAAAGCTGTAAAGGCATTTGTGAGCAACCGCATTGCTCGGGATAAGTTGCAGATTACGGTTACGGCGTGTTTGGATAAGGGTAAAGATGTATTGGCGGTGATGTTGGTTGGTCGATACTATGAGACGAGACCAGTGCATGTTTTGCTTGAGGATATTAAGCGCTCTGGGTTTATTCCGGTTGAAGACGCTGCTGCTGCTGCCGCCCCGCTGCTGCTGTTGCCGATTCTGTTGTTGCATCTGCTATTGGTGCGGGAGATGTGGATGTTATTGGCAGTGATGTAGAGGGAGGTGAGTCGCTGGAAACTCACAAGCTGTCTGATGCCATGCGGAGCACGATTGAGGGGCTTTCGGGACAAAACAAGCTGGAAATTTATTTGCATTCGCGTGCGCAAGCGAGCAACAACGACAGCGAGTAAAGTAAATAATATGATTAAATTAAATTATAATGCACAATAGTAAGATATAAAATTATTGATTGCAAATGGCAATGTGGTCAGCCATGACGGATCCCAATAAAATGCGCTCAATATTATTTCGGCGCTGGACAACGGCCATGGTCGTAGATGGCAGCAAGGTCCGTCATGAGTGAGCATATTCTTCTCTGTAAATGTTATTTTAGAGCTGGAAGAATGGAGGAGGGACAAGCGACGGATACTGGATGCAGGTCGGGCATTCGTGCCGTGAAGTACCTCGCGGTTGTACCTGAACATTTCAAAAACATTGAGGAAACCTATTGATAATAAAAAACATATAGAAGAGGGGGGTGGAAATTGTATGTGCGTGGGAATCAGCGAGTTAGGTGAATATATTACTGCATAAATACATAATAACAGTAATAATAACTTGGGCAGGGCTGGTGTGTAAAAGAGTGTGATGATAATTCCGCAACATATGCTCGACACATGCAAAAAAGTATAAAAAAAACTCCACACTCGCACAATACCATACAACACACATCAACATTCCACACAACACGTTGCAATTTTTTAAGAATCTTACCTGCAACCAACAAGTGACCAGAACGCGCATCCACCGAGATATTGTCAGGCACAAACCCATCAAAAACCTTCTTAGCCACGAGTTCCAGTTCGCCATCATCCGAGGCCAAAAACGCCATAACACTAGGCTCCGACGACGCAGCAACGTAAATTAAACGACCATCCCTGCTTCTCGCAATTCCGTTTGGATACGCCAAGCCTGTTTTTGCCTTGCTAAACATACCGCTGGGGCCGTAATAAACCACATGACTCCAAGGCATACCTAACAAAATCTCAATTCTGCGCATAATGCCCGGCGCATACTTCAAGTCATTCGTGGCATAAAAGGTGCTCCGGGAAGTGGCTGCCACGTCATTGGGGTGGTAGAGCAAGGGGGATTTAACGGTTTTGATGTGTTCTATAAAGGTTGTGTTTAGTTGATGCTTGAAGATGGAGATACCGCTGCCGGAGCGCTGGTGGTTGACAAACATGAAGGTTAGCTCAGTTGGGTTGAGATCATCGTGGTATATGTCGAAGCCGTGGATACGGAAATCTTGGGTGAATGGAATTAACTCGCGGGTGTTCGAATTCCTATCCAGTATATCAAGGCTGTGCACATTGTTCTACATAAAAAAGGAAGCAATTGAAGGAGAAAAAATAATACAGAGAACGAAGAAAAGGAGGGAGGATTGAATATCATGAACAAAAAAGGCAATGGCCCAATAATTATGAATATCATTTTTATGTCTGATTTGCAGCGAACAATAGCGCCTTTTTTCTGAGGATATTTAAAATTAGCATTAAAAAATTATATTGACTTTCCAAATTACCTTTTCGTCCATGACGAGGACATGGTCGCTGAATTGCTCATACATGGTGTTGTATTCCTCGCCCATATGAATCCACCGGGTTCGCGCGCCGCGATTACCGCAGGCCATGTAGGCCAGTCCTGTCCTCGAATCGATCTGAATAGACTCGCAGCCCTGGACAGCAGGCAAGTCTACAGTTTAGACCAAGCTTAAAAAAAGTTTATTATTAGTTGGGTATCATTTTATTTGTGCATGTCTTTTTGGTATTTACAGGAATAGTTTTTAATTTACCTTTTCCAAAGCTGTAGCAATTGGTCGTGTGTAGATTGGTGTGCACAGTGCCGACTCCAAACACTTCAATACGGCGTGCGATAATGCTATAGACGTATGCAAGCCCTAATAGGGTCATTGCTACGTTGACAAATATTGTTTTTTGTTGTAATGGTGTCATTTGAAAAAAGTGTATGAACAATGAGCCTGTGTAAGAGCGCAGAATATATTGAAAAACTACAAATACAAATAAAGTACAAATACAAATAGAGAGAAAAAGAAAAGAAAAGAAAAAGAAAAGTACTGCCATCTTTTATTTAAACAAATTTCTGCAATAACAAAAAATTAATAATAAAATATGAGCACGCGCACAAAGTTCAAATTTTCAAGGTCCTAACGCAAAAACATGTATATATGTGTGTGTGTCTGTGTGTATGCGTGTGCGCGTGTGCATGTGCGTGTGTGTGTCTTGAATAAAACTGGACACAATCCTTGGTTAGAGAAGTAGGGATACTGTAGACAAGGTATTCATGGCTGCAAGAATAGTAATGAGATGTGAAAGTCTTTAATTTAAAAAACAAGCCAGGAGATCGGCATTGCCCATCCAGTGCAATACACTAGTGTAAATGTATTTTTTGGAATTTCCAGACATTTATAGCGAAAGTTCGGATTTTTAAGCAGAGCATTTTTAAAACCCATTTTTCACACAAAAAGGTATTGTCAGAGTCGGCTGAAGCTGTCTACAGCGACACTTGAGACTTTGCTCAAGCCAAAGCCCAAGCCTAAGCGTGTGCACACGAGCCCATCTGCCCCAGCTTCTTCTCTTCAAAAGAAGCAGCGAACTGATTAATATCGTCAACCATAGTGGTTTATTCTCATTAGTTTCTAAACACTTTATCTGGGGGAAGGATGTGTCGGTTTGCAGGATATTTGTAGCCTCATTCTTTTATTTAGTGTAGAGTATCCACACAAGGTTCTATGCATTTGTCAGGTGACATGATACCTTTTTATACTTCCCCATTTAAGCAAATAAGCGTGGTATAAAACATTACACCCCGCGTATAATAAATGGCTGCCACAAAAGGGTCACGATTGTCGTTTTATTTTCTCAATGCTATAAAAGTCGTCTGACTTTTTTTGAACCATTCACCATTTTTTGCTAACAGAACGCATACAAAAAAACAAGAAAATAAGGCCATCACTACCAAAAACCTCAATTTTTTCAAAAAAAATTCTCACAACTTTGAATTTTTGCCAACGAACAATGCACATGAAGCAAATATTCGCATAAACAGCCGAATTGCAGATTTAGACGCATCAATTTTTTTACTCGGCTAAGCCATTATACACACTATGGTCATTTTCACTGCTTCTCGTTTTGTCTCGTTTCTCTCTTTTTTTGTTATTTTGTAAGCACTATTTGCTACATGCGTATATACAATTTTTTTGAGATATTGGAAAGTTTGCAAGTTCCGAACAATGTTTGTCCGCCGGCATTCAAACTATTATTTCATTCAATAAGTGCAATATATATTTGTGCTTGTGGAAGGAAAATTAATTTAAAAAAGTCCGCTGGTGCTTAAGAAAATTCCAATTAATTAAAAAACACTCCATGAATATATGTCAGCTTGAACAAAGCAACATCATGATACGCCAAAATGTAGCAGCAATATTGGAATTGCGCCACTCGTAATCAATAATAAAAATAATCAGTTGATTTTCAACTTTCAACTTTCAACTTTCCAATCAACGTTTTTTTGCCCTTTCCAACACATCCAATATATTGAATCGCCTTGAGCAAGGCTGAAACCCAGGTTTGAGACTTTTCCAACTCGTCTTCGTATACTATTACTCTGAACGCGTTCTAAATTCTTGTTAAATCGATTTTTTTTTAAAAAAAAAGGATAAAGTAAAACAGCAATTTTATTTTAGCTACCAAGTTGAAGTAAACAAAATATGAATCCGGCGGGAATTACGATAACACTACAGATTGGTAAGTAGCATTTGCTTCGCTTTCAATCTCAAACCGAAAACTTCGAAAAGTTGAAATATGAATCTGCTGTTGAATTTTCGATGAATCTCAACTGATTGCTAAATTAAAACCCTTTTTGCACGTCCAAATTGCACTTTATTATTAACTAGGTGGAGCCAAGAGCAAGCGCAGGCACAGGCACAGGCGCAGCCGGCTGGAACTTCGACCGCTCAGGACTGGTCTCAATATTATCAAAATCTTGAAGCATTTCATAACCAAACAAACCCCCAGCAGCAGCAGCAGCAGCAGAACGTGCAGCCAGCCACGGCAACACTCAGACTTCTACAATTATCCTATGGGTCTGCTGAGTACTCGCAATGGTACCATGAAAATCATGCTCATCAACAATCTCAGCCTCAGCTTCAGCCTCAGAGCCACAACCAATTTATGCCATATGAACAGCAGCCATATATAGGAGATCGTGACTATGCAAGCAGACGCGTTGCCCCTCCACGTTTGCAGATTCTGCCGGGACTATCGGCCAAACCTGTCGATAATGTCTACGCCGCAAACAACTTAAGCCAACCGTCTCACGCCAGTATTACACCCATATCCTCATTAGTAAATGGCATTCCTGCTTATGCCGCGCAGGTAAATGGCACCAACGTGGCATTGCTCTCTGCACGCATATCTTCAGCCGACGATGGCGTGTTTATGGATGCCCAGAGACCGCTGTCTGGTGCGGGAACTGTCACGAGGGGAATTTCCGACATGAACCCATTTGGTAATACTAATGAGTATTATGCACCCCTCAGGCCGCTGTTCCTTGGAGGTCTGCGCGTGCAGACCAGGCTCCCTTGTATTCGGCTGTTCACCCTTATAAGAAGCCCAAAACTGCTGTCCCCGTTAAGGGCCCCGCACCGGCCGCTCTTAGCAAGCAGATCACGGCTGGACTCAATGAGGCGAAACTAAAGGCAAAGGCAAAATTGAAGGCACCAAGGCTCCTGAATGGCCCGTTTCTCTGCAGAATTTTGTTGAGCGATCGTTCGAGCATGCTCACTTGCCATGCGCAAACCACTCGAGAAGCAGCTCCAGCAGATCATTGCTTCGGCGACCAACAACAATAAGATGGACACCATTGACTGGGACACGCGGCCACTGCCCAAGGCCTGTGACAAGGTCAAAACCTCATCCACGGCTGCTGTTAAACGCCCAGTGAAGAATGCCGTGGCTTTTGTTGGTGCTAGCAACAACTTTGCCGACTTTGACTCTGCCGAGCGCAAGGAGCGCCGCTTGCTCCGCTTCCAGCAGGAGGCAGAAGCTGCAAAGAAGGCAGCAGACGAGAACACTGCCCTCTTGATCCCACCAACGCCCAATACCAACGACGTGCGCGAGTGGGATGTTGACACGATCGTGGGCACTTGCGCCAAGCTGGAGAAGAGCTATCTGCGGCTGACGTCGGCACCAGATCCCTCCCAGGTGCGCCCACTGTCCGTGCTGCACAAGACCCTCGATCTCATCAAGCGCAAGTGGCTTGAGGACAGCAATTACACTATATCTGCGACCAACTCAAATCTATGCGGCAGGATTTGACCGTGCAGCGCATCACGAACGAATTTACCGTCGAGGTGTACGAGCTACACGCGCGCATTGCGTTGGAGACCAATGACCTCGGTGAGTATAACCAGTGCCAGACCCAACTCAAGGGACTGTACGCGATGGGTCTGAAAGGCCATGCTATGGAGTTCCTTGCTTATAGAATACTGTATCTTTGTACACGCGCAACAAGGCCGACATCATTGCGGCCTTGAAGGCAATGGCGCCTGAGGAGAAGCGCGATCCGGCGGTGCGCCATGCACTCAATGTGCGCGCTGCCATGGCGACAGGAAACTACCACACGTATTTCCAGCTGTACCTCAGTGCGCCAAACATGGGCGGCTACTTGATGGACAACTTTGCTGACCGCGAGCGCTGCATTGCATTGCAAAAGATGTGCAAAGCATTCCGGTTTAAACTCAGCCTGTCTGCCATCACTAGCGAGTTTGCTTTTGATGATGAAGAGGCGTGCGTCAAGTTTTTGACGGGTTTGAACATCACAGCCACCCATGAGGGCGAGCACCTGGCGACGATAGACATGAAGGCGGCATACCCCTTTGCAATTGCGGCCATGCAAAAGTATAACAAGGTGGATATCAAGGGCCAGATATACTGACACGGGATCAAGAGCCAGGGCACTAGAATACTGTGGGGAGTGTACACATTGGCAATATTGATATTGGCAAACAGCACGGCATTGTTTACATATTGTTTACAATTGCATCCTCCCCATATCTACGGCCATGGCTCTGGTTGGTGATACATTGTGGGTACAAAAAAGCCATTTTTTGTGCCCTTATAATCGCAATTCCCAACCGTTCATTTTACATATCGGCTCTTTCAACGCATTTTCTCTATATTTTTATTTCATGTCAGTCCTTTCAAACTAATACTGGCGCGCACTTCCAATTCCTATTTGCTGGCTCGAATAAAAAAACCAATTTTAGACAATAATTACATACAGTACAAATCAACGTTTGATGGCCGAGGAAGCGGAGCTGCTGGTTAGTAAACTGACCGCCGCGCTGGACGACCCACGTGTGTATGTATCTTCAATTTTAAGTTGGAGACCATTTACAATTTTAATGTTGCTTTATGAAACCCCGCAGATAGTTAATTTTAAAGCCGCGGTGTATTTTCAACTACAAGTATTCTGTAGAACGCAAATCGAGTTTGTTCCGGAATTGCCGCCGTTGCCACCACAACAACCCAGCAATGATAACAGCAACGACAGCGTCAATTGTGATTATGATTCGGCTGGAATCATCACTGCCTACCATCCGTTTCTCATTGGCGATGGGTCCCTTGGCATCCCCTTCCAGGCTATGCCTGCTGCGCTGAAGTTTGCAACGAGGCGCCTGCAGAATCTCACTGCCGGAAAGAATAACTTTTACGGCGCAGCTATTTTACCCAGCGATGCGACGCAAGTGTGCGATCTGACGCTGTGCATATTGGTGTTCAATGCTGACCATCATTCGGCGTGGAACTGGAGGTAAATTATTTTATTTGATGCGCTTGCCTTGTGTTTTCTCGTTGGTGTTTATGTTAACCGCATGTGAAGATAACTAGTTCTAATGTATTTTCTTGGCTGCGAATAAAATATAGGAAGCGAATGATCGAAGACGGCTGTATTTCCCTTGACAGCGAGCTGCGTATACTCAGCGTGTTTTCGACGTACAAGCGCCATTGCCGAGCCAGCTTGCTTTGGCACCACAGGTAGGAGCGCATATTATTTGTATATGTTATCATATATATGGTAAAATAATATTTTATTCAACTCTGAAAATACCTGTGTCCAAACTGTTTGCATGTCACTTGATAGGTGCTGGATTGTCGAAAAAATAATATCAAATCTCTGCTGTGAGGTTGACAGCAAGCTACTGTTGGTGAACCATGAGCAACTCAGGAATTTGTGGGAGATGGAGTCGAAGAATTGTCGGCAGAGCTGTGAGAGATACCCACGCAATTACCATTGCTGGGTATATCGGTGGTGGTGCTTTAGCCGGTATTCCAGCAATTTAATGTAGAGAATCGCGCGTGCTGCCAAGGACAAGTACAGAGCGCACTTTTTAAGGCCGAACTCGCGCAAGTTGCGCAATGGATTGAGCATCATCCGGCAGATTATGCCGCGTGTCACTACTTCCACTTGCTGGCAGATACAGTTTTGAGAGGGCAAGCGGCACTGTGTCTGCCAACCAGTCCACGACGCAGGATATCAACCGTGCTGTCTTGAAACAGCTTAATCACACTGAATCGAGCATACGGTCTCTCTATGCTAGTTACGAGTCAGTATGGTATCACCGGCGCTGGTGCATAATAACGGTGGCAAATGACGACAGGGCAGCGATCGCAGCAACGGTTGATGAAGAGCTCGAGTTTGCTGAATCAGTGCTCAAGCGCCACGAGAACGATCAGACCATATCGACCTGGTGACAAAGCACAAGGCGTGGCTTGCGTCGAGCTCTGCTGAGAAAGTTGGCTGGCAACAAATATTTTTCTCAAAAAAAACTCAATGCTTAACTGCTGACTTTATATATTATGAAATACAGCTCTACGTCTAGACATTTTGCTCCAAGCGCTCGACGTCGGTAGCCAATTTATGTTGGTAATCGCTGAAATTGAGTCTCGCATGCTCGTAAGCCTCGCGATATCTGCGTAGCGCCTTTTTTCCATCGCCCTGAATCTCTGCAATTCGTCCCAGCTCGGACAAGATGCCCGCGATACAGTCGACGCACTTTGGAAGGTTGAATGTGCGCTTCTCTGTGGCGAGTGTGCGCGCCGACTCGATCCAAGGTATCGCCGCATCGATATTTCCAGCACTAGTCTGTATCTTGGCCAAATGAAGCATCGCATGTGCATCGAGGCATGCCCACTCGTCCTTGAACGTTCGGTAGTCTTGAACAATATGCGGGGCAATATCAAGGTGCGCCCTGTGTTGCTTGATCGATGCCAACACGCCCTGGAACAAAGTCTCTGACACTGCGTGGTCTCCTTTGGCAAAGAATGACTCGGCAAGTCGCGATGTCAACAGTGCTTCCTTGAGATTGAGGTTGTCGTATTCAGTGTATTCGGCCAAATTTTCGCCGTCAAATTTGGCCACCATGCCCTGCTTCATTCGCTTCACGGCCTGCAGCCCAATGCTATAAGCTGCTGCCGCGTCGTCTGAATGCCCGGCATTAGCGCATGCTTGTCCCAAGACCGTTGCCAGTCTGTACTTCAGGTTGTCGACCGCTGATTCGGACTTGCGGCTATCGCCCTTTCGGTCAAAGTCGGGCAATATTGCCTGGCAAGGGAAGCAGCGCTGGACTCGTCGCCCATGTTAACAGACACTCGGCTATCCTGACCCTAATTTCAAGCACAGCAAGCGAGTCTCGAGGCAACTTGGCATCTTTATCGATAAGCTCCAAAGCCTTCTCCAGAGCACCCAGTGCCCGCTTGTAGTTAGGTGACAACCGCTCGTAATATGTTGCCAGATAGAGCAAATTCCGTGTGTACTGCTGTCAATGTCTTCAGAAGCAGCCCAATTAGTCCTCAGATAAAAGTATGTGCCAGCATAGTAAGCAGCCACACCCATCAGACCCACTCCAGCCGCTGTAGCACCGCCAATAAATGCAAGTCGGCTTATGCTCTTTGAATTCAGCTCTGCCCTCCCGCTGCTGCCCCAGTCGGCTCGCCCGTACCGTCAGGTGTCGGCTGAGCCCTTCTTCGGCTGCAGACTTTGGCTGCATTCGGGTGAATTTGGGCGTTCCCTTCAACATGCTCTCCTCGCTGTACTGACGAGCACCTGCTGTGCCCTTTGCCGTGATATCAATCTGTAAATGCTGTGTGCGCCGCAGTGCTGACAAGAACCTCGTGTACATTGTCGATTTTTTCAACTTTTGAATGCGCAAGGCAAGATAAAGAGGCAAAAATAAAAATAATAAAAAATTGATATTTCCAACACAAAAAACGTGCAAGATCAAGGACGAAACTTCGAAATATTTAGATGGCGCTGTCACACACAACCAAGAAATTGCACACGGCACAGCCGATCAACAGGCGCTGGATCTGGTTGCGGCGCTGGAGTGCGGCGATTGTGGCAGTCGGCATCAACACCCCGCTGTCAATTAGCAGTGTTTCGGTGTCAAATCCCTGGCGCGGATCGTCTCGTGGCGTCAAACGCAGGATCTTGGTGCCTGCTGTCGCGGTAGTATTCAGCGAAGGGCTTTTAAAATACCTGTGTGTCTGCGACACTTTGAGAAAGCCTGTGCAGTACAGCTGGCCTGTCGAGTGGTCGACATGGATGTTGTCTGGGATGCTGTTCCAAAATAATGTGCGACCTTGGTACTCGAGATTGCCGTTGACATTGCTCCTGTAGATCTGGATGCCCGGATCGGTGCACGAGGCCACATAGATCAGGTTTTTGTCCTTGGCGATGCCATTTGGGTATTTAATACTGTCCGCCCAATGTTGAATTTTCCCGAATCGTTTCGGTACACCACATGGCCGTTGGCCAAGCGCAGGTTGTTTGAAACTGCTCGCAGAATTCCGCCCGTGTACTTCATGTCGTTGGTGGCATAAAACGCACGCTTGGACATTGCCACAATATTATTGGGCGACTTTAGCAAGCTTGAGCTGACGGTTTCAACGTGGACCATGTAATTGGAGCCACGCCTGTACGAAAATATCGAAACGGCTGCGTGGTCCAGCTGGTGGTTGACAAGCATGAATGTCATGTCATTTGAATCGGCCGGATCCCAGTATATGTCAAAACCATGTACACGCAGGTCTTGGCTAAATGGCTTCAGTGACCTGTTGACTGCTCTTTCATAGGTCTTGATCTCGGTGTAGTTATCGGCTTCGTCAATAACAAATATGCGATCTTTCTCAACTTCGTTTGCAAAGTCGTATTCGTCGCCCGGGTGCATCCAATGCTGGCGCGGCTTCAAACTGCCACAAGCGAGGTAGGCGAGCCCCGTCTCTGGATCGACAATAATATCCTCACAGCCATGCAACTTTCCTAACGAAAAGAAAAAAGAAACGGCGCTCCTGGCAAGAGACGGTGTGCCTTGACCAAGTTGTGTTTAGTTTGTTGTAATTAAGCACCCATACAAGCAAAGTAGGTGTGTAGTTTTGCTGATTGACTCACCGTGTCCTATCTGTTTGCAGGATGTCGTGTTGGCACTGGTATATGTCCTCCCAATGCCGTCATCCGCACTGATTGGGCGAGATAAGTGAGCACATAAGACCCAAGAATGGCAGAACATATGGTCAATACAAATACCACCAATCCATTGAGCCTCGCACTTGCATGTCTTGTGTGCTGAATAAAAATGAACAAACAGTCAGTTAAGATTTATAGTAAATTTATTGGCGATATTCAAATATTAATGGAAATAAAAAAGTGCCAGACAAGACGAACGTTTAGTCAGACATCTGGATACAGTAAAAGGTGGGGGAAACATTTAAATAGAATGATGCCCACAGCGCCATCACCCCAACGGCGTACTTCCATTATACACGCCCCGATATTAAACGGGCTGTGTGCACGGGAACATGGGTATCCTAGAAAATTGAAAATTGACAGTCATGCAAATACCATATTGATGGCACAAAATAGCGCCAGACGATGCGCCGCCAAGCAAGAGGGAGGGGACAGCAACAACACAATACATCCAAATTGCTACGAGGGCTACATTAGCTGTTTTGGTTTTGTAGCTCTTGCATGTGGTTGAAGTCACACTTGGGTGGGCTAAACTAGAGCTCAGGTGGCCTCTCAGAATTTTACCATATCTATGTTGTCCTCATAAGGGGGTTAATAATGCAACTTGAAAAAGGGAGGGGGAGCAGCAGCATTGCGGCTGTCAAAAAAATTGGTATTAAATCTGTATCATCTGCGTGTATTTCTATAAAAAATGGCCACCCTGAATATTCCGTTCTTTACAACTATATCCGACAGGTTCCGCGTCGTACTGGCATCTGGGTCTCCGCGCCGTAGGGAACTGCTCGACCGGCTGAACCTGCGCTACGAGGTCATTCCGTCCGACTTTGCCGAGGACCTTGACAAGGCTCAATTTGCTTCTGCTGGCGACTACGTGTTGGAGAATGCCATCACTAAGGCACAGGATGTGTACCAGCGGTTAAGGGCCAGTCGGACAAGCCCCTTCTGATCATTGGGGCGGACACTGTCGTAGTCAACTCTGCGGGCACAATTCTGGAGAAGCCCGCGTCTGAGCAGGATGCCATTTGCACGCTGAAGGGCCTGAGCGGGAAATCCAACACTGTCTTTACCGGCGTGTGCTTGATTGTTGGCTCATTGGATGGAACAAAGGACCCGGTTGTAGAACGGGCGGTCGAAGCTACCCAGGTAGTGTTTGGCGACCTGGATGACTCGATTATCGAGGCGTACGTAGCCACTGGAGAGCCTATGGACAAGGCCGGGTCGTATGCGTACCAGTCCCTTGCTTGCTTCTTCGTCAAGGAGATCAAGGGTGACTACTACAATGTCGTTGGCTTCCCGTGCGCGCGCTTTTACCAGATGCTGCTGGACCTGCACCATCAGGGTCACTTTTAGAGACCTTTTGTAATAGAAATTAAATCAAAAAATAATAATACGAAATACGAAATACGGAATTATTATTAGGGAGCTCTAGACTATTTTCTTGATTGTCATTTGCTGTTTAATTTGAGGATAAAAATGGCATTTTTGTGTGTATTTAACCAAGAACCTAGTTCCGTCTTTGTCTGGGGGCGCAGCGGATGATGTCGTCGACGCGGAGAATCATCTCGGCAGCCTCCGAGGCACTGAGGAGCACCTGGCGCTTCAGCTTGAAGCTCTCGGTGACCTTGCCAACCACATCGATGACGTCGCCGTTGAAGAGATCCAGACCGGTGGTGGACCTGCCCTCGTAGTGAGCTGCGCGCAGCTTAGCAACCAGATCGGCACTGTCAAGACCTGCGTTATCGGCCAGGATCGTGGGCATCTGGCGCAGGGCGCGCGCAAAGGCCTCCATTGCGATCGACTTTTTGCCAGGACCAGCTTTGCAGCCTCGTCTACAGCCTTGCTCATGAGCATCTCAGAGCATCCTCCACCGTACACGATGCGCGGCTCGGCAATAGTCTGGCTGAGGACGGCAATGGCGTCGTGGATGGACCGCTCAGCCTCGTCGAGCATCTGGTTGGTTCCGCCGCGCAGAACAACAGTGCAGGCCTTTCCGGCTGCGGTGCCGCCAAACTTGACCATGCGGTCCTCGCCGATGATGATCTCCTCGACGGTGTCGCAGCTTCCCAGGGCGATGAGCTCGGGATTATCAAAGGAAGAGGCAATCTCGCCGCCGGTAACCAGGCCAGTCGCTCAATGCCGTCAAAGTCGGCGTGCTCGATGGCCATGATACCGGCATCGGCGAACAGCTGCTCGGGCCAGTTGTAGATGAGCTGGCGGTTGACAAACACGTTGATGCCCAGGGCAGCGATCTTCTGCACCTTGGCGCGCATCTTCTCGCGCTCAGCGCGCTCCAGGTCGGCGAGCTGTGCGGTGTCGGACACCTTGATCTTGGCGCCGAACACCTTGACCTTGTCGGTATCCATGGGCGTATTGGCAACTAGGATCTTCGCGCCCTTGACCAACCGCGGCTGGTTGACACCGATCTTCTTGTTCAGGATAAAGCCATCAGACAGGTACGAGTCGGAGACCTTTCCACCGGCCTTCTTGATAATCTGAATGCGATCCAGATTGGTGCTTCCCTTGAGGCGCAGCACGGCATCGACACAGACCTCGGCGAACTTGTGCTTGTCGGCGGCAAGGACCTTGGAGCTCAGCGTCGTGCGCGCAATGCTCAGCAGATCCTCGCGCCACTGCGCCTCATCATCCTTGTGCGACACCGCGGCGTTCTCCAGCGCCTCGCGCGCTTTGGCAGTCGCCAGTCTGAATCCGTCAATAATGGTCTGCGGGTGGATGCGCTGGTCGAGCAGCTGCTCAGCCTGCCTCAGAATCTCAGCAGCCAGAACGCACACGGAGGTCGTGCCATCGCCGACCTCATCGTCCTGCACCTTTGAAATGTTCACCAGCACCTTGGCGGCCGCATTGTCCAGCGGGATGGATTTGAGAATGGTTGCGCCGTCGTTTGTGACCACCAGGCCGTCGTCACCACGCGACGAGGAGGACTGCAAAATCTTATCCATGCCCTTGGGACCCAGTGTGCTCTTTACCAGATCTCCGACGGCGATTGCGCCAATGATGTTGCTCAAACGGGCATTCTCGGCCCGCTCTTGCGTGGCATTCTCGTTGAAAAGCTGTGTGGACATTCTTGTTGTTTAGCCAGCAGCAGTTGTTCAATTGAAAATCTAACAGCAAATTGGCTTTTTTTATATAATTAAAATATATATATATGTGGGATGACACGAAAGAAAATAAAGCGCGCGTGAATTCAGCAAACACTGAGAAAACAAGCTGAAGACTCAGGACGCACATCCCCGCAAGGAGCGGGCCATCAAGTGCAAATGGGCGGCCTCGTTTGCTTTCAGGCTTGTTTGGTTCCCTGTCTTCTGAAGCGTTCCATTTGGTAAAAAAAAATGACCGAGCCAAATAATCACTGGTGATTTAATCAGGGAAAACGACAACAAACAAACATCACCCGCCACATGCATCGACATCGATGCAAATGTTATTTTTTGAGGGAATTTTTTTAAACAGATAAAACATGAAAAAGATGTGTACAAAAAAACAAAAGGGAAAGACATGAAAAGGCGGCTAAGGTCGATAAAAAGACATGTGTGTGCGTGTGCAGCATGCAAAAGAGAAAGGATAAAGAATAGAGACGTCGCATACCGCACTGCTCAGCCCAGCAACTAAAGAAACAGAGTGATACATAGCCGGGCGATAAATATGCGCAATGGCCTTTTTAGAAGGAAAAAAACGAGAGGCAACTTCGCTCTGGATTTGGAGCCGGCCAAGGGCTCACTGAACGATTGTCAAAATGGGCTTGTAGTTGGTGATCAGCAGCGCTGTGGCCCAGTCCTGGTCGTCGCTCAGTGGCTCCGACTCGCCGGTGGGGCCAAAGTAGGCAATCTGGGAAATGGTCGACGGCAAGCGCGATGGCTCCTCAGTGTTGAGCCTAAGCGCGATGCGGGTCTTTAACTCATTGAGCGTCAGCTCTGAAGGCAGGCGCAGTGCGACCATATCGTCACCCAGCCTGATCTTAACCTTGACCATGGAGCCTTTTCCCACGGCGCCAATGCTAGGCCGGTGCGACAGCCGTTGCATAGCGGTCTTTGAGTCGACGCTGGTGGAGAGGTGGTCTGAGGGCATCGGCGGCACTTCGGTCATCGTGCGGCGGCTGCCAATGCCAGGCTTGCCGATGCTCATGGCGCCAAACGCCCTGTAGTCCAGATCATGTCCGTCGACAGCAGTTTCTGTCGACGATGCCGATGCCGGGGTGAGCCCGGATTCCATGGAACTGTCGGTCGACAGGGAGGGCGTGTGCCGCGACGAGCGATACTCCGACTGCATTGTGCGATGCTTGGTGTTGTCTGGCGAGTGCTGGCGCTCGGGCACAGCGTCGACGCGCGACCCAAACAGACGCTGCACAGTGGGACCCTCAACGACAAACGCGGGTGTCGCCACCAGGCCCTGGACATATGTGTGCAGCTCATTGCGCCGACGCTCAATGATCGAGTCGTTGAGGTAGAGCATTGACGAGCTGTGAATCGATGAGCGCGCCAGCTTGAGCGAGGACGTCTCGGTAGGGAAATAATGTGCAGCTCGCTGCGGCAGGCGACAAAGTCCTCGTACGTGCGGTACAGGTTGCGCTCATCACCGGTGTAAAATGTCAGCGAGACCTGGAACAGGTACGCGCCGTCTTTGCAGATGAACGATGGCACGCCGACCTCGGCAATCTCGTCCTTGTGGAAGCGCGGGAAATTCTCGCTGGCGCTGTGTTGCTGCGAGTTGCCGGATGGCTGGCGCCCTGGTGCAGCTGCCGGAAGGAGCTGCGCTCGGCGATGGAGCTTGTCGTTGTCGACGACGACGACGTCAGCGCCCTGTTACGCGACATTTGAAGCGCATTCACGGCCGCCGGAGGAAGCTGCCGGCACTCGACCGCGGTGTTGGCGACTGGTCGTCGTAGCTGCTATTGGATCCAGAGCTCATGCGCGTGCGGCCGCCGGTGTTCTGGCCCAAGCTGTGGCCTGTGGCAGCTGCCAGCTCACTGCTCGCAGACACTGAGCTGTGGGCTGAGTTGGTCGTCCACGCCTCACGCTGTTGCTTCTCCCAGTCGACCGCGGAGCGCAGGCGCATGTTGTATCTGTTTAAGTATGCACGCAGATCGCTGACAACTGCACCTGTGACGTGATCGTGCAGCTGGATGTACGCCGAAGGCACTAATCCAGCGACATTGCCGCGCTGCACCGACCTTGCAATGAGCCAGTCGCCAGTGCTCTGTGCAACGATGGTCAGGTGCTCGCCCTCGCGGATGGTGAGCTCGTTGCCGTTGGCCGCCTCAAAATCGTACAGCACGGTAGCCTGCGGCTCAATCAGCGACGGCATCGGCGCCGAGCTGTAGCTACTGGAGGACTGGCTGTACTTGCGCTGCTGCTGCTGCTGCTGCTGCTGGTGATGATGAATGCTGGTGGTGCGCGTGCGCAGTGGCATCGCCGAGATGGGCTCCACCGATAGCGGCGAATTTGCGCCGCTGGGCCGGCGATACTGGCCCGAGTTGCTCCGGGATACCGACTGCTGATGTGTGCTGGAGAGCGTGTTGCTGACGGGCAGGCTGTGTGGGATGCCCAGCGATGAGCGCGCGCCGTCTGTCGAAGATGCGTTGGAGCCCGAGCGGTTGATCCGGTTAAGGCGGTCCTGGCGCGTCTCCATGACCTCGAAGCAGAAAGCCGGCACGAGGCCGCGTTCGCCGCTGAGCGGATTGGTCACTTCGTACCACCGGTCTTCCTCGTGTGGGGTGGACAGGACGTAGAAAAAGTCATCCTTTTTGAATGTGAGCTCGGCTGTTTCTCTGGCAATGTAGTCCTGGCGAGCCCGGATAACCCGCTTCGGGGTTTCTTGCTTGGACGATGTGGATGTGCGGCTGGAGAGTCCCAAGGAGAACATGGCTGTTGTAAAGAGCAGAGTGTGAATAATACTATCAGATAACGTGAGTGAAAGTGAGAGAGTGAGAGAGGTAGGATGTGGGATGTGCAGAGACGGTAGCGACGAAAGAAAGAGGAGCGCGTAAAAAGAAATGAAAGTTTAATATGGATGCAGCTGCAGAGAAGGCAGAAAAAGAGAGAAAAGTTGACTTGGTGAAGAGAAAGAGGAGTACCAATGCGGGTCTCCTTTTAACAATGTATGCGAAGTTAAACTTGCTACTCGCAGGCAAACTGAACAAGTGAACAAGTGGGCAAGTATCTGTGAATGTATGTCGCGGTTGCTTCCGACAATGGTTGGGATGTGCGGGAAAAGAAAGAATATAAAGAGAAAAGAAAGAGAAAAATTGGCTTGGCGGAGAAATATGCAAGCTGGGCGAGCGCTTTGTTGCAAAGAAAATGTGCAAAGAGGGCCTGTTCGTCTTTCAATCTGCCCCAATCGAATGATGCAGCCGGTATAATAGAAGCGATGCGTCTGTCACAGAAAGAAAGGACAATGATGTCTTTGTAAAGAAAAAACTATGCGGGGTGCGTATTTATGCAGCCGGCTTTTTTATTTTGCAGAGTTTTGCCAGCTGTTTATTTTATTTTTAAGGTGTGCTGCTGTGCAGTCTGCTGTGCGGTCAGCTGTGCGGTCTGCGTCAGTTTGTTTGCTGTGGTAATCTTCGTCGGTTGGTGGTGTGGCGTGCGTGGTCACGAATCCAAAAAATCTATCAATGGGCAATTGTATGGGGGAAATAAAGGAAAAGACAATGAGCTTAAAATGAATCAAGTAGTGTAATAAGCAATAGTTGCTGTTAAGAGTATTGAAAATAATATGATGGCAATATAAAGGAAAAGGGGAGAGGCGTGGGCTACAATACATTATGTAAAGTGAGTGTTGCTGTATATGCCAAGGCAAATTTCTAATTGGGCCACTGGCGCGCAGTTCACATTTTTTTTGCAAGGCATTGGCACGCCGTACAATCAAATTAAAAATTAACTATTGCACGATGTAGCACTAGAACCAGCACCGGCACTAGAACTAGCACCGGCACTAGAACCAGCACCGGCACCGCACCGGCACGCGCTCTGTCGCCAGTTCGGACATTCGGGCTTCGGACATAAGGCAACCTGCCTATGCGGATGAATTATGTCAGGTCGGCTGGTATAAAAGTATTGGTCGGCGAAGAGCCATATGCAACAAGCACATAATTGACGGACTTGCAAATAACATCATGCATTGAAGCGGAGTGCTGGTGAAAGAGTAGCACACCGTGCATGCACGGCATAATCAGAAACAGCATAGAAAAACAGGAACATTTCTTGCTCCCGTATCCGAATAGTGTCTGAGAACTAAAAGTATGAAACCATTCACAAACGGGTAAATGAAACTAGATGAATGCATAGCGTATAATAGTCCACGTATTTGTCAAAAAGAGAGAGAGAAAGCACCAAAGGCATGGAACAGGGTTTTGAGTTGAGGGACAGAGATACGCCAGCACCTGAGCCCTAACGAAAATAGAATGCTCGAGAACAGGAGCTGGCACATCAACGGGCGGATCCACCATGCAAGGGAGGACGGAGAAAGCAAAAAAAGGCAACAGCAGCATTGAACAGGGCGAGGTTTGTGGGGAAAGCTGGCAGAGCACGTACATTTGCGACAGGTGATGTTGCTGATCCTCTTTATGGAAAAATAATGTGAGAATATTTAAGCAAAAATGAATGGCAGAGTAAAGGCAAAGGCAAAAGAGGAGCATCTGGTATATGAGATGGGATTGCTTCTGATATTCACTGCGACCTTCTCTCTTCCTCTCGCAAGGCCGGCTTTTGCAGCGGTGGCAACGATGATCTCAGCCTGTGCAAATTGCAAAAAAACGTGCGTAGACAGAAAAGCAGACATTCGCCTCTGCCGCTTCTGCAATGGGGAGTGTGCTGTGGGTCACGCAGTAAGAACCAGCGAGTGACGCTGCCTTTCTGTGTTACTGTCATACCATCTAATGATCGCAGCAACAGAGAAAGACACGTCGCTTCCCCAGACCACCAAGCATCAGAAAATGCATACTGCGCATACAACCTCTGCCGATATACATGTGTGTGTGGAAATGTTGATCGGCAATGTACTTTGCGCACTAGCGTTGGCAAGCACAGTCAGATGTAGGACCCCGATTATCGGCAAACAGATGTGGAAAAGAACAGGGTACTACCAATGTGAAGCGTTGTCGCAAAAAGGCAAAAAGAATAACAGCGAGTGTTAAAAGGAATATCGCATCTGAGACCGCCGGCGACTTTTATTGCCTTTTTTGCTTGACCACACTGATTTTCGTAAATTTACGCGTGTGCATGCGTACATGCGTCGCCTTTCTGCCAAAATAAAAAGTGTTTCGGAATGACTGCTTTCGTTGATGTTTTGATAGGAAAGAGGCAGAGGAAATTGGATGAGGTGGTATGAATTAAGAGCCGGATCTATGCAATGGCTGACCTCGCCACATCGGCACAACCGATATTTGGCTGCAGTATACACTGGATAATGGCAGTGGTACGCGTCTCATTGTGACAAAAACAATGGCTCATTTCCGCTACGCGGCAGCACAGTCCACTTGATAAAAGGGAGGTGATTGTTTGAGCTGACACCTGCAAAAAAGGTACAATGTCAAAATGGAGTGAAATGGGTGGCATAATGGCCCACTCCGAATACAAAAGAGTCAAAGGAACGGGACATTGACTGGTACTATTTTTAAAATATTAAATAGCAAGCTGATATAAAGAATATACGTACCCGTTAGAATCTGTTAATGAGAATATTCGAGTGTACAAGACACAATGGTATGAGTAAAAGTTTGAATAAAACTGTAGCAGGGCCAAAACGATATTAGAGAGAAGAAAAGTAAAAAAAACTTTATTTTGATAAAAATTAATAAAGAAATTTCAGAGGTGACACCCTGAAGTAATTACGTTCTCTGCTTGACGACATCACTATTTTTCCTCGCCATTTCACATCGACTGCAGGCTATTGAAAATGGACCAAGCAACAGTACCAAATCCGGGTGTAAAAATCTATATTTTCCTTTCTCACGTTTGCATGTGTTTTGTTTACTTACCTTTACATAAATGGCAAAAATGATGTGTTTGCTCAGAAATGCAAATTCCTATGCCACCCAATGGCTGCCAGCCAAACTTTATGTTTACAAATTAAAGAATTTGCAACAGCCCTTTTTAGGCTTGCTAACATTTACTTATTTTGCGCCTGTTGATCCTCTTGCTCCCAGTTTGGCAACTACGTTCAAGAAGGCATATTTATCACTTTTTTTTAGTTAGATTTTACAAATGTCGCTCGATTTTCTGACTGGGCAAATGCACAGCAAGATAAGAGCCGTAATAACTACAGAAAGCAGAACGCTGCGAGTGACGTCTAATTTGCAGCATATAGCCCGTTATCCATGGTCTTTTGACCATTGTATATCAAACCAACCATGCTGGTTCTCCATTTCATTTGCTGCGAAGTATTTTTAAGAATAAATTTGGAAATTTTGATGCATTTGCTTCGAGAATGAGGAGCTCGAGCGGAACGATTGCCAACCCAAAAACGTTACTTTTTTTTACAAATTGGATATGTTGTTTACTTCCGCATAGTGACATTCGAAGAGGTGCACAAAACTCTGAATACTTTGGTCGGAACTGGTGCTAGCAATCACAAATAAACAAGAGTAGCAATAATCGTGGATCCATGTGGCTCTGACAGTTAAATGCAATTAACCGGTGTATTTGCACACCATACTGCGCCCTACTGCGTTTTAAAAGCAGTGATTATTGGAGATGGCTTTTACCAAAAAGAATGGGCTCTGGGGGGAAACGAGAGAGAATATAAAATTGCATTGGCAAAATTAGCTGCTTTAAAGCTAAACACAATTCAGCCAATCAAAACGCGCTCAAAAGTTTGCAAACGCGTCGCTTAATTAATATTTGATTTTTGCAATAAAAACGACGCGTAAAAATATTTTTTTTGCTTTTTTTGGAAGCACGACCGCAACCGCAACTGCAACCGCGAATGTTGCGGGCCGCGGGGGTTAAGAAACCCTCGTTTTTCTCATCCATGATTTTGACCAGTCTTGGTTTTCTGACTTTTTTTAAATTTCCTCATTTTTCTAATTTGGCGGTTTCGACCTGAATCCCGAAATTCTGCCTAATTTCGCACAAACAAATACGCGCGCGCATAATTGGATTCGTTCTCATTGCGTGCATTCCAGGGGTATTCACAGAATTTTCATTGGTGGTCTCGCCTACTATTCACGCCCAATTTCATATAGGCCAACAATTCGGGAGAGGGTTGAGCGCAGGCCTGTAGATACACACTAAACTTCAGATAATATGAAAGACACCGCTAAACCGTCACTGTCATTGACGAAGACCCCGAAGCCCCAAGGTCAAGGTGGCCGAGGCAGAGGCCATAAGGCTGGCAACAAACATGGTCGCAGCCGCGGCAGCGCGAACCCCACTGTCATTGCCACTCCCACAGCCGCTCAATCTGGAAACAAAAGCCTTAGCGACTTAATCGACAATCAAAACTCAGCCAACAAATCGGCGAAAAAATCCAATGTGCGCGCTGATATGGCCAGGAACGTTAAAGCCAAACAACTGACTGCACCGACGTCGCCCGCCGGAGTCAAATCAAGCAGCATACTTGGCGAGCAGTTGGTGAAGTCGTATGGCAAGTCGTCATCCGCCGGCAGCTCGGAAGTACAATCATGGCTGCAGCGAAACTTATCCAAATGGGCAAGCTCAGAGAGATGACCCATACGACACTGACGACATTGACATCATGAAGGGGGGTGGATTGAAGAGTGGCCAAGCTACCGATGCCGACACCAAGGTCATGCCCCAGTCAAGTCCAAGTCTGACTCTGAATACGGCTCCAGCCCCAATATTGGTGATGAGTCGGCAGACAATCGGCGGGTGGTATTGGTGCCGAACAGCCGACGCCGCAGGATGCTAGGGACGAAGATTCCGCCGAGGACAGTGACTCTAGCAGGCCTAGCGCGCTCAGTGATGTCGATGATGAAGCGATAGCGACAGCAACAGTAGCAGTAGCAGCGATGACGAGGAAGAGGGTGATTCCGGAGAGGAAAAAGAGCTCAGCCCCATGCAGAGCTCAGAACCTACACAGAACACACAACCTTCTTCGCCGGGGGCAGATTATTCGGTAGATGAAGTCAAATCACAGGCTGAGACGCAGAGCCGAGAGGCGAGTCCCGTCGCAACCAGCGAGGCATCGGTTGATTCGCAGCAGGAAGCCAGCTGAAGGAGAAAGTGCCGATCCCGATGCTTATTTTGATGCCCCCGTGCTGGAGAGTGTGTCTATGGCCACCGTGGAGTCTGGCGAAATATTTTCCGCAGGTGACCAGTATGCTGTCGAGGCTGATCCGTTGGTCGCCGACAGCCAGTTTTTTTTGCAGGATGCCACGCCTGACAAGGCCTCTGCAAATGGCGAATTTGCCGTGGTTCAGGATGAGGCCAATGAGCCGGTGGCTGGGCTGGGCACTTTGGCCGACCTGATAGTCCTAGATTACATGTCGCAGCAGATCATAGACGAGGTCTCAAACATGGAGCCCACGCTGTCGCGCTCGCCAAATCCAGCGGTTGATGCGAATTCCACTTTCCGTCGGCTGGACTGCTTGGGGCGCGAGCAGGTACTGGTTCGCAGGCAGCACTTCACCCACTCGCTGTTTTTACAGAACGAGCAACGGCCCATGGACGAGGATGACATGATGCAGTGGGCCATGACTCTGCAGCGGATTAACCTGGCCACATTTGTGCTGTGGTGCTGCGCCCGCAGCTTGTCCTGGGCGACAGGTTCGGCCGTGGCATTCCCAATCGCGAGCGAGCGCTGGCCAGCGCCGGCATGGCAGAGGCGGCACGTGGATTTTTTACACATGTCGTGCCGTCCAATAGCGCGGAAGCCAGGCGCTCGACCTGCTTGTCGACATGCAGACACAGCAGTGGCTGATGGCCGCTGACAGCGAGGACCAGTTGCAGATGATGGTCGCAGAGGGCGTGGGATCAGCGATGCCGTGATAGATCAGCTGCTGGCGATTGAGCCCGAGGCCGACGAGGCGTACGATGATTTGGAGAGCGGTGGACTGCAGGGTTTGACAAATATGCCGTGGCGCATTATCGGCGCGACATAGGCCAGCGACTCAGCAGAATTTCGGGCGGGAAATTGAACCATACCCGGGCACTGTACGCACTCAGCAGTCTTCAGCGACGTGTCTCGTTGTTTATGCCGAGTGCGTCCAGGCGTGCCCTCTCCGATTATTTTGAGCGGGATTCCAGCGCGTCAGGAGTCCCAGGACACCGGCTTATCATCGATGACGCCGCCGCCGCTGACGACAGCGACAGCGATCACCCGCTTGGAGATACGGCTGGTGATGTGAGGGATGGCGGTGATGTTTCGACTCTCAGATTTCGGGTGATTTTGAAGTGACCATATATAAGACCAAGTCCGATCTGGCGCGCATCCGCGCCGTGGAGTCCCAAGTGCTGCCAGCGCCAAGCCGACAACCGCTGAGCCCGAGGCTGCTGATAAGCTGGAGGCTGCCGATGAGCAAGACGATATTGCTGAGCATGTTGCAATCGACTCGTCTTTCCTGAAGAGCGGCGCGTTGCCATTGTCATACGCGACTTTATCGATGACAACCACCTGGACAGGTTGATTGAGGCCATTTCCGCCGAGCCCATTGACATTTCGCGGCCTCAGGAGCAGAGTCACACGCCAAGACGGATGCGCGTCGGTCTGCGTCATCACCACACATCAGAGGCGCCAGCTACAGCCATGCCTACCTTTGATGTCAGCCACGGTGGCATTGGCGATGACGATGGCGATGGCGATTTCCGTTTGAAGATTGGCGAGGAGAGCAGCGAGGGTGAGGGTGCGCTCGACAATAATGGCGATGCGGAAGAACGCACCGGGCCACGCGATGCTCGTAGACTGGTGAGCCTCAGCGAGTTGGGTGATAAAATCCGCTGCGCCAACCCCCACATTGTCGCCAATTTGTCTGCCAATGCCAGCGCCAGCCCGGTTGCCAAGCGTTTGGGAACCAAGCGCCGGCCGCCGACAATGACTCGAATTACAGCGAGCAGCTCAGCAACGCCGACGACTCGGACGACACTGAATCTGTCATCCAGACTATGAGTAAGTCGGCCAAGCGCGGGCGCATCCACTACGAGCAGCTGGCCACAGAAACAGCAGCACCAGAGCGTCAAGCGATTTCCGTGGGCGCCGAGGCATACCTGCAGAAGACATGTCTGCTCTCCGGCGCCGCAACGAGCGCGTCGACTTTACGCCATCGGTTGAGGGGACACCGCGGCTCGGGGCATCTCATCTGGACGAGCAGGTGTCGCCAATAGTGGTGCTCGGCCAGTACCAGCCGCAGCGCCGGTCGCGCAGCGAGCTGACGCAGAGACCGGCTGCCAACGGCAGCAGACACGCGTTACCAGCGCAGACCCAGACCCGGCGGCGAATGCGGTGGTCTACGCAGGAGGAGGAGTGCTTTATCCGCGCTGCGCACCGCTACGGGCTGAACTGGTCCACAATCATGTACTACCATGGCCCCAATGGCATAACGGACAATGTGCTCAGAAACCGCACTCGCGTGCATCTCAAGGACAAGGCGCGCAATATCAAGTTCCGTCTGATCCGCGAGAATCGGCCGCTGGGCATATTTGAGAGTGCCACGGGCCATTTGTGATATTCCAATACATATATTTGATATTTAACATCCTCAACTCTGATTTGAGTTACTTGTCCAGGGCCAAGTCCAAAGACCAAATATGCATGATGGCAGATGCCAAATTGCTCCATGTATGGAAATATGTTTATCCACGAATTTCTTTTATTTGCGGCTTCACAAAGCAAGGCCAGCGGTGAAGCTGAACTGAAAATCAAACGGAAACTGCTCAACGGATAACGATGAGATCAGACCTGCTCGATTCCGGCTTTTCTTTTTTGCAGCGTTGGTCAGCCCAGCAGATCTATTGCCTGCCGCTTGCTGCTGGCACCATGTTGCGGCACGATTGGCAAATTGCAGGCGAGCAGCCACTGCACCTGCCATGCACCTCGGCAACTACTTTGGCACTCTTGGATTGCCTTGGCCGCATGAGTACCAGCGGCGGTGAACGCGGCGCAGTCAAGAAAGCGAACACGGCGCGTCACATGCAGATGTGAGCCGTGCCCACGGCCAGCAGGGCAGGGTAGAGCGCGGTTGGATGGATGAAGCAATCTTTTCAACATCATCGCCGACAAAACAGCGGCATTAAGGGCTGAGCCACCAACGCCTGAAGAGAACACGTTCAGAGCAACGATGTCCGCCTGCTCTCTTTGCTTCTCTTTGTTCTCCTTTTTAGTCTCCTATCTGCACCAACAATTGACAAGTGTGTGGGCCAAGGCGGAATAAACGTGTCTTTAACAGGCAGTCGCAGTGCAGACACATTGTGAATGGCACATCACTTTGGCGCCCAAGCGGGCTTCTGGCTGACGATCCCTACGTCTTTTGTTTGGCGCTCGGCGATCGCTACCAGTGATTTGCTTTCGCTCACACAGCCGCAAACACGGTCTGCGCGTGCTGATTGGCAACAGGCAAAATGCTGGCGCGGGCGCGGATTGTGCATTGTATTTTGGGGAGCTTGTTTCAGAGAAATCACAGGCCATTTGTGGAAAAAGTCTTTTTTTGGCGTTTGTCTCGCCTAATGATTCATCTGTCTGCCTGCCTCGCGCATGCCATGGCTGTTGTTATTGTTGTGCTATTGCTGGACAAAGAGTGCAGAAAAATCTCACCGCACAGTAGTGCGTCTGGCAACCACCCCATTTCTCTTGCCTCACCACAATGGGCTGCTATAACCCGGTCCACTGCGCCGCTGAACCACTCACAGCGAATAAAATGGAAAATTAACACGGTGCACATCATCGCAATCCGCACTTTTTTGCAGCTCTTCCAAGCACCCCTGCCGCAGTGTAGCAAAAGGGGGAAATGAAGGGGTGACTGCAAACATGAGAGGGAAATTTTTTATGAAAAAGGGGGAGGGCAGTGGAGGATGGAAAAAAGAGCAAGCAAGCCTCGCGCCCGACTTTATATATTCGTTGCCCCCTTCCCATCTAAAACTAGTGAGTCAAGTTATCCAACCACTCTCTTCTTCACTTTTCTCCAGAAATACAATATTTTCACCACTATTATTTTTAATTGCACTATTGCGCCATTTCGACTGGTTCTCTCGCTATCATAACCTGCACCTGACCCGGACAATCCTATCCTTGTTCCTATTTTATTAGTCGTATCTGCCCATTCACAGACCGACTCACCAACCCTATTTTTTATTGCGTCCACTTGTTTTATACTCGGCGCACATAACCTTCGGAGCCTCGCTCTCTTTAACCCCCCCATTTTTAGAAGTTAATACGAGCCTATAAGCCATTATGGCTGCTCGTTTCTTCTAAACGTCTTGCGTTTTACGCTTGACAACTGTTTACACCCCCTACATTTTAGTTATTTCTACATAATTTCCCAACGCCCTACTGAACTTTGTTCATAATGGCGTCTTTTACCACCACACAATGTCTCCGGACAATTGAACCTACGACTCGCGAGTGCAACTGCATCTACTATTCGTGTTCCCGTCTTCTCTGAAAACGTTATCCAATAACTTTTACCAACATTTCCACAATGCCGCGCCTTTCCGCCGCCCAGCCATCTGCCACATCTGCAGTCAACACAGCCACCACCACCACCAGCATCAACAAAAAGTCTGAAACAATGGACAAGCTCTTCTCGATAGTTAATCCTGCGGGCCAGCAGGCCCAGGCCTTTGCCCAGCACGATGACAGAAACCCTTTCATCCTCCCGTCGTTTGCCGACAACTTTGAGTCGTGGGCCTACCCCGAGACTCAGCAGGCCGTCTTTGAAGACTGGATTGCCACTACCACGCCGCCCAACACCGCCACTGGCTCGCCCACTCTGGGCCAGACTGCGATGCTGGCAGCCAGCATGTCAGGCATCCCCTTCTCGCCCCTAGCTTCGTCGGCCATGTCTATGTCACCGATCCTGAGCTCGCCATCGCTCAACTTCTCCAACTCGAGCTCCTGCTCGCCGTACCTTTCCAACGACCTTGCGTTCAGCCTGGCCAGCACCCTGCAGAACGCCGTTGCCCCCCACCCGCCCAGCAGCCCCGCATAATGTCAGGGTCCTTCTCGGTTGCTGATTACGCCGCCGTGCTTTTCCCTGATATTGCCGCCACACTGTCGAGCTCCCTTGCCTCCCCAACTGCCTCTGCCTCTCCCGAGCCCTGTAGCGCCAGCCTCAAGCGCGCATTCTCGGAGATGGACATGCAGCTCCCCACTGCTAACGCCCAGGTCAACTGGACCGCCGACTTTGCCGGTCTCTTTGACGCTGCGCCTATCGCCGATTTGGCCTGCGAGCCTGCCGCTGCCTCCTCGATTCTGCTGACCACCAGCAGCGATCCCGAGGCCGAGGAGCTGCGCAAGCGCCGCGACACTGAGTTTTTGGCGTCGTTGCCGCCCCAGCTGGCTCTCAAGCGCCGCCGCACTTCGAACATGAAGCAAAAGGAGAAGATCCTTGCCGAACTGATGTGCGATGTGCCCGCCGCTGTCGCTGTTCCCGCTGCCCCTGCAACCAAGAAGGCTGCTCCTTCGGCTACCAAGAAAGCTGCCGCTGCCGCCGCTGCCCTTGTCTGTGTCAAAGCTGAGGTTGATGCTGAGATCGATGCCGACGAGGCTGAGGACGACGATGACAACGTTGACGCTGCCGCCCTGAAGCGCAAGAAGAACACCGACGCCGCCCGCCGCTCACGTATGCGCAAGATCCTGCGTATCGAGACCCTTGAGGGCCGCGTGTCGGAGCTCGAGACCGAGAACACCAAGCTGGCGCAGATGGTTGCTGCTCTGGAGTCTGAGAAGGCCGCAATGGCCCAGCGCATGGCGCAGATGGAGAACAGTCAGCTTTCGGCTGCTGCCTCCTTTGCCCTCTAAGCATATTTGCTTGGGTTTCCATTGTGATCTACAATCCCTCATTCCTGCGCTTGTTTATATTTCCTCTTGCATGGTTTTCTTTTTGCTTTTGCGAAGGTCACTGCCTGGATTTTTTTCCTTGGACATCTGGTGCATAACACTGCCGCCGTTGCGACTCTGTGCTGGAGGACCCCGCACGTTGGTTGTGTTGCCGCCTTTTTTGGTGTTCTGCGCAGCGCTTTATTTTCTTCATTTTTGTCTAATTTTATTAGATGACATTGGGCTCTGATCAGCCTCAATTTTTTTCAATTTATTTAAAAATCTTTTAATCAACATCATTATAAACATTGCAATGATCAACCTCTACTTTCTTTTTTCTGTTAACTCCTTTTTTTGCTGCCATCCAGAGTTTGTACAGAGGGCAGCAATGCAATGCAGAGCTTGGCTTCTTCTAATCTGCTCTTTGGCCGTTTGAATTTATGCAAGCAAAATGCACCAACTAATTTGGAATTTTGTTGCTTTAACTAATTGATCCAGCGATCGACATGTTGGTTTTAGGCATACCCTACCCCTGGCCGCGTAAATGGATGTGACACCACCTCTGCGGAGTGCATTTGCTGAGCAAATAAACAAATTTATGCTAGGGAGCACTAAGGAAATGCACAAATGAAAATACCCCGACTTTTTTAATTTATGTATGCTTGTCGTAGCCGAAACCCGCAAAGCTTTACACATCACTCAATATATTTTTGCATTTTATACTGGTGGCTTGCTTACCAGATATGGACACTGGTACCCAACCATCTGACACAACTCGTCTTTATTGTCAAATTAAATTATTATTGTTTGTTTTGGTAGTTTGCGCAAAAGTTTTTAATATAAACCAGACGCTGCTCATTTTTTGATATCAAAAAAGAATGATCCGAAATCCATTAATGGAAGCAAGTACCGCCCGAAAACACTGGCACCCGCTTTCAGCAGAAACACTGAATCGTGATGTTTGATTCGGCCACATTTGTTTGCATGCAACAAAAGAGAGCAAGAGAGCAAGAGAACACTCATTGGTAATAAAAACGAGCAGTCAGCGGCCTCGTATATAAAGGCGTCCAATTTTCATTCACATTTGCTCCAAGTAAATTGTTTTCCTCCATCCATCGTCTGTAATTTTTCTCCTATCTTTTTGTCCTTCTTGCGTACCTAGCACATAACCTTCGCATTTTTCACTCTTTAATTTTAGACACATACATTACACACTCCTCTTTCTGTATATTCTCCACCATTTCTCGATCTACATGCCTTGCAGTACTACCCGTCCATCTGTTTTTTGCAACCAGCCTTCAGCTCTTGTGTGCAGTGTGCGGGAATGCGCGTGTTATCTGTGTAAAATTGGCGAAGAATGCACCGATTGACAACACTCCCAAACCAAACACAAAAAAATATACCAGCAACATCACAGCACGTTTGGTTTTCCAGCTCAGCAACATTCGTAGACTTGGCTTTTTCTACTTTTCAGCCCGAGTTGCATGGTTCCGAGTAATTTAAACTAAAAAACTACACCCTAACCGAATAGTTTCCCTAAAAAGTACTAAAAAATACAACTAGCGTGCGTCACTATATGCAGCATACTGAACAAACAAATCGGGATAGTATTATTTTGGCGCAAAAGATTTGGAGGGGCAGCTAGCGAGTATGGAAAATTTCTTTGAGCAAGCGAACAGGATGCGCTAGTGATTGTCAACTGTTTCAATATTTGTTTTCAACGTTTGTCTTTTTATTATTTCATTTAGCACAAAAATGTATTTACAATCATATTAAAAAATGGCGTTTCAGTAAACTGATTGTGGCCGTTAATCATTTTTGAGCTGATGTAGTTTATCATTGTTCTTAGGAATATTGGGCGCACAATAAAAGAAAGAGGGAAAGAGAGAAAGAAAGAAAGAAAGAAAGAAAGGCACCTGGGTTGTATCTGCACGAGCATGATACAAGCATTGAATGTGTGGTAATAATTGCTTCTCACAGTTGATGTTTGCTGATCAGCAGACACTGAAGGGAATTAGGGCGCGCTGAACTTGCATGTGAGAAAAGCCAAGCAGGGCCAATATCTGCAATTTTAGTGGTATACTCGGCAGCATATAGCCGAGTAGTGCTACGTGATATCAGCTGTCAGCTGCAAAGCCCGCACGTTTGTCGCCTGCGTGAGGAAACGATTTTTATGCCTGTTGTTCCACGGGCTTGCTAAGCACATACTCCGGACTTATAAATACATACATGTGCATATTGTATGCACATATGTCCGTAGTATGCGTTTATAACAAAACACGTGAATGCAATAAAGTTTCTGATATAGAAACCAGCTTTAGGCTCGGCTCCAGCTTGGTCGTGTCTGGTAGCTTTGCAGCACAAGCCTTAGAGTATTTCCACCAAAGGAACTGTTTTGCTTTGCATATTTATTTGTTTTGCATAGCTGTGCATCCGATACCTGTTATTCCAAATGTTTTTATTGCATTTGGCTTGCCTGTTTTCTTTGCGTCCCTTTTTTAATGTATCGACCAATGTTCATTGAAAGACCGCAGTTCCATTTCGTTCCATCCCCACTAATTTCGCATGTCAAAGAAAAAATCCCCAGAGTTGTGGAGGGATGCGAATGTCGTTCTATCTGGCTGTCATTCGAACCCAACTTTAATCCCAACTTCCTTATTTACCTTGCGAAATGGAAACGGAGAAACAACTTGGATAGGAGGAATACCCAAAAAGGATATCCCAATTTACAGATCCCAGAAAAAACAGCTACGTTGTGCATATAATAATGATGCAACAGCGCCAGCGCCAGCAACAGCAACAGCCATAGTGCTGATGGCGATGCAGTTGGATTCTGTATTACCAGCCCATCCGAAAGCAGAAGCTGCAATGGAAACACTGCGAATGGGCAGACGAGTACGCGGGCGTCAGCTTTGTGGGTGCAGTCAATTGAGCAAATCGAAAATAGAGTGACGGCGGGCCCTCCGACCATTATTATCACAGAATCGTTGGAAAATGGAATTAATAATGTTCTATTAAAAACTAGAATAGCAGTAAAAGGGCCCTGAAATTGCTTGATGCAACTGCACCAGAGGTGGAAACTCCGCGCCAGTTATCGCCAGTTTTTTTTGCATTGACTGAGCACCGAGTCACAAATTACAAGGCCATTCACCCCCACCCAACTCTTTCCTCTCCCCCATTTTTCTCTCTTCGCCTCACGTTGAGTGCAGATTGAGGCCCAGGATGTGCACACTAAACACAGCCCGGGCCTGGGTCAAACGTTAACAGCGAGTCCTGAATTTCAAAAAAGGGGAAAAGCGCACAAACCTCAGTGCAGCCACCGGGCCTTTTGTACAATTCACATTTCCCAGAGTCAGCTTTTTTTGACCGCTGCTTTGGCCTCTGTGCTACTCAGGTACTGTCAATATTCTATATTTGGCCGCGAACATCTTGTTTTTTATTTTATCTCATCATGCTTATGTGTACTGTAATATATCTATTTTGGGGTTTTTGTTTTATTACCGACGTCGTTCTTTTTTATTTATTCTTTACGCTGCTTCGACCAAACACTTTAAATAAAGCTCAGTTTTCTGTAAACTCGAGTTTATCTCAGAGTGAAATCTCTTTTTTTTACCACCGTTTTCTCGATATTAATATTATATTTTCTGGGCCTATTTTATATTTTTTAAATTATTTTTCTTGCAAATAAAAAAAGCTTTATTCATTTACTGACTTTTTTTTACTATTTGCGTGCTGGCTTCGGGCCCTCCAAGTATTAATGTATTTTACAATGTCTAGACGCAAAACACAATCACAGCCGCGCCCAGCTACATCAGGACGAACAGCAGCTATGACAGCCTCTATGACAGCATTTATTGCAGGAGCCACCGCGGAGAAGACATAACTCGCACCATCAAAGGCGTCCATGTACACAGTGAACCCTCTGCTCACGCCACCCGAAGACTGCTACTCGCCGGGTGCGCAACAGCAGCGGCAGCAGCAGCAGCAACAGGATATGTCATACATGGGTACCAACGACGTGACATCGCCGTCGGAGGCATACTCTAAAATGACATTGGCGGAAAAGGTCCGCGAAGCCAACCAGGCGTTGGTATACACGTGGGGCAAGATGCTCGTCGGCATGGGTGTGAGCGAGCTGTGCGAGAACGCCGCGCTGCTACGCAATATCCAGCTCATCTCGCTAGATGACTTGCCGAAAAACTTTTGCATTTCGCCGGTGGATGAGTTCATATGTCCCAGCGACGATGCAGCTCGGGTCATCGTTATTGTCTCGGATGCCGGCATTGTCGTCGACACGGGCATGTATGACATGGACGGTTCTATTTTCTACAGGGGCTTTGTTGTCAACAACCAGTATCTGCCCACATCTGCATCCAAACGCACCTTCACACCCGACTAGGAGTTAAATTAGATGCTGTCCCTACCCCCTGACAATTTGCTCTCATCTCGCTTTCTGCATTGCAACCCCGAGAGAGGGGGCTCTCTACACGTACGGTGCATGGCCCTCTGCAGCATTGCCTCGTACTTGCACTTAGCGCACAGCCTGTCTGGCTAGCCACCGATACAGTCGCAGACGTGCCGCCACCGCCGCTGCAAAGATAGCAAAAGCGCACGTCTACGACGACTGGGCCAATGACATTTGTAAGCGCCACACCACTGCTCCTGTTAACACAAGGCGCCATCGTGTGCGGGGCCGCTTGCATGCCAAGCTCGCTTACAGATTCATTGTTTCTACAGCCACCCCCAGTGCCAGCCCGTCGCCAGCCCCCTCTGCAATGAACTCCTCCGTCATGGCCGTCCACACCACCACTACCCCAGCCGCCGGCAGCACAGACATGCAGTAGAACAGTGCGTCACTAGTGTTTGCCACACTGCTCATGGGCAGAGACACCCGCGCCAGGGCAAACGACATCCAGACGACCAGCAGGGCCGCGGGATTATGACTATCGGAAGCTTTGGCGATCCGCGCTGTTTTACGCCGCCGCCCCTCTGTGTGTGGTATAGCGTGAGTACTACCGCCAGGAGTATAAACCCAATGGACACAATGATGGACACCGACACCAACTTGTATCCGCTCTTTCGCTGCGCCTCCGATGCATCAAACATCAACGGGATCCCAACGCAAGTACAGATCACTACCGCTACGCTGTATCCGATTGCCATATGGGTCAGGAACACTGCAACTATTCCGCGCGCCGCAAACTCGATCCTACCAGATTCACAACCACCAAAAATAGCCTATATTGCATTAGTTTCCTTATTTTACACATCTAATTATATCCCTTTTGTATATTTCATTTTCCACATTCCATTGCACACGCTTTCCTTGCAAGACACCACAAGTGCAATTTTTTGGGGAAGTGGCGGCGGCTGCCTTTTGAAACTCACCATTTGGCCGCGAATCCGAGCATCACGCCGACAAGCACAAATCCCGCACAAAGATGTAACACCGTCTGTGTCTCGTACACCGGAATGCATCTTCCTCGTCTGCACCCATTGCACCGCGCAACACAAGCGCTATGAAAACCAGCACACAACCGAAGCCCGCCGCACTGAACCACAGTATCTGTGCACTCCGAGCGACCATGAGCACTCGCACGGCCAGAAGCGGGAATAGTGCTGACATCAAATACGCTACCCAACGTACCGGCTCGTACTCTATCATTGGCGGCGGGTACTCGTTTCCCAAGGTATAGCTATAGACTAGCGTCACGTTTCTTGCGCCTGACATGTCTTACTCTATGTCTGTATGTATGTATGTGTGTGTGATGTAGTTGTTGTATTGGTAAAGTTTGCAACAAATAATAGTGTAAATAGTATACTTGTTATTCTTTTTTTGAAAGAAAAGACAGTCCATGTCGAGAATACATAACTCGCACTCATCGATTTCTGGTGCTGGTGCGCTGAAAAACATTGCCAAAATTACTCGCACCACCCGTCCTGTCACGAGAAGACAATAGTACAAGCAGTGGTGTGGGAGAAAAGCGCATGTTTGAAAGTGCAGTCGCCATCCGCTTACGTCGAAAAGTAAAGAGTAACTTTGTTAACCGACACGTTACTGCATCACAACCAGTAAATTAGTATTTTAAAGTTCATTGTCTACACTGAAATAACAATGAGACTACAAATATATATAAAAATTCAAATATCCTGCAAATTGACATTTTTCTTTCCCATCCTGATTACATAGCAACTTGGCACGTGCTTAAGAACTAGGAACTAGGAACTAGGGGCAATAAACAGTCCACTATGTTTAAAGATATTATCCAGTTTGCTGCTTCTTGCGAAGAGAAGTTTGGGCTTGGGCTTTGGCTTGGGCAAGGTCTCGGGAAAAGTCTCGGGTGCTGTTGTATACTTGGGTTCAGCCAGATCGAACGGTGCCTTTTTCACAGAAAAAACGGGGAGGCTTGCTTGCCTGTAAGCAGGGTATTGAATATGATGCAAAAGCTCAGCACCACGATTGTTAGACTTATGTCTGCCTGATAGCACTTTTTCGCCATTTTTAATCTGCTGTTAAAAATGCTTATGAATATTTTACATGTGTGGGCTACCTTTTCCCTACCTAGGGCAAAAGGGTTTAACCCATTGTTAACGCGTAGCTTTTAACAAAATGTAAAGGTAAGCATGTAAACACAATCTCCAAGGTTACCCAGAAGCTTGGGAGTTTTGTTGCAACGTAGCTTTTTTTACTCCCACCGAAAGCTGCAAATCAACATCGACGCGTGAATTTTTCGCGTTCAAATTATCACTGTTTCTCAAGACAATTCTCTTACACACAGTGAAAGAAATAAGAATAAAAAAACCGAAATCATCGTGTCCATTCAACAAAATAAAGATAAGAATAAAAACAGTGATCCCAGCCGCTCCATATGCGCTACTGACAAGGTTTTGCAAGCTGGCAAATGAAACAGCGCATCTCTACAAGATGCTATGCGCTACACGCTTTAGGCGGAGGCCTTGGGGGCAGTGGGCTTCTTGCCGTCCTACACAGGTCAAAGAAAAATTAAAGCAAGCAAAAAACAGTATTCAAAGATTAGTTAGTACATGTGAACAAAGTGGCGAGTTGCGGCATGGGTTTCAAATTATCAGTATCAGTCGATTCGTACCTTGTTGGCGCGGAAGCGGGGAGGGGGAGCGCGGTTGCGGCGCTCAACACGGGAGCGGACGCGGACGGTCTTCATGTGAATGGCGCAGCCGACGCAGTGCTGGTTCTTCAGGTACAGCTTGGGGATCTCGTACGACTCGTAGACCGAAGCCTCGTCCATGTCACGCTTACCGGCAGCCTCAACCATGTTGCGGATGATGATACGCTTGATGGCCTTATCCTTGGGGACGGCCTGGGAGCAGTTATCGCAACGGATAAACTTGACGTGTCCGCGTCCCTTCTTGCTGCGTCCGTGGTTCCTGCGCTTGACGGTCTATAAAATAAAAAGCCAAGCATCAAAGTCCAATATAATAAAAACGTTAGTACTGGCGCTCTGAGTATTCAAAAGCGGGTGTGCCTTCTAATTCCAAATTATTGGCGCACAAATTAGAGATTCAGCAATAACTGGCCTGGTCACTCTTGACAACACGCTCAACCAGTTCGAAAATACACAAACGCTGCAAAGTAGAAAGCAAAATAGTGGGCTACTGAAGGGTGTGTTTGCGGAGATGATTCTGGCGCAATTAATGGCTATTAAAAGGTGAGCGTATTCAAGCGTACTTTGGCCATACTGAAGGCGCAGTTCTATTGGGAGCAAGTCCAACAAAACAACAGAAAGCAGCAGCAAAAAAGCACGGCAAGCTTATACAGTATAAACAAACGGCCAACCGACCAAACGTAGGAGCCTGGTTGTGCTGCTGCTGCTGATTTCTGGCTACCACTGGTCTCATATAGCTCTGCCCCACGGTGAATTAAGCCCAATCTTAGCAGTTGCATAAATGAGCCTTGCATACAACCGCATGCCTATTAGCCGCAAACTGCAGATTGAAATCAAATGAAGACAAAGTCCAAATTGCAAATTCAGAGTGTCAATCCATTATAATCTAAAATGCTAATTCCGCCCACCCCAAAATTACACCCGATGGATGCAGCTGTATTGTTTACAACCGCAAATTAAACAATGGATGCAAAATATGCCCACCATGAATACTCTGCGCCACGCTACGCCCAGTTTATCGTCTCTGCTGCTGGATGTGTATTTTCTGCACTCGTCGAATCCATCGCAAACATCGCGCGCTGACTGTTTCATCTTCTCATGTTAATGGATACGCACCATTTTTTATATGAATTAATCAATACTCAAAGGTAAAAAGGGTGAGCCTGATATCGCCAGCAGCAGATTCAGCATTTTGTCCCAGCTTTCATTTTTGTTGGCCAGCCTACTGCCAGCATACGCGCTGTAAGTGGGCATATTCGCGCACCAAATTGTGCAGGAATGGTGGTGCTCGTGTGGCAGCACGCGTAAATATGCTCAGTCGGCTCGCTCGCTCTCGAGTTTTAATTTCCAGATCGGATCGGGGCGAATCGAGTCGAAATATATAATTAGCTGCAGAATCGCCAAGATTTATTTTTCTTCCATGTATATTTTTTGCTTGGAGCAAGTATCACATTTCAAATGTGCAGCAGCAAATTGGCTTTGGAATCTGGAGAAATAGCACTCGAGGAGCCTTGTTCTTGTTCTTGTCTTTGCTTAACATCGCCCACACTATCGCAGCTCTCAGCTTTCAATTCGCACAAATGCTTTCTGCAAAGAGATATTCGCCAGCGCTATTGCGATCTGTGCGCAGCGCTCTGAGGTCCAGAGTCGGCGCAGATGAAGGCGTTGTTGAGCTGGCCAGCCGGCCTGTGTGCTGGAACAAAACAAACTTTCCAGACATCTCACCTGCAGTACAAAAGCGGCAACCGCTGGCAACAGGCCGGTCGCTGTTTGGCATTCACTCGTGCACACAAACACGCAACTACGCAATTTCAACGCATGCTGCCAAGACCAAAGTGCCTCAGTGCCCGACATGCGGCGCGGCATTCCAGACAGAGCGGGTGGGCGCACCAGGGTACCTCAACGATCAGAAATGGCGGCAGATGAACCAGGCTAACCTCGTCCAGGGCCTACCTACTATTGAGGGTGCAACTCTGGGCGAGTCTACAGTCATCCCCGCCCTAGCCGAGCACGGCGCAGGCGATGTCGTAGATAAGGGGAGCGAGCCAAAAGTACTGAGCGACGAGGAATACCAAAATGCGATTAAAAATCTGGACGATCCGGACCTGAGGGCTATATTTTCGGGAGAGGCCATGCCCGGGTTCGTAGATCCCAATAATATGGTGGCAGAACCCATGGTGGAAGATCCCGAAGCGGGTGCCGAAAAGAACAGCAAAAAGGCAGAGCCGCACAGCGCCATCGTGGCATCGCGTCTGAAGCGGCGAGCAGAGCAGGGCCGCGACCGAATCGTTTGCCAGCGCTGCTACAAGCTGATGCACCACAACCAGATTGACAATCCGTGGAAGCAGGACATTGTATCTGACCCGCGGTCTTTGAAGTTCATGCGATACAGGACCAACCTACTGGCTGTGGTGGTTTGCGACATTTTCGACCTTCCGGGAAGCTTGATCCCGAATCTAGGCGAGTTTATCGGCGAGCGGCATCCTGTGATTCTCGTTGCGAACAAGGCTGATCTGCTGCCAAAGGACTACCACCAGGAGCGCGTTATTATGTGGTTCAAGCGATTCTCCAAGGACCTCAACCTTAACATCCAATCCATCACCTGGTCTCCTCGCTGAAGAACCTGGGCACGCGCGAGCTGGCAGCTGACATTACAGAGCGCCGCAGAGCAGGGCAGGACATTTACATGGTCGGCCGTGCCAATGTGGGCAAATCAGAGCTGATCAACGCACTGTTGCGCATCAGCATGGGTGGTTACAAACACAAGGTGCTTGCTTCTCACGTTCCTGGAACTACCATGGGGCTTTCTGGTGTCCCTCTGCGCCATTTCGCAAAGCTCTCGTGCCCGTGGAAGGCGCGCGGCCCCAAGATCGGCAGGCCAACTTGTACGACACTCCGGGCGTGTTCAGCAACAAGTCACTGCTTAGCTTTCTGAATAACAACGAGCTCAAGATGGCCATGTGCAGCAAGCGCATAACGCCGTTCACGTATATCCTCAACCACGGACAGTCCATTATGCTCGGTGGCCTCGGACGCATCGATTTGGTCGATGGCCCTGAGTATGTGTATGTGACCGTGTTTTCCAATATTCACCCGCATTTTACGCGGACCCAGCGTGCTGTGGAGCTGACAGAAAGGCTTGAAGCCGGCGAAAAGACTTTTTTGCGTCCGCCAATTGGGACGAGGATCGTCTAAAGAGCTTCCCAAGAGCAAACTGGCAGTGGAGCACACATTCGAGGGGACTCATAAGCAGCACGCCACCTTGGACGTTGCGTTTGCCGGAATAGGCTGGGTTGCAATTACTGGCCAGTTCCCGCGCGCCACGATACAGGTGTTTACGCCCAACGGAATGGGAGTCAGCGTTCGGCCGCCGCTGATGCCATTTGAGTATAAGATGATCACGCCTCACACGTCCAGCACTCGTAAGACACCCAAATGATCCAATTACAGTTGTCGGTTAGCGTTGTCATTGACATTGACATTATTACGTGCGCAATGTAGATTTTATTTATTATCCTTGGCCTTGTCTAATTTTAGACGTTCAACTTTACAAACATCCAAATATTTAAATATAGATGTTGACGGGCGTAATTATTATATTATATATAGAAGCAACTATCTGATTAATTCTGAAGAGCTACAAGTTTAGGGGCAAAAGTTCCCGCTAGTACACCTAATGCAGGTGCACTGTCGGTACAGAACCAGTGACGGATTGTATGTCACCTTAACGCGGTGAAATGAGTGATGGCATAAGTTCAGTCGAGTAATTGCATTCTCGAATGAAAATGAAGACATAATATTCGACAAGAAATGGTGATAGCAAGGGCGTAGAGACAGGATATGAGTTAAATTGGAGATATGGTTGTAATGTAGCACGAGTAAAGAGTAGAATATGACAACGATGATAATGATGACGAAACGATGCGATATTATTAATGTTGATACGATGTAAGGTGGTTGAATTGTGCTGACCATCTCTCAATTTATATCTGTGGTGTGCCACGCAATGTTGCTGTTTGTTAACAGGTGGGGGTTATCTATTTACAGAAACATGCAATAAACAGTGTCTCTTTTCATGTCTCTACGCGTATAATGCTGCTGTAAGCATCGCCCGTCGTTTAATCTTACATAATGCATCTAACTAAAATAGACAAGAGCCAAAAAACAACGACCCGAATGCGACCTTCTGTCTATCACACTTGCATGTTGCAAAATTAAATATGTTAGAAACAGGTTTTAGTAACTTAATACATAGATTATCAGACAAATAAAGGAAACAATTTTGCGCCATGTTTTAATTTAACAATTTACTCTCCTTAAACACAATCGCACGTTGTTCCCAGCTGGTGGTTTCCAATAATTCTACAACGCTCACTGTTTTTGTCTCATATTTCTGCTTTGCGTTTCTGCTTTTCTAATTTATTGAACTTGATTTGAATAATGCTGACTTGACAATCGGATAGTCTTTTGGGTATCGAGGAGCGTGTGAATTCAGACTCGCATAATTTATTTTAGACAAAAAAGTCAGGTGCTATTACTGCTGGATTCTTCCAAAAAGAATAATATTTTAATTTTATTGGCACAGGTCCGACGAATTACAAATAATTTCCGATAAAATATTTTAAATATAAAAGTGTGCACCAGTCTGATGAGGTTTATGTAATACAAATACGAAATAATTGCTGTTTTATTTTATTTGGTTCAGGCGTGTGCTGTGTAGTATTGCTGCTAAATAAATTCAAATTCAAAATTGATTTTGGCGCATAATTTGGAAAGGACATCACCCAAATTCCCCCTTGCAAAGAGCGCAGGTGCATTCGCGTTCGCATTCAACGTTGTGGCTGACAACTCGGGCACAGCTAAATATCATTACTGGCAATATTGTTAATTCTATCAGTGCCTTCAGATTGTTGGTATTGCACACACGAGTACAACAATGACGGCGACAGGTGTCCTGGTGCAAGCTAAACAGCAACGAGCCACTATAAAATGCAACGCAAAAAATTCTAAAGTGAATGCACTAAATAAGGGAGGTGGGCGCGACTGATGGTGGATCAAAAAAACAAAACCTGTGTAGATGGTGCTCCTATTTATCCAAGACGGTACCATGAATCTACATTTTGGACAAGCTGCGCGCATGCTGCTGATTTAAAAATCAGATACACCCGGTAGTAGCATTTTGCTTCAGCCTGACCCACAGTGAATGATGGCGTGTTTCTAATTGTAATTGGGGGAATGCTATCATAGTCATTTATTTAAGATGTTTGTGATAAACAAAATTTTACAAACATGCACAATGTTTTTTTGAGGGAGGTGGGATTTCAGCAATAGCTACTCTTTGCTTAATTAAAATACAATACAACTAGTGGCTAGCGCCTACTGGCGAGCGACCCAGTGCTCTGCTCTTTGCACAATATAAAACGCCTTGAAGGCCACATAGGAAGCCAAGTTGCTTTTGTATCTGTTTACTCGATATTCCAGCAGCTATATTAATTTAACATAGTACGGGTGTAGTATTATTTACAGTACATGCTGCAGTCGCCAGAGTTATAATTGCACTATTCTGATAATTAAATCCAAGAAAAAAGCGAACACATATGGCAGAGGAGCTACGAAACGTGCGAATTTCGCACTTCATTTCGGTTTCGTCTACCCAATATTCCCACACTCTGTGGGCTTTTGTTGTCCAATTGCGCGATTCAATTGTGCGAATTGTTTAGTTGTCTTGGTTGAGGTGTGCATTTTAATTTGGTTGACAAGCCATCCCCGATTTGATCAAATCAAGATTTGGCAATAATAAAAATACACGTGATAAAAACATTCGCATGTTTTTATTATTTGCACTCAGGCGCTGGGTTGGATTGCATTGCATCGCATTTCTCATCTCTGCTCATTCTTTGTTGCACGTCACCAAACACCAAATTTCTTATATATAAACACAAATTCGCATTCACCAGTCTCTTTTTGAATTTAAAAGCCATGCCTCCCATTGACGATGCTGAGGTTTTGGCTCGTTATGGACTGGACAGCTTTACTAGCACGACATTTGGCCCCGGTGACGATTTCAATGGCGAATCAAACGGCCGAGGTCGCCTGGAGCAGCAGGACGACATGGGGCTAGACAGCATGCACGAAATATCTGACTCTGGTGGCTCGCGGATGAACCAGACCCGCGAGGGCAACTCTCGTAGCGGCCGGCGGCGGCGCCGTGGAAGCCGCAGAAATGGCGAGTATGGCGAGGCTGATAATGACGATGACTATGACGACGACGACGACGATGATGATGATGACGATGATGACGATGATGGTAGTCAGTTTCGTGACTCCACGTTGGCAGGCAGCGTGTCCGCACATAATCTGGCCATTAGCGACCGTGATCCGCTGCATGTTTATAAGTCGGTGGTAGGAGTCCTCGAGAGCAAGGGCAACGCCCAGCACTTGGTGACATGTCATACCGCGCAAAGTTTAGCGTATCAAACAAAAACTTTTCCCCGACGATGTTCATGCAGTGGTTCACAGCGACACCTCTTATGCCGACCTTGTCCAGGGCGCGAGGCTGTTGCGCGAGTCCGTATCGCAGGGCACTGAGGCCCTGAAGATTCTAGTGCACAACAACTTTGATCGCTTTGTGGACGCGCGCAGCAAGATTGACCTACTGTATGAGGAGATGAAGTCCAGGTCGCTCAATGAGCAGGCCGAGTACGGCACGCGCGCGTTCAGCCAGGCGCTGGAGGGCACAACGCTCAAGGCGGACGAGATTTACAACCCGATTATCGACCGGCGGGCGCGTTCAGAAAAAATTCGTTCAACACTCAGCGTTGTTGAGCGGTACAAGTTCTACTTCAACCTGCCATCCAGCCTAATCGAGTACATGCGCAAAGGCAAGTTTGACATTGCCGTGCGCGAGTACAAGAAGGGCCGTCAGCTCTTTCAAGCTGTGACCAACGGCGACATTGATGGCGTCGACGACATTGCGGCCGACGGCTCCCAGCCAAACGCGTTAATCAAGATCTTCCAGTATGTGTGGAAGGAGGCGCAGGAGAGCGTTGTGGAGCTTCGCAACGCGCTGTTCAAGCATCTGAGTCAGCCGTGGAGGCCTTACAGCGAGCAGGAGAATGTAATCAGATATCTCCTTGAGGTGGACCCCGGAGACAAGGACCCCGTTGTATACTACCTTGAGCACCAGCACGCATGGATCGTCGAGCAGATGGATGAAATTTACAAGGCCCACAGGCAGAGGATCTTGCAAACCAGCCACCAGAGCATGCAGGCCGAGCGGCGCCGCACGCTCAGCGGAATTGGAAGCTCGAGCTTTATTGGTGGCGCGACAGCCAAGGACTCAGCGATCGACGATGAACGCCGGGCCGACGAGCTAACCAGGGCACTGAATATCGAGGCGTTTGCAGACTTCCCGGCGTTCACACATGGCCGTGACGCAGAGTTCCACACGTGGAAGCAGACGTACAACGCACTGCGCACACTCTCTCAAACGCTGGTCCGTTGTCTGCCTGACTTCTGGAAGCTCAGCCAGGCGTATATGGAGGATCTGTATCGCAAGCCAGACGCTAATGGCGGTGGCCGGCGCCGTCAGCACGGACTTAACCTCGAAAGGGTGTCCAAGTGCCATTCATTGCTTGAGGGATAATCGAAAGGTACAGCCAATTTGTGCTGCGCCTGACTGGAATTCTTGGCGAAAACAACGTCGTTGTGGACCTTGAGTCCTTGGGCAGCCAAGCAATCAGGTCCACTTTGCAGCGGTTGCCACAGACACACGCCCTGCTGGCCGGCCACTTTATGACAGCCATCATGGAGCTGGTTGTCAACACAGCCAACGACATTGAGGCCATTGACATGGCGCAAGAGCCAGCGATTATTCTCGCCAACCTTATCAGCCAGCTTAAGGCTGGCCTGGTTTTGTTCTTGTGCGAGATGTGGGACCGCGACGCGCAGTCAATGTCTCTGCACGAGAATTGGTGTCTGCACCACGGCACCAGTTACTGGCCGGCTTTTTATATGTCGCAGCGTGACCGCCAAATTGCCAAGGGCTCATCAGATGCAGTGGCCGAGTCCATTGCAAACACTGAGCTGTTGCCGCTCTTCTTGCGCACTGCGCAGACCATTGTCGGACAGCTCGGCACGATCCACTCTGCGGCGCTGCAGCCCGGAAAAAGCACGCGGACTATGATGAACGGCGAAACGCCGCACTTTGACGCCAACTTTGACGAGGGGCAGCGCCAACAGGGCGAGCGCTCGCACTCGATGCACAACATGGCGGTGTCCCACGTGAAGCGCACCTTTTTTGGGACAATGTATTCGTTCCTCGATACCCTGCACATGCTGGCATTCAACACAGCGCAGCAGCCGATGGGAGCGGCAGCGTGCAGCTTGGTGCTGATGACCGCTCTGTCGCCAGCGGAATGCCAATTTCGCCAGGCTCTGCACAGGCTTCAAGTTTTGGCGCCAGCGCGTCCCTACAGATGCCGTCAACGCCGCCCGCGCGCAACAGCGGCATGTCCCGTCGCCTCTCATTTAATCTTCCGACCAAGGTCGAGGCGAGCTCCACGACGGCCGCCGGGCGCAGGTACTCAATGGTCGAAAGTGGTCGACAGGACGCGTCTAAGGCACGCAGCAGACACAGCAGCCGCAGCTTCTACATCCTAGCGACGCTGAGCAACCTGACCGCGTTCAGGATGTTCGTGGTTCCCGATCTCCTGCACTCTAAAGCGGTGCGTTATGTGTTCAAGCTAGACGTCGCGGACGAGCTGCCGCAGCTTGAGAAAATGTTGCGGCGCCTGGACGAGATGATATTCTCGTACTACATCCGCGATAAGTCCAAGCAGCTCAGCTACATTGTGCACCGCGGCGTGCTGCTCGGCGGGTTCAGCTGGTCTACCAGCGCGATGCCCAAGGACACGCAGCCGTATGTGTCCGAGGCGCTCTTATACATGGTGTTCACGCACGCAGAGATCATGGACCTCATTTCCGAGCTGGGCGCCGGCGCCGAGCACCACATGGTCAAGCAGCAGCCCCTCACGAAGCGCGTCTTCCAAGTGCTGACGGCGAACCTGGCCCAGGATATGCTGGAGTGCATCCGCGCAATCGACTCTTTCAGCGTGGGCGGCATGCTGCAGTGTGTCCTTGAGACACTGGTGATCAGCCAGACATTGCAGATGTACCTGACCCCGCCCACCAGCGAGTGCCTCCGCCTGCTGCACAGCTACGTGCGGTCGGCGTTCGAGCGCACGCAGGAAAGGGCCAAACGGGTTGCTGCCCAGCAAGGCCGCTCAGTGTCAGAACCACCTGCTGGTAGCCTGCGCGAGGTCGATGGGGTCGCGCTGACCAGCGAGCACTGGGACATTATTCACAAGCTCTTGCGCGACTGCACGCGCCGCACCCAGATCCAGTTCCGCTGCTTCCAGCAGCAAACACCGTCACCATAGTGTTCCCAGCCATTTGCAGTACTTTTTTTTACGTTTTTTACGTTTTGCTCTTTGGCTTTTTTTTGCAATTACGCGACAAAAATCCAAAATTTAAAGCCTCGCATTTTCCACATCAGGAACTGACCAATCGAAGCGTTGGCTTTTGTCGCGTCAAGGGGTAGTATTCCCAATTTCCCAATCGCGAGCCACGGTAAGCGCGAAATTGCTTACCTAGGAATTATTTGTCGCTTTTTTTTGCCCTCACACGCGTAAAACTACAAAACAAATAAATCGAAAATGTAGCCGCATCGTTCATTCTCCCTGCGTGCAAAGCCAAAAAAAAGTACATTTCGAATTTTTTTCATCCTCAATCCTGTTTTTCAGCCCCCGCCTTGAAATTGGATTACAGTGGAGTGGGAGAGCCAGCATTAATAGTACAAGGCTCGTCGCGGTCCTAGGTTCTGCTTTACAAGTATCTCTTTTTTTGCCTTTTCGAATATCAGCTTTTCTGCCCTTGCCCTGGTGCTGCAATTCCCACACTGTTCACAAATTTAATTTTTTCCTCGCGCTCGGTCAGTCCAGAACAGAACAGTCGGTTGGCGCCCACATACATTATATTCCTGCACATAAGTTGGTGTTGCACCTTAGCCTGACAAATATGCATAATGGTACCCAAGAGCAACAAAGAAAACAGCATCAGCAGCGTGGACCCGGCAGCGCCTGCTGACATACCAGCATGGGCTGGCGCAAGTGCCCTTAGGCGCATATCCACCCGTTCACAGACCAGCCTGTCAGCCGCATCGACAAAGAAGGACCATCATCGTCGCCATTAACAATAACAGTAGCGGCAACATCCAAGTCATCTCTCAAACGTGGACTGTGTGAGGTTCCGGATAATGCGTGCATGGATCAGTTTGTGGACAAGACCAAGCGGGCCATAAAGCGCGGGTGCGCAGAAATTGGCATTCGCAAATACGCGTCATTATCCTCAATGTCGGCCAAGCACGCCAAAACCGCAGGCACTGCCCCTGCTGAGCCCGCTGCTACCAACACCAGCGCCAAGCCTACAGCCGATTCTGCATTTGCTTTTGCTTCTGTACTCACTGCCAGCCAGCCGCTCGCTGCTGAATCTACTGCTACACAGACTACACATGCTGCGCGCAAGCCGTCAGGCTCTTTGCGAAAGTACCCTGCATTTGACACCCGCGAGGCCAGCAGCCAAGAACTGTCGTCCGAGGCAACCGTTATTTTGCTGCACTCTGACTACACAGTGCAAGAGGATGACGAAGAAGAAGAAGAGGAGAAAGGAGATGTCAGCATTGGAATATTGACGGCTAACACCTCGATTTATAAGGGCTTCACTGCTGGCGCATCGGTTCTTGAATCGCAAATGACGATTATTGCGCCGTCATCGCCCATACATTTGCCGGCGCTTGTCGAAGACGAAGAGACATTCGAGACTAAAGAGTCTCAGTTTTCCATTAAGGCCCTGCAGCCAGTGGTCATCACGAAGTATACAGATTTGTCTGAGACATTCACGGAGCTTGCCGAGCTGCTGTTCAGCATCGAGGGAAAATATAACGTTGGGTTGGAGGTCGGACTGTCGCGGCACCCCAAATGTCACTGCGGATGCGCCCGATTCTGGTCGATTGGCTCAGCGAGGTTGCGGCCGACTACGCATGTACCGCCAGACGCTGCATTTGACTGTGCAGTATCTGGACCGGTTCCTGACGCACACCAGTCTGGTGGTCGATCCCAGTATGCTGCAGTGTTACGGCACGGCGTGCCTCTCTATCGCAATGAAGGCCGAGGAGCACCGCGTGCCGTCACTGTCGGAGCTCACCGACTTTTCCAAGGACGCGTTCACGCGCGACCAGCTGAAGCATGCCGAGATCGATGTGCTCACTGCGCTAGGCTGGCACCTAGCAGCCCCTACGATATTCGAGTTCCTCAGTCTGACGTTCCAGCGTGCCGCGCTAGAGTTCCCCAGCCAGTTTGCCGACCCAACAATACTTGGCGAACTCGATCCCGAATGGCAGACGCAGGAATGCCCGGCAGCCATTGCCAGGCGGTTTGACGCGCGGCAGTTTGCTATTGCTTGCGATTACGCTGACGCGCTGCTCCACTGCCAGAACGCCCAGCGGTTTTAGGATCTGAACTGGCAGCCGCATGCTTCTATCTGGGCACGACTCCCAATAATCTTGATGGCACCATGTTCAAGCAGTGCACTGGTTACTCGTTTGTGGACGTCTGGCCTGCTATTTTGCATGTCAAGCGCATCAGAGCTGCGCTCGATACTGAGTCGGCCTCGTCGCTGTGCGCAAAGCAGTGCTGTGAGACTAAGGACCGGTATGTAACCCATTACATGTACATACGCCCGGCCGAGCTGTGGGCCATGCAGCCGCACCACGCCCACCTGCTGGGCGAATTTGAGGATGCGTTCGCAGTGATAGCAGAGGAGCCCTACTAAGCGTTTTTATCTTGTATCTGTGTGTGTATGTCAAAAACATTGTATTTTCCTTTTAAGATTGCAGACTACACTAAAAGAAAAGAATGAGGGTACAAGTACCCTGCAAAATAACATCCTTCCCCAGATATATTGACTAGCAACCTGCCGGTGTTTAGAAATTAGTGGCAATAGACCACTATGGTTGACGATATTAATCAGTTCGCTGCATCTTTTGAAGAGAAGCAGGGGAGGTTGATTATTGCGCACACGCTTGGGCTTTGGCTTTGGCTTGGACTTTGGTTTGAGCAGAGTCTCAAGTGTCGCTGTAGACTCGGGTTCAGCAGACTCTGACGATGCCTTTTTGCGTGAAAACGGGTTTGAAAATCCCCCGCTTAAAAATCTGGACCTTTGCTATAAACGTCTGGAAATTCTAAAAAAATACATTTACACCAATACAGTGTGCAGCACAAAGCGGCTGCTGCGCCAGAACGCTTTCAGGCCAAGGCTTTTCTACGTTTTCTTTCGGGTTCTTTCATTTTCCACGAAAGCGGTAGCACTAGGATTTTATAAAGCGGATGCCACTTCTTCCCGAGATGACCAGCATCCAGCTATGAAAAGCGCCTTTGCCGACGATTACCAGCTTTCTGTGCTTGCAATTTCACATTTTATATTTTTTTCATTCTTTCAATTACCACATTCCAAAACACTTCAAAACCACACTCAAAATGCACAAATGCACGAGAAACGGCTGCGGCTTAGAGTTTGACGAGACGATCAACGACCCCCTTGCGTGCCAGTACCACCCTGGCAAGCCTGAATTCCATGAGGGTTTGAAGGGCTGGACGTGCTGCAAGCCGCGGGTGTACTCGTTCGATGAGTTTATGGACATCAAGGGCTGCCAGTTGGCCCCGCACTCGAGCGAGCCCAAGAACAAGGACGATCCCTTCAAGGCAGACCTGACAAAGCACGACGATGTGCTGCCGGAGCTACAGAGTACAGCCGATGAGAATGCGGAATCCAAAGCGGCGCCGCAGCACCGGCGCCGCCAGTGGCGCTGGCAGCACCAGCAAAGGCGCCGGAGCCAGAGCCCATCGATGAGGACCCGTCCGGAATACTGGTCCCTGCGGGCATGCAGTGCAAGCGCAATGGGTGCACTGCGGTCTACGTATCTGAGGACGAGTCGCACCAGGACGGGCAGTGTCAGTTCCACCCGGGCAACGCGCTGTTCCACGAGGGCAACAAGGGCTGGACGTGCTGCCGGCCTCGGGCCACCGAGTTTGACGAGTTCCTGCGCATCAAGGGTTGCGCGCGCGGCCGCCACTTGTTTGTCGGCACGCGGCCTGACAAGAAGGCGCAGGCTGAGAAGTGCCGCCGTGACTACTACCAAAGTGGCACCAGTGTCATTGTCTCTATCTACGCCAAGAAGATCGACCGCGAAGCGAGCTGGATAAAGTTTGTACCTCGCGCACTGCAGGTACACTTGGTGTACGGCGAGGACAAGGTCTATGATGATGAGATTGAGCTCTACGACGAGATCGACCCCACTGCATCTTCGTTTGAGTTCTTGTCGACCAAGGCTGAGGTTACACTGGTCAAGGTTGCTCAGGCCCAGTGGCCTACTCTTGAGGGCGCTTCGGCGTAGTCTGAACCAACAAACTATTTAATTACAGCAGCAAACATTAGGACTTTTAAGCAGCATTCCAACAATGGTCTCTTTTTTGCCGAGGTGCCTGCTGCATTACACTAATGTAAATGGAATTTGGAATTTCCAGACATTTATAGCAAAATTCTAGATTTTTAAGCGGGGGGTTTTCAAAACCCGTTTCCCTAGTTTTTAGCCTAAAAATCAGAAAGTTCAGATTTTTGAAGATGCAGGGAAGTATTTAGCGCTTATGTCTGACTGGTGCTTTGACTATAGGTTAAATGTGATGTTTAAAATGTAACTATATTCATCCAATTCTGTCGCAGCTGCAACCAACGCCGCTGTTGATTATGTCACAGCAGCTGCGGGTGGGCTGGCTGAGCGGAATCGGGAGCAGTACATTAATATCCAGCCTGCTGATAATCTCAAGCGCATTGCCAGGCTGAGCAGCTGGTCGCAGGGCAAGATCGAGCGCAAAATCAGACAGAGGATGCGCAATGAGTTGGCCGCACAGCAGCAGCAGGAGCAGGAGCAGGTAGCCGCAACAGGCATAAATATAATCCCGGCAGCAGAAAAACTTTGCTAAATTTTATGACATGGCTTGCTCCAGTGAATAATGGAAAACTGCCTACAAACCTTCAGGGCTGACGGAACGCGGGTTGAGGATGGCGAAAAAGTGCCATTAGGCAGACGGAAGTGGAATAATCGCGACATGGCCGCAGTGCTAAACTTTTGCATCATCCTTAATGCCCTGTTTACAGGCAAGCGTCCTCTCTGTTTTTCACGCAAAAAGGCATTGTCAGAGTTGGCTGAACCTGAGTATAGATCGATGCTCAAGTCAAAGCCCAAGCCCAAGTGTGCGCACAAGAAGCAATCTGACCCTGCTTCTTCTCTTCAAAGAAGCAGCAAACTGGATAATATCATCAACCATAGTGATCTATTGCCACTAGTTTCTAAATACCCGGCAGGTTGCTAGTCAATATATCTGGGGAAATGATGTTGTTTTGCAGGGTACTTGTACCCTCATTCTTTTCTTCTAGTGTCCTTTTCTATTCTGGGTCTTTGCCTTAAAGGTCACACCATCATCCATTGTGCGTCGATCACTCGGGCAGACACAAAAAGATAACTACGGAAAGTGCAACGGTTGCCGCCGGTCTTTGCCGTGGACAAATAATGTTGCTGTTGACTCAATAAAATGTATTTCAAACATGTCTTTTTCGAAAAAAGTAAACTGCTTATTCCTTGAGCTTCTTGGTACCGCGCAGGAGACCAGTGCGGCGAGCAGCAATAAGACCAACCTTCTGTCCGGGAACGGAGCTACGGGCAACGGTCGAAGCCTTACCAATGTGCTGGTGGTTACCACCACCGTGGACGTGATCAACGGGGTTCATAGCAACACCACGAGTCTTAGGCCACGAGTTGCGCTTGGCACGGAACTTGTAGAAAGCACGACCAGCCTTAAGCAGGGGCTTCTCGGTACGGCCACCACCGGCAACGATACCAATGGTACCGCGGCAGTCAGACTTAAGAGCCTTCATGTGACCCGAGGGGAGCTTGACACGGGTAATGCCATCCTCAACTCTGTGGCCAATGACGGTGGCGTAGTTACCGGAGGTACGGGCGAGCGAGCCACGGTCACCGGGTCTCTCCTCAATGTTCGAGACAATGGTACCCTCGGGCATCTTTCCAACGGGGAGGGTGTTACCAATAACAAGCTGAGCGGTCTTACCGCAGAACACGAACTGGCCGGTGTACATGCCCTCAGTGGCGATGAACAGCTCAGTGCGGGTCTTGAAGCGGTAGGGGTCACGGAACTGACCTTGGCGAGGGGGGCACCGCGTCCGGGATCGTGGATAATCTCCTTGACCAGGCCACGGATGTAGCCGTTGCGCTCGGAGAAGTCGATCGAGCGGAGCTTGGCGGCGCCCTTACGGCGGTGAGTGCGGGACGTGAAGATGGACCCGGCACCCTTACGCTGACTTCTGATGACTCTACCCATGGTGAGATATTAGTGCCTACAGAAAAATATACAAGTCGAATTGCGTGTGCACAAATCGCCAAAAGTTGCTGATTGTTAGTTTTTTCGTTTCTCCTTGTCTTTTTCTAACGCAAATATAGCGCTGTGACATAGTCAAACAGGTAAGCAACAGCTGTGTCTGCAATAGATCGCCGCTCAGAGATTTAATGATGTATGTAGTGAGTTGTTGTTGTAAACTGGGGCTGAGAGCTGAGAGCTAGACCAAAGAGTTAAGCCAAACTTCGTGTAGTGTGGCGTTGCAAACAGTATTTCGTCTGCAAGCAGCACTAGCATTTGCAATCGGAGTGCTGAATTATGAATTTCAGGTCGTAATGTCGCAAATGCAAAATAACGCCGTCTAAATCAAATTCCAAAATTCCAATTTACTGTCTGCCTCCACCCGCCCCCTCTCATTTATGCTGATCGTCCCCAATTACGGCACCTGCAACACTGTCTGAATCCATCCCGCGTTAATCTCTGTGCATCCATCAGCCCAACGTCGCGTGTCTCCTGGTGTATCCATCTCTGAAATACGCATAGCAAGCGTGTGTATTATGTCCCGTTTGTGCTGATGGATTCGGCGACGGCCCAGAATGTATTATCCAGTACTTATTACGATGACCCACCTGTGTGTGATATAATGGATATACCGAGGGAATGAGAAAGAGTGAACCTTCAGGCTGAAACAGCAAAGGCTCGAAAAATACCAAACTCGCTGGGCCCTCGAACTTCGGCTTCGGCCAGGCAAAAAAAAGTGTGGGGATGAGGGCAAAACAACGCTTTGAAATAGGTATTTACCAGCCAGCAAATGGGCGGCCCTCGCGGAATTTATGAGCGAGCCGTACTGAGCCGAGCTGGGATGTCGGCTGCAGCATCTGTTGATCAGACGCTAACTGTTGGTTGCCAGTGTTGCTGCGCTTTCAGACTCAGGTGCTGTTTACCAAAAAATAATAAATAAATGTAGCAAAATAGCATGCAATTCAACGAGTAACTTCAAGAGCAGCCGCAAAAAAACAAATAAAGACGCTAAGCCGAGTCCTAAGCATGTAAGTATAATCACAAATATCCCAGCGCAACTCGGCACATCTCAGCACGCGCAGTTCGATGCATCAGTCGCCTTCGGGCTGTTGGCGTTCAGGGCAACGTCGATCATGGAAGTGCGGTTGGCCTCGTTGATGCTGGCGTCCATTCCAGGCAGGGCCTGCGCGATCTTTTTAAACAGGGCCTTGACGTTGTGGCCGGCCTTTGCGCTGGTCTCCATAACATGACGTTGAGATCGCGCGCCTTCTTCTCACCCTCCTCAGTGGACACCTGCCGCGATTCGTTGAGATCAGTCTTGTTGCCGACAAGCACGATAATCACGTCGTTTCCGCGCTCGGCGCGCACATCATCGATCCATCTTGATGTCTGCGAAAAGGACTCGCGGTTTGTGATGTCGTAGATGACCAGTGCCACGGATGAGTCGCGGATATAGCTGGGAATCAGACTCCGGAACCGCTCCTGGCCGGCGGTGTCCCACAGCTGGAGCCGCACAGTGCGGTCCTCAAGATACATAGTCTTGGACAAAAAGTCAATGCCGATGGTCGCCTGGTATGTTGTGTCGAATGTGTCGTACATGAACCGGGTGATGATCGAGGTCTTTCCAACTACACATTAAAAAAGAGTACAACCAGAGTGATATTGAGATATGTGTCTTGGGGTCGTTTAACTTGGCGCCTGCACAGACAAAGCTACAACAGAAGCAAAGCACAAACAGTTACATCGGCCTTGTCAGGTCGGCGGTCCTCAGGCATGTCCATTGCTCTTTGTTTTTGCTTTTGGTACTTACCGCTCTGCTCGCCAAGGAAGACCAGCTTGTACTTGCTCAGAGGATTCGTGCCATCTTGTGCTGCCATTGTAATGTGATTGTTTACGTTGTAAGGTTTATGTGTGTTTGTATGTGTACGAATAAGTATCAGGTAGTGTAAATGGAGAGGTGATGGTAAAGTTTGCAAATTGCAGAAAATTAAGATGAGAATACAAAAACACAGTGGTGTTGTGTACCAAAAATAAAAAATCTAATTAAAGCAAAGAGCGGCATAACAAAAGAGTGTTTTTATCTTTGTACCTGGTCGCTCTCTTTCTATGTCGCTGAAACTTTTTTATCACTCCGCACCTGTAATCAAGATCTTGGGAGTGGACCGAGCTGAGTAGGAATCAAGAGCGTACGAGCCCAGAAGCGATGTTTGAAAATATAACATGTTTGCTTTTTTGTTATTTAAAACGGCTTGGTCAGCATCCAAGGCGTGGGCGCTGCGGGGCTCTCTCCTTTCTTCCCCTGGTGCTCACATCTTTTTCTTTTGGTAACTGTGGTTCTGTGACGATGACGGCGACAATGATGATAATGAGGAGAGAGTTGGCGCAAAAACAGGATTTAGGGCAGTCTAAAAATCAAATCAAAATCAAAGTAGCAAATAAAAAAATTGGGGACGACCATTTTCAAAAGAGTCGAGGACCAAGACTACGGGCCACAGCACGCCACGTCCACGACCACGATCATGTCCACGTTCCTTTCTTCCTCTCTGTTTTGCCTTTTGAACAGTATACGTCTTTAACACATTATTATATTTTTATTCCTTTGTCACACAGGAATTCGCTTGCACTTTCTTGCTTTTTGACAATAGACTTTGAGCAAAATATAGCGAAAATGGGACGCGGCGGAAGAAAGAACAAGGGCGGTAGCAGAGGCGGCAGGGGCGGAAGCCACGTTAGCGTAAGTTTTTAGCGGCGTTGATTGGCCACCAAGCATGCTGCTTGTGAGTGAAGTTTTTTGCTAATTTTTTTGCTAATTTTGCTGCGTATTCATAGGGAGAAAGGCAGACGTACAAGAGCTTCAACGACCTGCGCCGCGACAACGACAACTTCCGCAAATACTATACGGCGCAAAAGATTGTCAGCGAGGAGGAGTTCCCCGTGCTTATGGAGGCCATGCGCACGGTGCTGCCGACCAACTTCCGTATCACTGGGTCGCGGCAGCAGGCCGTGGATATCCGCGAGCAGATCATCAACGAGTTCATCCCGTACTTCAAGGACATCACCATCGAGGGCGCTGAGATTGAGCCGCCGCACCCGCTGGAGTGGTACCCCAACAACTTTGGGTGGCAGTTCACGATCCCGCGCGTTGCGCTGAAGAAGTCGAAGGAGCTGAGCAAGTTTCACTCGTTCCTGGTCACCGAGACCGAGGTCGGCAACATCAGCCGGCAGGAGGCCGTCAGCATGGTGCCGCCACTGTTCCTGGACGTGCGCCCGGACCACTACGTGCTGGACATGTGCGCGGCGCCCGGGTCTAAGACCGCGCAGCTGATCGAGGCGCTGCACAGCGGCGTCGATGCCGGTCAGACACCCGGCGGCCTGGTCATTGCCAACGACGCCGACTACAAACGCGCGTGTATGCTGGTGCACCAGGTGAACCGGCTCAACAGCCCTAACATCGTTGTCACCAACCACAGCGGCGAGCGCTTCCCCAACATCTACCGCAGCACGGAGGGTAGCGGCCCGCGCCAGATTGTGCAGTTCGACCGCATCCTTTGCGACGTGCCCTGCAGCGGCGACGGCACCACGCGCAAGAACGTGCGCGTGTGGGAGAAGTGGAGACCCGACGACGCGTACGCGCTCAACCCTATCCAGTCCAAGATCCTACAGCGCGCCGCGTACCTGCTCAAGACCGGTGGCCGCCTGGTCTACTCGACGTGCTCGCTCAACCCCATCGAGAACGAGGCCGTTGTCGCACACGTGATGGACCACTTCGAGGGTGCACTCAGGCTGGTCGATGTCAGCAATCAGATGCCGGCCCTCAAGCGCCGCCCGGGCCTCGACACCTGGAAGGTGATGACGCGCGACGGTGTCCTGCACGACACATTCGAGGCCATGCCTCTCGAGACTGCCGGCCGTCGCAAACACATGCATAAGTTCTTCCCGCTTGAGCCCAAGCGCATGGAGGAGATGCATATCGACCGCTGCATGCGCATCTACTCGCACCTGCAGAACACTGGCGGTTTCTTTGTCGCCGTGCTCGAGAAGGTCGCGCCCATAAGCGTTGATGAGAAGAAGAAGGCTGCTGCTGAGCACGCCATCCTCGTTGCCGCGACCGAGAAGGCCAGGGCGCAGGCCAAGGAGCTTGCCAAGGCGGCCATGGATGTTGAGACCGAGACTGAGGGCGCTTCCGCCACCAAACGAGTGGCCAATGATGCCGACGCCGCTGATGCCAAGCGCGTTAAGGGTAAGTTCTATGTCTGCCGCAGCTGTGTATCTGTATTTGTATCTGTATTCATATTCGTATTGCGCTGTTGCTAATTGTGTGATGCCCTGAATCACTCTCTCTACTGCTTTGAATGTAGTCGACATTGCCGCCGCTTCTGATGTAGATGATGATGAGAACGAGGACTATATCGTTGATGGCGATGACAAGGAGGCTAAGGGTCACAGTGGGCCCTACCTCCCGGACAACCCCCGCGAGGATCCGGCGCTGCCCGAGAACCCATTTGTGTTCCTTGACGCTAATGAAGGCGAGCTGAAGACTATTCTGGACTACTATGGCGTCAAGGACACCCTGTCGCGGAACGGGTTCCTTAGCCGCATCGAGAACGACGCGTTCCGGTCGGTGTACAACGTGTCCGACTCTGTGCGCGAGCTCATGGGCTTGCTGGCCAGCGCCTGCGGGTCGTCAACACGGGCATCCGGGTGTTTAGCCGCAACTGCGTCAAGGACGCCGGGTGTGCTTTCAGGCTTGTGTGCGAGGGCGTACCGCAGATTCTGCCGCATTTGCCCGACAGGTGCGTGCTCAACGTGTCATTCAACGACCTCAAGACCCTGCTGGAGCAGGTGAACCCGCTGCTGACTGCGCTGTCCGAGGAGAGCCAGGAGCGCATAAGAATGTCATGCCGTCGTCCAGCATCATTGTGCGCTACGACCCGGTGGCGCGTGCTGGCGATGCCGAGCAGCCGTTCACGCGGCTGACGGCTGTGCTGACCATTCCCTGCTGGCGGGACATGCGTCGCTCAGCGTGCACATGGACAAGAACCAGCTGTGCTCTTTGATCCACCGCGTGCTTGGCCGGTACATTGACAGAAACGCTGTCGGTGGGCTGAAGCTGGCCAACAACACGCGGTCGCAAGAACCGGCGGCCGAGGCCGGGGCTGAAGTTGAAGTTGAAGCCAAGGTTGAAGCCGATGCTGCTGTCGATACGAGGAGGTTGCGGCAGAGTAGACGCGAATCAATGCCTGGGCTCGATACTATTCTTACTATTTTCTTTCCATTCTTTTTTATTAGTGCGCGTGCGCAAAGCGTGTGTTTCTTACGATTATTGTCCAACTTGATCTAGAACGTGATGTGATCCAGAATCACTATGAATCTAGATCAACACTCCACAGTAACAGATCTCCACCTGTAGGGGTAAACCTTTGAGATTGTGCTTATGCACCTACGCACTTTTAATACCTTCACCAAAGTTGGGGGGAAGCAGTACACACATATGAACCATTCATAAGCATTTTTAGCAGCAGATTAAAAGTGGCGAAAAAGTGCATCAGGCAGACATAAGTCTAACAATCGTGGTGCTGAGCTTTTGCATCATATTCAATGCCCTGCTTACAGGCAAGCAAGCCTCCCCGTTTTTTCTGTGAAAAAGGCACCGTTCGAGCTGGCTGAACCCAAGTATACAACAGCACCCGAGACTTTTCCCGAGACCTTGCCCAAGCCAAAGCCAAGCCCAACTTTCTTCGCAAGAAGCAGCAAACTGGATAATATCTTTAAACATAGTGGACTGTTTATTGCCCCTAGCTCCTAGTTCCTAGTTCTTAAGCACGTGCCAAGTTGCTATGTAATCAGGATGGGAAAGAAAAATGTCAATTTGCAGGATATTTGAATTTTTATATATATTTGCAGTCTCATTGTTATTTCAGTGTGGCCGAGCCTCAGTCACATGTGATAACAGACAAATCTCTGAGCTTCTGGCGTGTGAACTCTGCAGGAGCTCCTCCTGCTGTGCCTGGCCCGATCTTGCCCTCCTTGCCTGCCTGTTTGCCTGCCTGCCTGCCTGCCTGCTCTGGCTTGCTTATCAGCAGCCCCCCTCGCCACTCTTTATCTTTTAGTCTGCGCATATTTACAATTTTTCCCCCTCATTTCTTTTTTTTTCATACTATATTTTTTGTACGCACATTTATACACCGCACACACTTTAAAGTGCCAAAGAACCCTATTATTCAATTGTAACAATAAATTAAGGAAAATGTCTAGCCTTCGGATTCTGGTGGGAGTCAAGCGCGTTGTGGATTCGGCAGTCAAAGTGCGTGTCAACAGCGCACAGACTGGGGTTGAGACGGCCAACGTGAAGCACAGCATGAACCCATTCGACGAGATAGCGGTGGAGGAGGCGATCCGCCTGCGCGAGAAGCACGGCAAGGATATCGTGCAGGAGATCATTGCGGTGTCCTGCGGCCCAGCCAAGGCACAGGAGACGCTGCGCACGGCACTGGCAATGGGTGCGGACCGCGCGATCCACGTCAAGACCGACGACAACCTGGAGCCGCTGTCCGTGGCCAAGCTGCTGAGCAAGATCATTGGCGAGGAGAAGCCGTCCCTTGTGATCCTGGGCAAGCAGGCGATTGACGACGACTCGAACCAGACGGGGCAGATGCTCGCAGGGCTCCTCAACTGGCCGCAGGCGACGTTTGCATCCAAGGTGGACATCAAGGACGGGGCGCTGGAGGTTGTGCGCGAGGTGGATGGCGGGCTGGAGACGGTGTCGTCTTCGCTGCCGGCGGTTGTCACGACGGACTTGCGGCTGAACGAGCCCCGGTACGCGTCGCTGCCCAACATCATGAAGGCAAGAAGAAGCCGCTCAAGACCGTGTCGCCCGCCGACCTCGGCGTGGACATCAGGAGCCGGCTGCAGACGCTCAAGGTGACGGAGCCGGCCAAGCGCCAGGGCGGCAAGATGGTTGCCAGTGTGGACGAGCTGCTGGACAAGCTGCGCAACGAGGCCAAGGTGCTGTGAGGGGGGAGGGGGAAGGAGGGCGAATCAGATGCCTTGGAGTTTATTCTAGAGATAAACTCCAAGTGGTGAGAAATATTATTTTTTCCAGTGAGTGGGCATGGTTGCTTTTTTGCGTTTTTTATCTCTCTTCTCTTTGTCGATAAAAGATTTATTTTTCATTATTGCGAAATTCACAGCTGCACCCGCCACAGCACGACACGGAACGACACGACGCGACGCGACACAGCACGCCCGCAACACAGCACGGCACAGCACGCCGCAACACCAGGCACCAGCACGCCGCAACACCAGCCACAGCACAGCACACCGCACAGAACCTAGACATATATTAGCACACCCGCACCCATGCATCCGCAGCTCGCCGACCACCTGAACCCGGGTGCATCGACCTCGCCACAAGCTCATGAACTGCCACGCCGACCACAGGTGGGCCAAGTTCCTGGGCAAGTGCAATGCGGTGAGCGAGGCGCTGAACAAGTGCCTGGGCGCCGAGTTCGAGGTGCGGCGCAAGCAGCAGCTGATCGAGGCGCGCGCGCGCAAGGCGCTGTTCAAGGAGCAGATGGACCGGCTGAAGGACGACGACGCGCAGCAGCGGGCGTTCGAGCAGCAGCAGGCGTCCGGCCAGCAGCGGGAGGGGCGTGATTTTAGGGATTTGGGATTAGGCCTTTGTTTGATCTGAAATAAAATCTAATTAAATGATCTCCTCGTCGCTGGCGTGCATGCGCCGGTGGCGCGTCACCTGGTCGGGGCGCGAGAAGGCCTTGGCGCAGGCCGGCTGCGGGCAGCGGAACGGCCGCTCGCCCGTGTGGATGCGCATGTGCTTGGTGAGGTTGGACGACTCGGCGAAGCGGCGGTCGCAGCCCTGGAAGCGGCACTGGTACGGCCGCTCGCCCGTGTGCGTGCGGCGGTGGATGGTCAGCGCCGACGCCACGGCGAAGTCCTTGCCGCACCCGGCCTGCGCGCACTTGAACGGCCGCTCGCCCGTGTGCACGCGCCGGTGCTGCGCCATGATGTGCGCCTCGCTGAAGCGCTTGCCGCACGCGTCGCACGCGAACGGCTTGGCGCCCGTGTGCGTCTGCATGTGCCGCAGCGCGCGCTGCCGCTGCGCAAACGGCCGCTCGCCGCGCTCGCACCCGCCCCACGCGCACGTGTAGTTGCTGCGCCCCGACCCCACGTGCTCCGCCGCCACGTGCTCGGTCAGCGCCGCAATGCCGACGTACGTGCCGGAGCACCCGACCCACCCGCAGCGGTGCCGCACCTGCCCGGCCTGCAGGTGGTCGCGGCAGACGTGGTCCATAAGCGCGTCGACGCCGGCGTCGGCCCCAAGCATGGGCCCGGGCATGGTCCCGGCCCCCGCCGTGCACGCCGCCCACCGGCACACCAGCGCCGCGCCGCCGCGGTTCGTCGCCACGTGCAGCCTGTACACGTGCCGCACCAGCTCGTCGACCGTCGCAAACGCCTGCGAGCACGTTGCCCACAGGCACCGCTGCACTGCCGCGCCCAGCGCGCCGATCGCCGGCCCCAGCCCGAGCGCACTGAGCGACGGCAGCGTCAGCGGCCGCGCGCACCCGGCGCTCGCGCACGCATCAAAGCCCGGGCCCACCGCAGAAGCCGATCCTGCCGGCGCCACCGCGTGGGTGTGCAGCGGGGGGAGCCGCGCGGACGAATCGAACAGGCCGTCGCCGCTGGCCATGTCGCTGCTGCCTTGCGCAGATGAAGAAGGTGAAGTGCCGCTGCCAAACATGTCTTTTGTGTATGGTGCGTCTCCATCCATCGTCCTAACCACTGTAGTCTTTATGAGATTCGAATAAGTGTGCCGCCTCTATGGCTCGAGTTGCTGAACGTGTCTTTGTGTGCTGTGCCCGGTCTGTTCCAGCCGACATAGTCTCAGAAACCGCCGAGATTCCACAGTGTCTGCCTGCCTGTCTTGTTTGTGTCTGTTGACCTTTGGCCTTGGACCTTTGACCTTTGACCTTTGACCTTTGGCCTTTGACCTTTGACCTTTGACCTTTGACCTTTGACCTTTGACCTTTGGCCTTTGACCTTTTCCAGTTGCCAGTTGCCAGCTGCCGGCTGCCAGTTGTCCTGTGTTGGTGCGATAATAGTACGGAGCCAAGAACCCAAAGGGCGTGCTTTATAGAGTAAAAATAAACTTAAAACGGAGGGTCTGAAGTTGCAAAATAAAAATAAAAGAACAGAAAAAGAAAATTTGCTTGGCTTGGCCGCCCTCCCCCTTTTCACTCCCCCTGTGTACGAACGAGCCTTTTCTTCTCTCTCACTCATTCTTTGCTGCCTTTGGCGCCCAACCACACACCCCGTGCAGCTCGCTCACGTGAAGTGACGGCCCTCCATTGGTTGCATTCAGGTCCATAAAGGACCGAGGGGGGAGAAAAAGAAAAAGAAACAAACAGCCATCTTTGCTCTTTTTTCCAAAGCGCCTTTAAAACCTTGCGACGTGGCGCTTTGAGAATCTCAAATAAAAAACAGGACCGGATGATATTTATTTTGAGTTGCCGCATGCGTGCCTGCCTGCCTGCCTGCCTGCCTGCCTTTCCTTTCTTTTTTCTCTCTTTTATCTTAGTTTTTCATTTCTTGACTTTACCAAAAAGCTGCCAATTTCATAACCTTAACCTTGTCTTGCATTTATTATCACTCACATAACAACCACACAACCACCCACTCGCTCACGCCCTCACGCCAAAAAAACATCCCCCAACACCAGCAATGAACCTCTTTCGGCTTGTCGCCGACCTCCTCCATTTGGGGTCCATTTTCATTTTAATTGCCAGATTGAACCAGACAAAATCATGCTCTGGAATCTCACTAAAGACCCAGGGCCTCTACCTCATGGTCTTCGTCACCCGCTACCTGGACCTGTTCTTCTCCTTCGTGTCGGTTTACAACACGCTCATGAAGATATTCTTCCTTGTCTCGGCGGGCTACATTGTGTACCTTATGACTGGCTCGCTGAAGACCACATACGACAAGAACCTTGACTCGTTCCGCGTCGAGTTCCTTATCGGCGGTGCTGCGCTCTTTGCTTTGCTGTTCCCACACAAGTACACCATCCTTGAGGTGCTGTGGTCCTTCTCGATCTACCTCGAGGCCGTGGCCATCATGCCCCAGCTGTTCCAGATGACCCGCACTGGAGAGGCCGACAACATCACCAGCCACTACATATTTGCCCTCGGCGGATACCGCGCTCTGTACATTGTCAACTGGATCTACCGCTACTACTCCGAAGACAACTACTCCGATTACATTGCGTGGGTCTCAGGCGTTGTGCAGACTGTCCTCTACGCCGACTTCTTCTACATCTACTTTACGCGTGTGCTCAAGGGAAAAGAGTTCAAGCTCCCCGTCTAGTTCTAATATTTTTTGTTTTGGCTTTGGCTTTGGCCTTGGCTTTGGCTTTGGCTTTAAACACCCTCATTTTCAGCCTTTGCCAACATCTATTTTATTCTTTCGCTCACACTTGTTACAAATACACTGCGAAATTTAAACAAAAAATTGGTGCTTCTGTGATGGTTTCATGCAACATGACAATCGGTCTTGCCACGCTTCGTTCAACAAAACAAAGCTGATTAAAAAAGAAGCTGCGATGCAAACGAAACGAAACAATGGCGCTGTGCCACCCACTCATCCGTCCCGCTACGAGCTCTTCGGCGGCCGCTTCTTGTTCTGATTTGTCTTTTTGGCATTGCGTAGCAACGCCGCCTGCGCCGCCGCCTCCTTTGGGTTCAATGGCGCGCTTCCCTCATGGCGTTGGCCGTCGGAATAAGCGGGAGAAGAATGGGAAGCCAAAGATGCTGCGCCAAGTGTGCGCCCCCCCTCTCTAAACGCCATAGGATTAGGAGCCGGTGTGTAATTTGTCGACGCCTGGGCCCGCCAAACCCAAATCCACGGACATGTCCTTGTGCTCTGCCCCCGCCCCTGTCCCTGCCAACAGTGCTGCCGCTGCTGGACTCGGTGACGCTGGCTGTGCCCCTGTGGCCAATGACCTCCCTTGTCCTGGAAACTTTTTGCTCGAGCATTGCGTCCGAGCTGCCCCGGCCCAGAAAACATTTTGGTCGCAGCCTTGCCTCCGAGGCCTTGCCCGTGCCACCATTTAAACTGAAGCAATTTCCCATTTATTAGTTGTTAGTTTTCGGTGTTGTTGCTGCTGCTACTGGAATTGGACTTGGCAAATTTGGTCTTTTAAAATAGGGCAGCGGTTGTTCAGAATAATAATAACAGAAAATATATAATATTGTGTGAAAACAAAAACCAAAGTGGAAAAAGGGCGCCACGCTCAGCACAACTCAACTAAAAGCATCAAACAAAACCAATTAAAATTGAGCAAAGATACTTGTGTGTTTTTGGCGCAGTCATTTGACACGTTCTCGCGATCAGTTCCGTCGGATTTATGCACTTGCCACCCATGCCTCCAGCTGCCGCTTCAACTTTTGTCGCGAAACAATTTTATACACAAATAAATGTGATGATTTATTCTAGTTAGAAATATAAACAAGGAAGAGCGGCGCTTGCCACTGACGGAGCAAACGCTGCAAAAAAATTTTAATGTGAAGGGGGACAAAAAGGTCTTTATTTTTTTTTTTAGTCGAGCAGACACGATCGGACAAACAGAATGTCGAGAACTCCCAAGCTCAGCGGCGGTTAGGAAAATATGATGATGGTGAAGATGGCGATAATGAAAATGAAGAAGTATACTGTGTCTATACGCCAGAATGCCGAGAAGATTTGTTATTGTACACTGCGATGCGTCGCTGCCATTTGACACCGACTTTGCTATTTTTAAGGCTTTGGGCTACACTCCCCAAGTGACATGAAGACGGGGATGACTCCACAATGCAAATGTGTCTAGATTTCGCACCCGCCCTTGCACAGGATGCAGGTGCACTCGCGGTCACTACTGACGAGGAGGGGCTGCGCATGGGCCCAGGCAGCAGAGGCGGATATGTGAGTGGTGGTGGCAGGCATTTTATGAGGTTTGATGATGGAGATTGGTAATGCGGAGTGGGCTACAAGTAAGTGTCTAATGATATAAAAATGAGAATATTGGTGAAAATGGCGGGGCAGGTAACAGGTACTGGACTCTAGGTAAGAATAATAAAAACGGGAATAGTGAGGATCGGAGTTGCTTAAATACAAAACTTGCATGTCGCCAGCACAAAAAAACCTACCGGACTGGCACAGTTCTTGCCCAAAATGATAACAAATGGTGTCAGCACATTCCAGTGCAGTGCAAAATAGCATTTCCCTTGGTTGCTCATCTCGATTTCTGTCAGGAATCTCCAAAACCTTTCCTGAAGAAGACACGCGCAGCAGCACCAGCACCAGGACCAGCACCAGCACCAGGACCAACATCAGCACCAGTTGCCAGACAATAATGTTTCCTAATATTAAAATGCACCCATTATTGCCCAAACTCCGCTCGCAAGCCGCCCACCCAACCAACAATATGATGGAATGGTGCCGATTGCATGACACCTTGTATCTGTTTTCTCTCCTTGGTCCTCCTTTCATCTGCAAACCAAGTCCAAATCGGGGCATATTAGCTCTCAGCCATCGTCTCACAAACGCAACTATTCCCACCAACGCCCCCAATCCAAAATTTAATATAAATTTAATAAACAATACTGCTATCCGATTTATCGTCCAAAATAGAATGTACCACAAAAATCAAGGTGCTGCACTTCACATCATTGCATTGAGTTCTTGTTTTGGTATTTCTCTAATTCATGTTGTGATAAACATACCAAATAATGGATTCTGACCGATTGCTTAGCAGCAAGGACGCAAATAAGGCACAATTGTACAGCAGACAGCGGCGAAAAGAAAAAATAATAAAAAGGAGAAAATATTTTAGACCCAAACAAAATAAACTGGCTAAACCATGCAGGAAAATCGGTGGGAAAGCCAGCCAACCAGCCAGATAGGCATGCATGCTAACAAGTCAAAACCAGGTTGGCTGACACCAGTCAATACAGCAGAAACTAATTAACGTGCAATAAAAAATTCATCAAGAATTTTGGTGGGGTGGTGTCAAAAACGGAAACAAATTAAGGCATGCAGGTATTTTAATTTGACCCAATTAACAAACAAAAAAGCAAATGCCTAAACATGATTTACCTCAACGCATTTGACTACGTGTGCGAATCGCAACTGGGAAATAAAATCACTTTATTATTTTTTGATTGCTTTTGAAGCAAATTAAAGTTTTGTTTTATATATTTAGACTTTTTTTAATCAAATCTATCCGAATACCGCTCCCGCGGCAGCGAGTGAGAACGATTGACGTATGAATGAAAAATAGATACCCCCAATTTATGGCCGCTTTTATTTTTAGCAGTCAAAAATCTCATCTGCAAACAGTGGTTTGAAGAATTTGGATAGTTGCGAAATACACCCGAAACAGCACCCAGATCAGGACAGGACAAGACAGGACAAAATATCAGCTAATCATGCGCAATGAGCCCTCGGAAAATTAATAATCCGCATTTCATTTTCCAATTTGTTGGCATGCAACCAGAGCTCTACTAACAGTAAATATCACAAAGCTCCTATATCTGAAGAAGTTGCGCCGAGGTCAACTGTATCTGCCGCACACAGTCCAACAGCTTGCGAATCTGCTCAGCCTTGTCGACAGCCTCTTCATAAAGCCGATCGCGCTCCCTTTGCAATCCACCCATCATTGCATCGGAATTTCTGGCCAAAGTATCACTCTCAATGGTTTCTGACTCCAGCATAACAGCCAGTCTCGCGCACGCTCCAATGACACCTTAAACTGGCGTTTGCACTTGTCCAGATCCCTCAATAATGTGCGCGTTTCCTCGTTGCTGACAAACGTATCTATTTGCAACAGCTGCGAGTTTAGTTTGCGTGCCTGGTCGAACAGATGCGCGGTGTCGCGCATGAGGTCCTGGATGGCTGCCGCGGCTTCCTTCATGCTTAGTGTGAGTGTAGGTGTTTGCCTATAAATTTTAAAAGTGACAGCAAAGTTGCGAGTAAATGAGATTTTGAGTTGTTGAAAGGGTGTTAGGTATAAATATGATGAGAACTACCGACTGCTGCTGTCCGCACCGCGCGCTCTGACTTTGAATACAATGTATGGTTGTGTACATACATTTTTTATGGGAACGTGCGGCTTAATGTGTGTTATTTTTATAAGTAATTCATTGGTTTATTTTATTGTTTTTACATGTTTGTGTGGATAATGTGCGAGGGGCCGAGCATCAGTCTCGCCTTGCTGCTGCCTTATCAAGCTGGTGCTTCAGCTGTGTCCTCTGCTCAATCGTAAAGGCAACCTTGTCCCGCGACTCCGATATGCGATGCAAAAACTCGTCGCTGCAAGATAACGACTCCTGAACCAGCTGCAAAAGATTGTCTCGCAGGCGACCTCTTGCAAGCTGTTGCTGTCAATGAGCTCCAAGTCTGCAGTTTCGGGATCATCGCCCAGGAGTATGCTCAAAAAGCGGCGTATGTGCTGATTATATTCGTTCTCTGCTGTCACCAGCTCCATGAGGTTCCATGACATTATCTCGAGAGAATTGTTGTTCAGGCCCTTTTGTACGTGCGACCGGCCCATGGCATCGGGAATATTCTCCAGCGGCCGTGTGGACTCTAATTCAATTGGAAACAACGATAAGCGTGTTTAGCAGTTTGCAAGCAATAAATTAGTGGATATACAAGGTGTCCGGCAATTAGGCGACACTGAATTCGGCTCCAACCCTATACATTTACACATGCATTCACGCACCTTCGATTATATCCTCTGTGTCCTTTGGCAACGGCGCGTGCGGGGTAGCTACAATCTCAAAAACAGTGCAAACGCATAGAAATCGAAGCCCATTTTGTTAGTGGTGTGTTTATCTGAAGCTATGTGTGACGGCTCTACACAGCTAACGATGTGTGTCAACACCAGCGCGTTTGCAAGAGATATTGCGCTTACATCGGTCCCAGATTCTCAGCCTTTCTTCTATGCCCTCGAGCTGGACTGCCTGTGCGTTGCGCGTCAAAGAAGCTAGGTCGATAAAGACAACGAAGATAAGAGAATGTGTTTTTGGAGGGACGAGTAAATTAGCGCTTAAGAATACATAGAATTCCGCGTTGTCGATGCCAAGCAAATATGGCTATGCTATTTACCAAACTGCCTGCGCTCCATGTCAAACGAAGGTGAAAAGTTGCTCGTATCAAACTGGTGGCGGGGGAAAAAGTAGACAAATGCAAGTAATTGCGAAAATGCGAAATATAAAAGGTGACAATTAACTGCTTTTATTTTTGCAATTAAAACCCGAAAAGTGAGAAGAGAAATAAAAGAACAGAAACGGGCAGGTTCAAGTAGGAAAGTCGGGATTGAAAGAAAAGGTGATTCGCGCTTTTTATACGTTTTTCACCAGCCAAACTCAATAACCAGATCAGCCCTGCGTGCCCTCCTCAGTTTCTATAGCCCTGAGGCTGAAAGACATCATTTTAAACCAGACAAAGAACAAAAAGCATAACAAGCATAATATATTCGAAAACAAGTATAAGTAAACTGTGAAAGATGTAAAACAAAGAACAAAAAAATTAGAACAAAAATGACTCCTGCCAGAATCGAACTGGCAAAACCTGTTGTTTTATAACAGGCGTGATCCCAAGCGCTCACAAAGAAGTCTGAATGATTCAGAGAAAAAGTAATGGGCGCGCACAAATACGCAGCCGCCACCAACAACACGAGCGCTCCCGGCGAGTGCCAGTAAGCGCCAGTGTGTTGGCATGCGTGTCGTTTTGGCGGTGCGCTCATAAAGGGGTAGGGCATTTGGTTGACCAAAGTATGGGTGGTGGCGCATGGGAAAGTAAAGTAGAGCAGAGCAAAGGGCGTTAAAGTGAAGGGACGGTTGCTGCACTCGTTGTGTCTAGAGCCTCAATCCACCTCCGATGGCCATCGTCCTGAGGGCGCTCTGGGAGGTGGGGTAGAACTCAGTCTCGACAGGCTCGTCGACCAGATCTCCGAAAATAAGCTCCTGGTCGCTGGTGTCGTCGAGCTCGTTGATGTTGCTGATGCAGCGGCAGGTGAAAAACACGATGCGCTTGAGGCTTTTGTTAAAGAAGAAGTAGTTGAATGACCAAACTGGATTCTCGTCCTCGTAGTGGTTGGACTCGTCGTCGGGCGTGTACGAATAAACACTGCACTCGTCAATGTTGATAATCTCGTCAATAACGTCCCACATCCGGCCAACCCGGAGCGCAGCGGGGCAACCGCCGTTCATCAGTGTGGTGTTGATTGACTTTATCGCAGAGTCTGGTGAGGGTTCTTTTGTGAACTGGTCGGCAGGCACAGAGCTACATAATAAAAAGAGATACTGGTCAATTGCATCGGGAAATCAGTTGGTCGGGGTTAGTAATAATTCGGCGAGGATGAGGGAGAGCTGATGAAAATCAAAAATAGGCAATGCATGAGTAAAAGATAAGGACAAAATAGGAAGGAGGCCAGACCAAATCGGCCAACTGTGCAATGGAGATATAAGAACAGGATCCCGAAATGGTCAATCAGTTGATATGAGGGCACGCGCCGACTGCACACCATTTTTAATTTCACTTTTGACAACAATTACACACATGCACATCCACTCTGTATCCTCACATTGCTAACGCAATTGTTGCGCGTAGAGCAGCAAGCTTTCAAAAAGGAGAGACACAGTGAGATGTGGGCATGCATGTGCCATTTGGGGGAGCGTTAATAAAATACAAAACATCACGTACCTAAAGTCATAGTCTGGGAAGCTCGCGTTGAGTGTCGCAATAAGATAAAACATTACTTTGCGTGAGGCCGACTCGGTGAGTGGCCCAAACGGAGAAAACATGTTGGTCAGCGAGCTCTGCTCAGGAGACAAGCTCTTGGCCTCCTCGAGATCCTCCTGGTGCTTCTGCTCGAGGTACCGGTACAGCTTCTTGTCTGCGCCGGCCACCTTGCCTATATGTGGTTACGGGATTGTACAAAAAAGGGACATACGTGCGAATGTTATTTTTAGTATTACACGGATCATTTAGTGCCTACTGTATGCTTGAGACGTCAAAGCGCGCATGCGGACGACACGCCCGAGCCCACACATGCGTGTGTCGTTCGTGTATGCTCCACTTCAAAGAATGAGTGTTGGTGAGGGCGCAGTCGACCGAAGCGACAAGAGAGCACAAACTTACAAGAATACGCTTCTATCCTTCCCAGTACATGTCGGTCGCCGCTGCTGGTCGGAATGAAAGGCGTGAGTTGATGTTTCTGAGTGATTCAATGTCGAGATATTTCATAATAAGGGCGCGGCAAATACGAATGCTGGTGGTGTGCTATAAGAATACAAATAGTGTAAATTAATTGTTTAAATATCGAAAGCAAAGTCAAAAAGGGAGAACGCAGTAGTTTGCACAAAGTGTTCGTTTTGAGGCCTTCATGCGTGCTCTTGATAGCTTGCCAAGAGAGGCGTGACTTGAGTCCCCACCCTACCCCCGCCTTGTTGCCGCCTGACAAAAGCCACGGCCAATCCACATCAAATGACTTGCAAAGGCCTGTTCAAAGGCGGCCTTTTCTTTGAACATCGTGTTTTGTCTTTTACAAAACAGCGCTGCATTCCCACTTTAGCGTCGACATTCTGGCTGCCTTTTCGGCACACTCGGAATTTGTATTTGCCAATAAATTATGTAAAATAATAATAAAAATGGGGCGTGCATTGCTGCAAGGCTAGCCTTAAATTTTTAGGGACACTTTCGCAGACTCGCCACTGCGCATTCACCTGCGATTGCGCTTGCCATCATCCCAGTCGCGCCCATCATTGACTCGCCCGCGCTTGACACCGCGACGACCTCCGCCCCCATCGCCATTGGCATTGGCATTGGTATTGGTATTGCCGCTGTTACTGGAAGCACTTTGGTCCGAGCCAGCTGCACCCCTGCGGTTCAAAGACGTGGCAACCCCATCGGGCCTGCCCCTGTCCCTGTCCCTGTCCCCGTCACCCTTGCCCTGCCTTCCACCCAAGCTGCGGATCGAGATGCTTGACTGGGCGTTACTTTGGGGGCGCCTGTCCCCGCCGCCTCCACGATTCGAATCTGGTGACAGATTGCGCCCGCTGTTAGAGTTACCGCCGCTACGAACAGCACGCCGTTGCCCGCGATCAGCTCGCCCAGAGTGTTCTGCGCGATTACTCTGCGATGGCTGCTGCTGCTGCTGGTGTTGAGATGGCTGTTGAAAGGACTGTTGATCATGCTGCTGCCTCTTGCGCTGCTGCTGCTGGCCCTGAGATGAGGCCCCTAGTCGATCAAAAACACCCGAATCTGACTGCTGCTGGGTTTGAGGCTGGCCCTGGCCCTGAACGGAGTACCGCCTGCTGCCAATATCGCGACTTTCGGCTTGTGCCAAATGATTCGAACTGGAATTGCTTCCGGCCTCAGCGTTTCTGGTTGGTCCGCGACGATTGAGTCTCCTGCCCCCAGACTCCCTGGAATCAGCATTATCCTTCTGTCGTGCATGCCAGTGCCCCGCACCCTTGAGCTCTCCCTGCTGTTGTGGCGGCTACTCGGTCGCGCCGGTCAGTCGACGAATCGGCCGGCGGACGATCGCTTCGCGACTTTTGCTTCTCCTCTTGTTGTTTTAAAAGCTGTGCACGAAGCTCCTTGCGCCTGCACTCGGCCTCTTCGTTAGAAAGCTTGGCCGCTTGCGTGGAAGCGGGAGACTGGGATGAAATGTGCAGCTCAGACATATTCGGCGAGCCTGAGATTGCCCCACGCTGGGAGGCGTAGCCAACTGTTGGCGTGGCGGCTCAAGCCTACCATCGACTACCGAGTCGTCGCGCGGGCGCTTGTGAGTTTCACTGCGCACATCCTCGCGATCGTGCCGTGTTGGAGAGCTCCGCACCGAACGGCTTTCGCGGCGGTCAATGTCAGCAGCTCGCTGAGAGGAGGAGTGGGTATCCGACTCTTGCTGGTGATTGTCTCTCTGCCGGCCACGGTCTCTGCCCCTGCCTCTGCTGGAAGCGTCGCTCCGTTCGCGGTCGCGCTGGCTCTTGGCGTCCTGCTCGCGATCGCCGCTTGCCGCGTCAGAGCGAGCCCCGCCCTCGCCCCTGACCTGCCTAGCAGCGCCACCATTGGCCGGTCTAGCTCCATGAACCACACCGTCGTCGTACTCGGGGCTAAATTTGGTGTGTGTTTTGATGAAGATGCGGCTGCTGCCGATGCGGCTGCAGCAGTTACAGCAGCGGCCATTGCGCCGCTCGATATCGACCGCCCGGTGATGGCTTTGCCCTCTCGCTTGGCAAGTCCTCGGCCTTTAATTCGATGCTAGTAGAGCTAGGCCCGCCGTCCTTAGTGCCCGAGTTATTGCCGCTGCCAGCAATTACGCTGCACCCCTCCTTCTGTTTGCCTGTCTGTTGGCTGTTGGCTGGTCTCGGCGAGCGCAGGGGCGTATCCCTGGCTTGGACCGGGTAATACTCGGTCTCTGAGACCCAGCTCGTCTTTGCCGTTGCCAGGTACGAGCCGTATGACATGGCTATCACTTTGAGGCTGCTGTCCGAGTCGTCAGCACCTCCCGCCTGCGCACTCTTGTTGTTTGCCGACCGCCCATTCTCAGAAATCTCGTTTATCTTTTCCAGAATCCGCCTTCCATACTGGGAAATGGCGGGGAAGGTATGCTGCATCTCTTTCAGCGCCAGGATTCCGTTGCGCACAGTGTCGCTGCGCTCCGCGCCCAGAGTGACCATAAACGCCTTTGTGAGGTTCACCTGCCACTTGCGCATTACCGTGCGGAAGTCGTCGTACGACAGCATCGTGGACCCAGGCTTGATGCGCTGCGAGTCACCGCTTCCTGGTGTGGGGCTTGCGGGCATCGCCTGGTTAATTGTGCGCGATTTTGGCGGTAGGTAGCCGCGCTCGTACCGCCAGTACTTCTGGAACCCAGTAAGACCGCGCCAGGGTTCACTGCGCGCTCGTTGTATTGGGCCTCGGACTGGTGCAGTTGCGACAAGTACTTGAGCGACATGTTGAGGAACTTTGCGTAGTTGCGAGCCTCGTTCAGGGTGAATGTAGCCAGCAGCGTCGACAGCGTCTCACTAAAGATATTGTCATAAACAATCATCAAGCTAAACTTGTTGGTGGCCAGCGGGAAGTGCAGCATCCATAACAGCTTGGCACAAAAGCTGGCGTCCGACGCGGAGAGCACAGCTCGGGGCAAAATGCAGTGCTGCAGAAGTGCTTGGGCAACCTGCTTGCGCTGGTCATGGGCCATGCAGAACCAGTAGTCCTTTTGCACTATCAGCCACCGGCGAATACGCGACACATGCTGCCTGTGCTCATCTCTCTCCTTATTGAGGTTATCGATCGCCATGTTGGCTCTGGCGCTGACCTGGGTGAGCGCAGATGACTTTGACCGGCTGTGCGACTCCTTGGACATGGACTGTACTCGATCGATCAGATCTTTTTGGATGTCGGCCTCGATGTCGTAGCGCGGGACGGGGACCGTGATGTCCTTGCGCCCGGTGGAATCCTTCATTGTCTTGAGCCCGGTCGGAACCTCAATGTCGTACAAGGACAGCGACCAGAACATGGCGACAAACTCGGGCGAAAGACCAATGTCGAGGGACGAATGAGGCAATGTGCGAGCGACGTAGGTCACGTAATCGCGTGGCAGTAACGGGGCCTCAAAGGCCAAGCTTGATACAACGCGCGGTAGCTCCGGGTCCAGGTCACCCGCAGCATTGGCTTCCGCGCCGACAACATCCATCTGTGAGCCGTCCTGACGGCTGCCTGGCTCCTCGGTAGCAGTGGCTGCAACCGTGGCAGCGGTTTCTGCAGACTGCGCGCCTGTGGGCGGCGCTTCTGCATCAATCCAAGTCTGTTGGCTGCTCTGGTCCTTGACAAACGTCTGCTCGACGATCTCGACGCGTATATTCGCACCGGAATCTTCCCACTGCACCAGGCCCTGCGCCAAGTGTGCAGAGATACTCGGGCGCCCCCACAGCATGGCAAGCCCCCAGCTCAAACCGTATCTGCCTGCCAGCACGTGCGGGCCGGGAATAAGCCTGGTATACTTTTCCGGCTTGAGGTTGGAGAGTAGCAGGTTGAACAGCTGGTATATGCGCTCAATTTCGCGGTCGTAAATGATGAGCATGCTGCTGAGCGGCAACACCACCGTCTTGAGCACATATTCTGCGTGAGCGCACAGCGAGACCACGAACGGCAGTATCTGTGCCCGGTCCGCAAGCATGCTTGTCAGCCACTGCGCCATGCGCCGGGTCAGCCGATAGTCAGAGCTCGCGACAAGAACGTCGTCAATGGTCTTGGTCTTGGACGGCTCCCAAGGGCTGCCCATGTCGAAGGCCTCGAGCCGCAGATAGTGTCCGCCCTGTAGTGCTGAGACTTGCCCGTCGTTGGCGTCAGCCATCAGCTCGATTTTCGCCAGGACTCGGACAATTTCTGAAACAATGACCAGCTCGGATGCGGGTGCCGGGCGCTTGTTGCGCACTGTATCGATGGTGCGCTTCAGAACGTAATCAAGAACCACGTCCAAGCGAGCGTTCTCATGCCTGCGGCTAAAGCTTGCAACAAACGACGATAGGTTCTGCATCCAGTGTGCAGGATTGACACCGTCGTCCTTGACTCTTGCGCTGTTCGGATCGCCAATTATCTTGAGGACAGTGAAAAACATGACATCAGAATCAAATGGAGTCAAGTATCGGAACGCCTCGACGACCGGCCGCACCAAGTTGCCGTAGGAGCACACCTGGTCAAGAATGATTTTCAGCGACAAGGTGGGCGTCGAGTGGCACAGGTTGCACAGCTGACGGCCCATGAGCTTGACATTGTCTGCAGACAAACGCCGCATAACTGATCGCACCTGGCGCCGAGTTTCATGATAGAGCGCCTCGATCTCAACGTATGCTGGCTGTGCATGCGCGACACAACTACCAGAAGGGACGTCGCTGTCATCGCCACCGTCGTCGCCATCGTCAAGGGCTTCATCGAGGGACATGTCCATGGACATGGGACCCCCAGTCATGCCGTTTTGGACGGTGACTTGAGACTGTTGCCCGCCCGAAGCGATCTGGGGGAGAGACGGCTTGCCGCTGGATAGAATGGCGTCCCACTGCTCGTACAGCTCGTAGCGCTGCGCCAGAGGCAGCTGGGACACGAGCAGCCACAGCTCGTTTGATAGAGCGGCGCTGGGCGTGCAAAGAGAATAAGCTGGGAGAACCCACGAGCGCAAAACCCCAATCCATTCGCGTCCGTCTTCGGTGCTGTGCTCCAACCCATAGCGGCAGAGTCTGGACAGGCGGGTCAGCAGAGATGGGGAACGGTGCAGCCGCAGGAAAGCAATATTAGCCATGGCGCCAAAGCGTGGGGCATGCTCTCGACCGAGCTGACCTGCGGCATCCGCTGAGCAGCGTCCAGCAGCCAAAACTTTTCGTAAAAGAACACCTCGTTGGGCCTCTTCGCCAGAGGCGTCAGAGTGTAGCTCGGCGCGAGCGTGTGTGACTCGGATGCGTCACTTTTGGCGCGACGGGCAGGCCCCAGGCGTTGACTGTTGCAGTGCTGCTGGCCAGTGCATTGGACACGGGCTTCAGCTTTAAAAACTGCTTGACAGGCGCCCGGACACAGTCAGTGCTCTGGTAAATTCGGCTTGTAGAGGCTTCGACGATGCGCACAACCAGGTCGGTTATTTGCTCGTGCGAGCGAGCCATGTTGGGGAACCGCTGCAGATACACTAGTGCGCTCTCGGTGTCGCCCATGGACAGGAGCTTTGCACAAAGCAGCGCGTGCTGGTTTGACCACTCGCTTGCGGCTTCGGGGCCCTTGGCCTCTTCCGCGTCCTGATTCTCGCCGCCATCGCCCATATCCTCCAAACCGCCCATCTTGGCCAGCAGGCTGCTGCTACCATCGCCGCTATTGCCGCTGCCAATACCTATGCGCTGCTCCTTTTGCTTGGCGAGCCATGCACCAAACTCCCCCTCGATGTCTTCGGGTGTATTCGGCGATAGCATCGTGTACAGGTCGGAGAGCCGGATTATCCTGTGCGTGATCAGAAGCGCCGCCACGGTCGACAGCTCGTCCATATATTTGTGGTCCGAAGCGGGCCCATTGACGTAAAACTGCAACTTCCAGCCAACAAGTTGTGCGACCTTCAGAGACTCTGCGGCAGTGCGGCACCAGGGTGATGCGTCGAGAAGTGCCACGTAGAATGCCCAGTGGAAGCGCACGCTCGACATGAAACAGTCGATGATAATATCAAGTACGCGGTTTGGGTCAATGTTGAACACGCCGATTAAACGCGTTATGTCCAGAAGCAGGTTTGCCACGCGCTTTTGGAGGTCTGGCAGCGAGCGCAGCGCCTGAATAACAACAGAGCCGCGGTCGCTCGACGCCGTTGGGTTGCTTTCAACATAGCCAATAATTCCGCTGCTGACTTGGTGGGGAACGACGCCGGCCATTGTGGCCTGGATCAGGGTAATTAGTTTGGAAAAGCCCTCGGACTGCTCGCTTACCAGGTTGAATTTAGTCTGTTTGAAGTTGAGCGCCGTGTTCAAGCGAACGTATTTTTTTGTAAAAAAAAGGGCTGATGTGATGACCTTGACGCGCTCCAGAAATTCCGGATCAAGGCGCTCCTTCGCCATGTCGTGGGTGATAACGCCGTTGGACAATAGGCTCTCTGTTAGCTTCAGCAATAACTCGCTCTGATCCGAGTGTCTCTTGCGCTCCTCTTCCCACCGGCCGTCGCTTTTGTCGGCCGTGTCGGACTCCCACTCAATGTTTAGCGTCCAAATAGTCTCGACAAATGCTGCTTCGATTCGCGTGCGAATTGTACTGCTGGTGTCCGTCTCTGTGGAGTTGTAGGAGCTGGTGTTTTTGGCGGCCGCAACGCAGTGATCCACCCAGCGTTTAACCTCGCTGCAAAACACAGCAGGATCGGCAGCACTGCGGCCATCCTCAATGGTGCAGAGCGACTGCAGCAACTGTGAGCAGAGCCTGGCCTCGCCACCCACGTTCTTTGACAGGAGCGCGTGTGTTCTATTCGTTTTTGGTTGTTGTGGAAGGAGGTAAATAATGAAACCAAGCAACACAATTGCGTGGTGATACCATCGACCAAAATTATTTGGTTGTTCATAGAAATCGGTTTAGTGGTTTGCACAGCTCAAGGCCACGAAGTGACTTTCGCGAGTAGCGCGCGATGAAAGAAAAATGGGAGCACTTACAATTTATCGGTGACAATGGGCGACCAGTCGCCGAGACGAATTTGCTCAATAACACTTGATTCCAGTGGCTGGCTGCTAAACAGTTCGGTGCTGTCCATTTGTTTGCGGTTGCGTCGATTTAGTTGCCTTTTTTACAATTGGAAAAAGAAAAAGGTAGAAATTAAGGTGGCAACGTCCCCTTCTGTCGTTAAAACAGAAATTACAAAACCGAAAGAAGCAAAAAATATATATATGAATAAAATTGCAAAATGAGAACCCGATTATGCCAAACAGTTGTGTGTGAGAGAATAAAATGAATTGAGACAACTTCATCAAACACTAAACCAAAAATAAAAAATAAAATAAGAACGTAAACATTGGCGCACAAACCAATATTAATTTATTTTTTTGCCTTCCGTGTTGAAAAGAACGATTTTTCGCTTGCTGATCTGGAAATTTAATTTTGAGCGCGTATTCATGCATCCGTGTTGGCCCGACCTCTTCATTTGTTGCTATCTGGCAAGGATGGATCGTCTTTGAGGAATGCCAGCCCAAGGAGAATAGCGCCAACAAGGAATATGAGAGAGACCAGCAGCCAGAGCATACCACAGCACCGCGAGCTGCAGTGAGTGCGCTGGGCAAACTTGGTGGCATCGCTCTCGTTTGACTTTCGGCGCACCGTGTCGTCGACAATGTCCCAAAGTGAGTACAGAGACGACATAACGCCCATGAACAGCACCACATACCGAAGCCCAGCTCCATGCGGTGTGAACCATAGGCCGACAATCAGCCCAGCAAACAGAACTGTGATTATCCGTGTCAGCCAGTTCTTTGCCCAGAAAAGCGTTGCCAGCAGACATACCCCAATCACAACGGATACGATTTTGGACGCGAGGACATTGAACCCGGCAAACACCATCAGCGAGCCTAGGAACGAGCTTCCCAGGTAGCCAGCCGGCATCACGCACCACCACTTACCGCCCCGCATTTGTGTTAGGCCGCCCTGATCGGGGTCTATAGTGACAGACTTGATTTTGGCACCTGTACATACACCAGCTGCTGCGTGGCTGAATTCGTGCAACGCGACAGTGACAAGTTTGAATGGCAGCAAAATGATGTTCAGGTATGGTATGTTCCATAGCAGAAGAATGCCCAGGGTGTAGGCACCAATGACAATTAGCACTGTCCGCTGCTCCTTTGTTGGCGTCAGCGCTTGAGTGATGTCGTCTCTGGTGACAGCGCGCGTAAGCAAAGAGCCAACAACAGTGACGGCGGTGTTATTATTTAAAATTGGGGACATGTCTGTCGCTGGATAATGATGTTGGTAAAGCTATGACAAGTATGCAATATCGAATAGATAATTATAAGTGATAAATGATTGTGCAGAAGAGAAAATACAAGTGACAAAATGGATATTTTAGAATGGTAGTAAAGCATAAAAAGGCGTTGGGAAGGTGCACCTCCTTTGCGCATGTTCCAATTTTAGAAAAACGATGAAGTCAGCGTTGGAATTGTCAGTTTTGAATTGCCGCGTGCCCTGGCATCTGCATGGTGACGGGATTTTTGGGCTTTAAAACTTGATGCTTTTAATTTTAATTTACCTAAATTTTGTCACACCTCTGGCACTGGCATTTAATTGCTGGCCAGCAAAGCTGCCCCTGTGGGCATGTTTTTCTTCTTTGCCGATTTTTTATATTGCTTCCTTTTTCTCTTTGTTTCCAACAGCTCGGCGGTTTCCTCTTATTACCCGTCAAGCCTTCCAACCAGGTTAAATCGGATAAGCTGAAATAGACAAATGCGTTTTGGGGTTGTGCGGCTGCTGGTTGGCCGATTTCTAGCTGGGGCAACGGCAGTAGATACAGGACCGAAAAGGGGGGCGTGCGCAGTGGCCATGGTTGCTGCGAGGACCCTGCGCCAGCGACGGTTTTCGGTGCGAATGCCGACTGCGCAGAAGCGGGATCCAGATGCACTGATGAGGATTCTGCCGCCTAAGCCCGAAGCGCCCAGCAACGACGATTGCTGTCTGTCCGGCTGCGAGTTCTGCGTGTGGGATTTGTACGACGAGGACATGCGCGAGTACCAGAAACAGGCCGGGGTCATCCGCCAGGCGTTCGAGGAGCAGGGCAGGGAGGTTCCCGAGCAGCTGCGGCCAGAGAATATTCGCGACGCTGTGGACCCGGCAATGCGGGCATTCCTGGACATGGAGCGCGACATGGCCATGAAGATCCAGCAGGAGGAAGACGACAACAGCGACGGCGACTAGCACTTGGCCTTCCTGCCGGCCGGCCGGCTGCGATCCAGTCTTATCTGGATGCGCACGTGTTTGATTGTTGCGCACACTGCTGCTGCCATTGGCTGGGGGCGTTGAAGACGCGCGTGCGGCTTGACACGAATCTGTTGCAGCGCGAAGCGGCTGAAAATGCGCAGGTTTTCTGATTTTGCCAAGACCTGTTTTTGGCCGCTCCTACAAACAAGTGTTCTTTAGCGTCTTTTGCCTCCCGATCCCCCTTTTTTAATTTTCTCATCTTATTTGTACTTATTTGTATTTTCTCTTGCTCAAAGGCCTCTGACGCCAGACACGCGCGCCCTTGCACACCACACCAAATCGTTATTTTTGTCCCTTTCTCATTTCTCATTTCTCATTTGAAAGCACCCACACTCGACCAGCAGCTCGTTCATTCAATCTATTTTGTTTAGTTTTGATTTGATTTGAAATCAAATCAGCTTTATTTTTCAGACCAAATCGTGCGCGTGCAATTTGAGCCCCACTTGGACCGAACCTGCCACATTTATTACTTCCAATCACACACACGCCGTCAATATTAAATCATCACCACCACCACAGCAGCACTATTGTTCATATCCGCTCTCGAAAAAGACAATTAGCACACCGACAATGGCGACACCAGACAGTCTTTCGCCTTCCTCTGTTAAAGCGCTCGGACAGATACTGCTGCTCGAGTCGTTCCTTGACGATGCACTACGGCACGCTCTGGGCATGCTAAAACTGCACATTTGTCTTGGGCGTCTGCATGGGCGCGAGAGTGAGCATGGCGGCGATGCGCAGTCCGTGACAGGTGCTGACAATCTGCGGCGCGCACTGGCTGACATTTATCCAAAGGTAAAGTCAGAATTCGGCATTATCGACAAACTTTGTGCGCGCACTGGCGGCAGCGAGCCGTCAGAGGGACTTCGCATCAGATCACGCGTACACGAGCTTGTGTGCGTGTGCTTTCCCGACATACTGGAGGGCTCAGTTGCCGAGGAAACACGAATCTCTGCCAGCAGCGGAACTAGCGCATCTCGCAGCGGCGCGATAGCGCAGCAGCCTAATGCAGGCCATCTATGGACTCTGGTGCGGCCGTGCCAATCGCCCAGTGTTGTTTTGCACATGTTTCTCAGATTATCTGCAGATGTCGCGCAAGTGCAGCGCAATTCCTACAACACGACTGAACCATTGTTGGTGGGCCACATCTGGTACGACCTCCTGGCCGACATTCTGGCACAGCTGGCACTGGCCTCGCTCGTATTCGGTGATATCACATTTGCACAGGTTTTGACAGCTCTCGAAGTAGTCTCGCCTGGTTCGTCCGACCGCGCGGCATTGTATCCGACAATGTGGGGCAGCGAAAACGCCGCCGATATTGTCACCTTTGATGCTAAATGGCGCCGCATCCGCGCCATGGTCGAGTCGCTGCTCTCGACCCGGGCCAATGCGTCCACTGTACTGGAGCTACTGGACATGAGTCCATCACACAACTTTTTGAACAACCTCATCAAGTATATCAGCGCCGTGCTCGACCACCTGCGCCCCCCACCGCTTGGCATCTACGCCAAAATTAAACAGACGGGTCGGATTCCCAGCGCTTTCTTCGAGACACCCGACCAGATGGCTGATCTGCCGACCCACCTGCAACCGACCCTCCGCTGCGAGGATGACTGCAGCGACACTGAAAGCATTCAATTTTCTTTGCGGCCGGCAACAGTTGGCCCCTTGGACTCTTCCGACGATGACTACCAGTCGTCGCCTCTGGGGCATATTTCCCTAGCGCATGCATATTCGGGGATACCACTGCCCATGCCGATGTCGATGGTCAGAGACTGTAGCAAGCTCACCTTAAATCCCAAAGTGAGACCCAGAAGGTCCATGGGGGATATGATGCGGGTCTACACAAATCTGGAAGACCAGCAAGATATTTCTGCACCATCACCTGCACACCAAACGACGCCAAGCATTAGCCATGGCATGCTTGATGTCGACGACACTAACGATATTGATATGTCGCCGACGGTCTGTAGCTTGGCCAGACGCAGGATGAGCCTTGTAGTGCGCGCTGACATTCCCTCCTGCACGGCACAGTGTGAGCAGTATCCACCATTCTTGAATCCGCCCCTGCAACTTGCCATCACAAGCGCGGGCATGCACCCCATAGATGAACTGAGTACTCCATCGACCGTTGCTCAGCCGCCCCCTACCGAAAGCGGCATGACCACACCAAAGCTGCAAACCAGCGAACAAGCAAAATGTGAACGCTCCAAATATGTGCCGGACAGGCCGCATGGTGATGTTGAGGGAGGCGGCCGCCCACACCGTCGCCGTAGCTTCTGTTTTGCAGCCAAAACGCCTGGAGCGGCAACAGTGCGCCCTGATGACGCCCGCCGAACCAAGCGCCTATGGGTGGAGTCGGAATTGGCGTCCGATAATGGCGTCCATGGAGCGCAAGCGATCAACCCGGCGCATGTAAAACATGCTGGCTATGCTGGCATGGCCGAATACCCGCCCCTTCTGGGCACGCCCGACCGCGGCAAATCCGCCAGTGCGGAGGATGCAAACATGACCCAAATTACGCCCGAACACCAGATTGGCACTAATGCTGATATCCGGGCGCTAACAGCATCGCGCTACATCGCGCACAAGGACCAGGGCGATACTGAGGGTGGTGGCCGCAGACACCGCAAGCGCCAACGTCGCGCGCGCGATTCTTTTTTGCCGATATTTCCTTGAATGCAACCCCTGTATATCTAATAAATAAAAAGTATAAAACATAAGGATTTGCACCAGATTACCAACCAGCAAACTTCCAAAAAAGTATTATAAATAAGGGCAAAATAATCGACCCGGCCAGGGTTCGAACCTGGGACTTCTCGCATCGGAAACGAGCGCTCTTCCACTGAGCTACAAGGCCAACAACTGTTGATTATCCAATCTACTTGTTGCTTCTGGTAAAGATATATTATTACAGTATCTAATCTTGTGTTTACCAATCCTTAAATATTTTTAGCTATTAACGACTGTTGGCAAAAAACATTTTGAAGCATCATTTTATTATGGCCGGGGGATGTCCTGCATTTTCCCGAGCGAGTAACTTGCACCTATTGTTTATGTTTGATCTGAACATACAAACGCAATTATTTTTCTGCCGAATTGAACCATTAACTCGCACATGCACAATAAAACCTATAGACAATTACATGCCACTGTTATTATCTTTTTTTACCTGGTCACTGGAGACAATTCGTTTGTCGGAATCATAATTATTGCTGTCCCTCTTCAGCTAACAGTCTTACTAATTGCTATAATTGTGTTTTTGGTTATCTTCCGTGTCTGCTTGCCTTCATTATTTTTACCCATGCATAAAATAGTGCACATACCAAATATGTAGGCGGCATTTGCAAAAGCTGCAAGTGGATGTCCCCGAAATCATGTGGTTGATACTCTGGATTGCCGTCTTGTTTTATTTTGGATTTGCCTGTCCAGCAGGCCCACGTTTAGCTACTACTGGTAATGGTTCGCTGATTTCGTCATTGCTTGCCGCCCACATGCTCGTTTTTATAGCGGCACTCTTCCTGCCCTGATGACCTCAATGATATTCCAAACTGTGGTGTACGGTTGTTATTCAGCGGATAGTAATTTTTATTACTCAACCCGCCGGATGCATATGATGCGCCTTTGCGACAGCACACGCACAATGTCGCAAATACGCATACTCGTATGGAGAGCGCAGTTGGTGTGAGCATTATCACAAGTGGCTCCAGAAAAGTAAACACATCTTGTCTTTTGTTTTCCCGTTGAGTTTTTCCCTTTTTTTCCATTTTCCATTTCCATTTTTCTATTTTCTATTTTTAAATATACTAGATACACGCCATTTGCTATTTTCAACTACTAGGTTTTCAATCAACCGTCCGACATTACTTTACACCCACATACACCCAATCATTTTAAAAAATTGCTTCAGCACAATCATGGATGACGAGCTACTCACCAATGGGTTCCGCGTGCCAGGACCCTTATCTGCGGCTTCAGATACAGCGGCGTCGGCAGATGCAGTACCCTCCCTCTCGTTGCCAAAATGGCGTCGGTCAACCACCACACCCGACATTGGCTTGTCTGGCTTTGATACCAGCGGTCATAAATGGAGCAGCGATGATACAGAGCGGTCGGAAATCGCTCAGAAAAAGTCACACCACGATGATCGCGCCAACCCACAGATTCCACGGAGTTTTCCGGCTCTGTTCCCCACGTTCTGCGCTGAAAATGAGGCAACCACCTCGTGGGTGGTACCGCATGTTCGCTCGGCGCTGTACAACAGCAGTGATATTTTGGCACCCAGCGTGCCCATGCGTAGAAACGCCAATGACAAGGGCATTCGCTCACGATACAGCTCCTACACTACGATTGACTGGCTCAACGACGACATCCGCGAGCAGGCCCGACTCCGAGGAATGCGCGCGATAAGCGGATCCAAGGGCTGGTGGCTGAACCATGTGTGGGACCCGATCCAGGGTTGGCTTCTGGTTGTGGTGGTTGGCACGCTTTGTGGCCTCTTTGCCGGCTTTATTTCCGAGTGGACGGAGCTTCTTGCAGGATGGAAGTCTGGATACTGCCAGGCCAACTGGCAACTGTCACAGACAGCGTGCTGCCGCCAGAGCGCTGTCGAGTGTGAGTACTGGCATGAATGGGGCGACTCGCATGCGCTGTCTGGGAAGACCATCTTTATTCTTGTCGGCAGCATTTACACCATTCTCGCTGCCGCCATGGCCGTGCGCTCGGCCACCCGAATTACCATCAACAACCATGGCGTCTCATCCTCAGTGGAGAGCAGTGTGTCACCAACCGTCAAGATGGCATATTATGGCGCTGGGTCGGGTATCCCCGAGGTCAAGTCCATACTGGCCGGCTTTGTGATACACGGCTTCCTCGGTGTGCGCATTCTGATTGTCAAAACTCTGGGCCTGATTATGTGCTGTGCGTCAGGAATTATGGCTGGTAAGGAGGGCCCGATGGTGCAGATTGCCTCGTCACTGGGAAACATTTCGACGCGCATTTTTGACAAGTACTACAAGAACGAATCCAAAAAGCGGGAGATTATATCCGCTGCTGCAGCTGCTGGTGTCAGTGTGGCCTTTGGTGCCCCGATTGGCGGCGTGTTATTTTCACTCGAAGAGGTTTCATACTTCTTTCCAAATAAGACCATGCTGCGCAGTCTGACGTGTGCGCTAGTGGCTGCGCTGGTGCTCAAGGTCTATGACCCCTTTGGCACGGGAAAACTGGTGCTGTTCCAGACCACATACGATATGGATTATCATTGGTTTGAAATGGTCGCCTTTGTCATTATCGGTGTGTTTGGCGGACTTTACGGTGCTGCCTTTTGCCGGCTCAACATGGCCATCAACCGCTTACGCAAGAACACGCGCATTGGCCATTATCCAATCATTGAAGTTGCCACAATAACCTCGCTGACACTGGCCCTCAGCTATGGCAACCCGTTTACCCGGGTCGGGCTGGGAGAGCTAGTAGGGTCGCTGTTCCAGGAATGTCCGACTGCAGGCAGCCGCACCCTGTACACTGGTGATGGCAGCAGCATTGAGGAACTCCTCTGTGTGGCCGGCCAGCAACTGTCAGATTATATGCCGCTGCTGGTGCTCCTCGGGCTCGCTTTGCTCAACCGTGCATTCTTTGCCATTATCACGTTTGGCATGAAAGTTCCGTCGGGCCTTGTGCTGCCGAGCATGTCTATTGGCGCACTGTTTGGACGCATTGTTGGCTCTTACATGGAGTACCTCACGCGAGCCAGCTCTGGAACGTCATTTTTTGCCCAGTGTCCTGCAGACTCACGCTGCGTTATTCCTGGCGTTTATGCACTAGTTGGTGCTGGCGCCACACTGACGGGTGCAACACACACAACTATTGCCGTGGTGGCCATTCTGATGGAGCTGACGGGCAATCTTATCTACACACTACCAGTTCTGGTGGGTGTCATGACCGCGCGCTGGGTCACACAGTACTTCAGCTCAAATGGAATATACGATCTATTGCTGGAGCACGCCGGTCACCCATACTTTGACATGAAAACCCAGTACATCCACACACGCCGCACTGCCGCTGAGCTTATGCAATTGGATATAGAGGCGATATGTGTAGATTATGAGGGCGAAAATACAATTGCTCTGCTGTCTGAACGTCTTGAGCGCATTTCCGCACGCGGGCTGGCTGATGGCGGTTTCCCTGTACTCAATGCTCGCGGGCACCTGCTTGGCTGGATTGCTTGCGCCGAGCTCGAGTTTGCCATTGCACGCTGCAACAAGCTAGATCCTAACACAGTGTGCTTTTTCAATAACCCACTGTGGCAGGCCAGCTATGTCGCTCACGATCCCACAGCTATTCCCCATTTCTGTACACCCATTGACTTTGCCAAAGCAAAGAGCCGACAGGGAGATAATTCTGGCTTTCAAGGCGGCAGCCATAGCACTGAGACCACTGCGTCTAGCAGAGTAAATCAGACGTGTGTCAGCCCGCTCTCTCAGCTGCATCAGCAGTGGCATCCAATGCGCTGGAGAAGCACCATTTTGAGCAATGATGCTGCCATTGCTGCTGTTGCCGATTCCATGCCCCTGCTTGGCACAGCTGAGGGAGTTACCCAGCCTCCATCATACCGGTCTGGGGAGCAGACTGCCATGCATCGCACATCAGTGGGTTCCCCATCTGCCAGCCGTAGCAACAAATATGGCAGCAATGGCAATATCGACGACGATGTCAGTGATGAACAGTTGGGACTTACTTCTTGCCTCAGCATATCGCCGAAAATGACCCAGGCACACATCACCACAATCCCCTATTACCAGGACCGCCCCAATGACTTTACACCATTTGTTGACCAAACACCATTAACCCTCTCCACCAATTCACCCATTGAGCTTGTGGCCAATTTGCTAGGCAGGCTTGGAATGTCGTACCTGTGCATTGTCGACAAGGGTGTTTACTGCGGAACCATTTTCAAGAAAGCATACATTGGCTACACCAAGGAGCTCGAAGAGTCAGGCTTCACGTGCTGATATACACACATGTCTTTGGAAGGAAATAATGCACTACCTTTCTTTTAATATGCTACAGTTTAATGTCCTAATATTAATTAAATTGGTATAGAATTATGAACTAGATTCAGGCAAAGAAAACTAATGCACTGATTGTAAGCAACAATAAACATGAAAATGAAAATGAAAATAAAGCAGAACCTAAACTATAATCTTTGCAAATGACTACGCGAGACGCACATCTAATGTCTACTTGGTGTTTCCAATGGGTCGGCTTTGCATTGGGAGATTCTTTAGCCTCAGGCGCCTCTTTGAAGACAGCTTGTACAAGTTGTTACCAATGCCTACACAGCGCAAAACAAAACAAAACAAAATATGGATATTAAATATTTAAATTGTTAGCTTACACACATAGTGGCGGACCTGGCTACATAATAAACATGTTTTTTTTCCAAACTCGAGTTACACACTTACTGTATAAAATGGGTGGTGTAATTCGCAAATCCCACATCACGCTTGATATAAATCCAAGAAAACTATGTGGCGGATAAGGAATGCTTGAATATGCCTCGAGAGTGCCACACTTCAGACCAATGTGCGACAGAACGTAGCTTGCATAGATGCTTGGAGATGGGATTGAAACGCTGGCTGTCTTGTACCCAGACATTTTGGACGAAACCCAAAAGCTAAAAATGTGATCGACAGTGATCCCTTCAGGCTCAAGCTCATATGCCAAGCTCTGCGAAAATGTTTTGACAAAGCCCTTTGTTCCTGCATACACAGGCAGGAATGGCATCCCCTTCATCGATGACCATGACCCAATGTTAAGAATTAATCCATTCTTGCGTTCGCGCATCTGAGGCACAACGTAGCGTGACATGTTCATCATTGTAGTAATGTTTACATCAACCATCTGGTTGCATATCTCTGGGCTCTCATCCATAAAGGTGGTAGTGGTAGGGTGACACACTCCCACGTTGTTTACCAAAATACCAATATTCTTAGATGTGACCATTTCCTTGATATGTGCCCAATCGGCCTCTGTCGCACAGCTAAAGTCCACGGCATACGAGTCAACACAGACACCCATTTGAACTATTTAAACCAATGCCAATAATAAACATAGATGCACTTGTAAATAAGTACTCACAATATATATAGTCGGGTTGATTTGCAATGGGTGCAATGGGCTTTACTATTATTTACCTAATTGCTCCTCAAATGTATTTAGCTTGTGCTGTGTGCGCGAAAGTAGTACCAAGTTATATCCAATTTCGCCCAACTGCAGGGCTAGTTCCTTGCCAATACCATCAGTACATCCAGTGACAACTACACTGTGTACAATCAACGATTATTTATGAAATTAACTTAACATATAACAAATTCAGAGGCCACCTGCATTAATGTTCATATCCAGCATTTAATATACACATTGAATATTACATACCTGCCCAGTAACCCTTCTCCACGCCGAAACTGTCAATCTAATAAAATTTGAATAGCTTGGCTTTATTAGTATACACCCCAGATGCATAACATCAAAAGTTTATTTGTGCTTTAGTTTGCTTATATTTTTATGCTTACCGGAATGGGCGCACGGACCCAAAGATCGCAAACAATATCAATGATGCGCAGGAGGAAGTAAATTGTTACCATGAGTCCCGCAATGACAAAACCAATTTGCATGGTACTACAAGCCAGATTTATTCACGCAAACAGAACATTTTTAGAGACGCATATTTTAGTATTATCACGAACTTTAATCAATATCTTTCATTCAATACATTATGTGCTTATGCCAATTGCAGTTACTCACTTGAATAGCTGAAAGTGCGACAGCTTCTCTGGATCACTCCCATCGGGTATATAGCTTAATGAATTCATGGTTTGTAATACTAAAAATTATAATATAATATAATAATGCGTAATAAAATAAAATATAAAAATCCAATAAAGACAACATTTGCGTTGGTCATTGTGCCAGACATACCAGTACAAAATGGAAAATATACATGGTATGCCGCAAACTAGAATTTTTACATGTAACTACCACTTTGGCCGGTTATTAGTGCTGCACCCCCTACATAGCAGTAGACAGTAATATAAATATAGCTTATTTAATGCACGTAAGCCCAGTAAAAAATGTATTGCATTTTCTGAGTGCCAACTGCAATAATATTGGCCATTACTACTGCATGTGTAATAAAATAACTACATGTACACTGCAAAAAAATTATTCGCACAAACCAATTATTTTGCCTATAATACATGTTCGATACATGTGATTTTAAGTTGAGAGCACTTTAGGCTGGGGACAGCCTGAATTGAACAAAAAAATTCAGTAGCTAGCTGGAGCCTAGCAAAGACTTGATTTATGCTTAATCTGTTGATTAAACTATATCTATTTGAATGTTACCTTCTTTTTATTCTACTTTCTTTTCTCTTTAATTCCATTTATTTATCTATGTCCATACTCCAACAAAGACTGTATATATTTGCATTTTTAATAAATTTAGCGCATGCTGTCGTGCTCTATAAAAATGTGGGTCTAAATCGATATATTCAAGTCTTAAAAATTACTTAACTGAAAAAGGGGGCAGCGCTGTGTGGGCAGCGCTGTAAACATCATGGTGTTCCTTGATGTCAGCCAGCAATAACAGAAATGTGTATAGTGGCCATGAGGGCAATCTTGATTCTTGAAAAGGGAAGATAGTGGCTTGAAATGTGTGTTGGGCACCACACATTTTACATAACAATATCTAAAGAGAGAGTAAATATATCCATTAAGCGAGATATAAAACAAGTATATAAAACACGAACTAAAGCTAATGAATAACTGATTGTTCACCATGCCACCTTTCCTGTAAGCGGGTATATTAAAAGTATACTAAAATATATTTGTTCAAAAACTCAGAAAAGTGAAGAGCGAGAACAAGTAAATGTTGTTGTTGGTTTTCCCTATTTATAACTGTATTAGTGCTCACAAAGAAAAGGGCAACTGATGGGCGTTGGACTACAAAGGAAATCTGTGCCCAACACTCCTCCATCCTAAGACGTTACTAACTGGTCTAAGTAACGTTTAACCATGTCATCATCGTCACTATATTTGTTGATCCAATCTGACTCGGCTTCCGAGTAACCAGTCCTGTGACATCAATTATTCTGGTATCACGTGATACTTGCAATTGTTTTTAAATTGTGATTGTTTACGATCGCAATTCCTATTTTATTGCTAATTGTTGTGAATTGATAAGCAGAGCTTTTTAAGCTCCCTGATAGTAGTTTTTTATTAATATACTTTATAGTAGTTTATTGTTATTACAGCACATGTGCTGCACTTTTGACATTTGACTGTCCAAACTTTGTCTACTGGAGTGCCATGGGAAGTGTGATGTAAGAAATTGCGGCTTGTCTCCGGCGATTAATTAATGAATCAATCGCCAGTTAATTCCCTACTTGAATATGTGGGAATTCATATGCACACATAAATACTAACGAATATGAGCAGTGCAGGCTGTTCATCCCTTAGCTTTCTTTTAGTTCATTTTTGTTCAATATATATATTTTAACATAACACCAGCAGTACCCAGATTGGCGGCTTTTTAACAGCACTGCAGCTGCATGGAGTCAACAGAGTGTGAGAAACGAGCAAAGCTGAGCAAAGAGAAGCTTTGTAAGTTATATTTAAAAGAAAGAAAAAGATAAAGTTCTAAGCTAAAGAAAGAAAGTGAAGTGACTGAGGAAAGCTGTCTCTTATATAGGAGACAGCGAGTGAAGATAAGAAAGGTAAATAAAAGAGAAGGATACTTTAGAAACTTCTGGTCTTGCAATCATCTTACAGTATGCAAGACGGAATCCCATCAAGACGGAGTTCCACCAAGAACGGAATTCCAACATAGTCAACGGGGGCTACTGTGGTGAGATTTCTGTACTCCTATTCAACACAGGCTATATAGAGATTCCATTCACTGTGCATGACTGCATAGCACAGTTGATTCCAACTAAGATTGCACACCCACACATCACTGAGGCCAAGTCATTTGAGAAAACAACCAATGGAGTCAACAGGTTTGGCTCTTCAGGAAAAGGGGGGAAGATAGCAGTCCGCATGGCCTGTTAATGGGTGAATTCAATAAGCGTCCTTAAAACTATATTCTAAAACTAGGAAAAGAGAAGAGAGAGAACTCATAAAATATTGTTGTTTTGCCCTTTTTATGACTGTGAGTCTATCTACTCACAAGGAAAAGGGCAACTGATGGGCATTTCCTATTAGGGAAATCTGTGCCCAACATGGCTGCTGTCAAAGTGCTAATGCTGAAGACAAGTGCAAACCCTGAGAACTCCTACAAGGGCAACAGCAAGTTGGAGAAAATTATGGAGAGGATTAGTAGTGGTGAAGAACCAACATCCAGAGCCGAGCATGTCATTATAAACAAATTCCATGCACAGGGTGGTGTCCTGTTCAAGAAAGGACGCCACTGTGTTGGAACAAAGCAAGACAGATCACTACTGCTGGCCGAGTTCCATGATGCTGCAATACACCCGGGTATAAAAGCAACATACAACAAGCTGAGTGAACTATTCTATTGGCCAGGCATGTATGTGGATTGCGAGAATTATGTCACAATGTGTGACCTGTGCCAAAGAGTCAAAGGCAGCAACAGGCCAAGTGACGGACTGCTACAGCTGCTACAGATCCCATGATGCAACTGGTCAAGTGTGAGCATGGACTTCATTGTCAGCTTACCTAAGGCAAAGGACGGATATTGTAATGCGATTTGGACTAGCTATAATATATATTAATAGAAATGAGACTACGGAAAGAGCTGAAGAGCTCACTATTCAGAATTCGCCGTACGCGTAAAATATCATAAACATATTTTACGCGTCTGCGCTATCACGTGACTCGGCCCCCATTTCTGATGTCACACAGTTAGCAAAGAGACCAAGCTTAAGAACTCGTTACATCAGCAATGGGAAGCAGCCCGCACTGATGCTCAGAAGCTTCTGGATTCTGTCAAAGAATCAGTATCAACGGATATCATATAGCATAATTACAATATTATAAATAAATATGATAATGATACGTTTTATCAATTCATCTATGTATATGCACCCAAGCATGTCTTCACTGCAAGCAAGCCATTCCCAAAGTATATTTATATGATAGTATTGAAATGGGTTTACACAAACAAAATATAATAATCACATAAAATGGGATTAGACAATGACTACATATACAATAGTAATACAAAACAGTCATAATATCACCAACCCCAGTAACCACAAGATCAACATACGTAAATCTGTAGGTGTCACACTGAGCCTGAGTGCACTTCGCAGACTAAAGGTTTCCAGAATTTGGTAGCACGCATTAGGGACATGACTGACACTAACAAGCGTCCCCACTTCAGACGATGCATGGAAACATATATTTGGCAGGTAATTGACCGCCGTGTGTCTGGTATCTTTGACGCCATGCGCAGGGCTGCGCTTATTGAGACCACTGATTACACGATGTCAACCCAATCTAGTGCGTTTTTTATGCTGCTGTGTTGGCTCCATGTAATCAGCATTTTATAGATGTGGATTATGTGCAGTCACCATGCATCAAAAGAATGAATGTCAATGTCCAACAGCCTCTGCGACGCTCTCACACATGTTTTTATTGCTGCCAACCTGGTTGTTGGATGAATGGGCCAACTACAAAGGCGTTAAATAACAACAATAATTGATATGACTACTTTTCCTTGTCTTTATTTTTTCTAGCTATTTGAATAATATATTTCATTCACATTTTTCTATCAACTTAAAATAAAACACCCAGATTTCAACATTAATTTATTAAGATGAGAAGAAATTAGATGATTAAATCAACTAATTATAAGTGTGCACATGAATGCACTGGCCATATTCATCGATAAGACCAGAAAACTGCATAATAAAGACTGCTATTTGTAAGTTAACAGTTGTTAATTTAATTTAACCAAAAACATATTTGTCCAAAGTCACCATCAATAGCAATTTTAAACCTAATAAACACCCACATTATTACAAGAGTTGGTTTAATTAATTGCTTGACTTAAAACCCACTCATTAATTTGCAGTGCTATGGTGAATACATGGCCATTTTTTTGGGGGAGTATTGCTAAAAATTAAATCTATTAAATGAATTTATTATACAAAGAACTATTCCCTATATTACTTACTTTTAAAGACTGCATACAACGTGCTCAGCATGTGAATAGTTTTTATAAAGATATAATCCAGTTTCCTTTGGGTTGTCCGCAATGATACATGCACTTTTTTGTTTTCTATTGAGAGTACACATTAATTAGTTTTTAGTTGTGCAAAAAAATATTTATTAAAAATGAAACTTGCTATATACCCCTCTCTCTCATCTTCAACTGGTTTTTAAATACCTATATAAACTGTTATATTTTCAGCAAAAAACTACATTTGTATTATCAACCACACTCCTACAAGAATTTAATTTATACACTTTAAATAATTATTTTTGCAAACACACAAGCCTCGTCTATACTGTAAACCAAGATTGTTATAATGATTTCTGTCGATTTAAAGTATAAAGGCGCATATGGGGCCAAATATCAAAGCACGATGGATGATAACACTACATGGAATGAGATATTTGATCATATTATGCTAAATGAAGTTTATAAAAGCGGCGTTATCACAATAACACTAGACAATGGAAATAAAATATCCAATATTGACAAAGCATCGAAAATAGAAGACTCATTATCAAAAAAAATGAGTAAAATTAAGGGCGAATACTATATAACCACAGAGCTAACTTTTCAATACAAGTTTCTTAATTATAAAATTACTGCAAGGTATGACTGGAAAATGAGCAAGGTGAGGAGTGATATCATGGAATTAATAAGAACTAAAAATTTACCTGCTGATAATA